AATGTACATGTAATGGGTGATTTTAATATTAACCTCCATAACGGCAATAGAAGATGCACACAAGAATTAGAAAACATAATGCTCGGATTAGGGTACTCACCAACGATATCTATCCAAACACACGAAAAGCCTGGATGTAAACCATCCTGTATTGATAATATTTTCACTAATGAAATCGAAAGCACGTTGTTTACAGGAACGTTGCAACTCAATGTTTCTCACCACCATGCCATCTTTCAAATCAATAGTTGTCTTAATTTTGTAGCTGATGAACCTAAACTTAAACACGCACAATATTACGACTATAGCACCTCAAATGTAGACGCCTTTCTCACATCAATTGATAATGAACTACATACCAATCCTCCTGAAAACTTCAGTAGTTTCTGCACTACTTTTCAGAAGCACCTAGACGAGGCATTCAAACTTGACAAACCGAAATTATCTAAACGTAACGCTTTGAACAACCCATGGATTACTAGTGGTATTGTTACCTCAATTCGAACGAAAGACTCGCTCTATGATTTGTGGAAAAAGTCTCAGAAGAAAAAATGTTTATTGCTAACTAATAATAATAATATTAAACGCGAGGAGTGTAATTGCCTCACTTGTATGAATATAGCAAAAAGATACCTTGAATATAAGGATTACAGGAAGCATCTCAAGGTACTTATTGACCGTGTCAAGAAGAATCATTATGCAGGTAAATTAACTGACTGCTCTGGTGATAGTAAGAAAACGTGGGAAATCATAAACACTATTCGTGGAAAATCCAGGCGTGAAATAAAGCCATGTTTTATCCTTAACGATCAAAAAATAATAAATCGTAGGATGATTGCTAATGAATTCAATAAATATTTTCAGTCGATTGCATCCAAACTAAATGAAAATTATTCTGAAGATTATATAACCCTGGATGCAATTCCCTCATTCTCAAACTTCTTACCTAAAACCTGTGAGTCAAGTATATATCTAAGTGATTGTACACAGTATGAAATTATAGATATTATTAATGAGTTCACAAATGGTAAATCTAGTGACATTCCAATTCACGTTATAAAAAAGTCTGCTAGAATAATATCTCCCTTTTTAGCCAAGCACTTTAACCATTGCATGCAACAGGGGATATTCCCAGATGAACTTAAATTAGGAAAGATAAGTCCCATCTATAAAAAAGATAATCAGGAACTATTTGAAAACTATAGGCCAATATCAACCTTACCAGTATTTGGAAAAATTTTAGAGAAACTTATTTATAAACGTATGTACAGCTTCCTAATTGCTAAAAGAATCATTTATGAGAACCAATTTGGATTTAGAAAGGGTCACTCAACAAGCCACGCACTGAACTTATCTGTTAGCCATATCGAATCACACTTAAAAGACAGGAAACACGTTCTTGGCATTTTCATTGATTTAAGTAAGGCTTTCGACACGATATCTCACGAGAAGCTTTTATTCAAATTAAATAATTACGGAATTAGGGGCAACGCACTGAATTTGATAAAAAGTTACCTGTCAAACCGGAGCCAATATGTTCACGTCTTAAATGAAAACTCCGATAAACTTCCTGTTGAGTGGGGAGTTCCCCAAGGCTCTGTTCTTGGTCCCTTACTATTCCTCCTGTATATAAATGACCTATGCAACGTATCTAATAAAGGCAAGTTTATCTTATTTGCTGACGACACTAACCTATTCGTTTCTGCAGACTCGAAAAAAGACGTTTATAATGTAGCTAACGATATTCTTTCGTCTATTTCTAGATACATGAAATGTAATCTACTACATATTAACGCTAAGAAGAGCTGTTATATGTATTTCTCCCCAAACAAACGTGTAAATGAATCGTCTACATGCAGTACACCCGATGATTTAAATCTCTCCATAGACGGCTCCATAATAATACGTGTTAAAACAACTAAGTTTCTAGGTGTGCTGATTGATGATAAACTGAACTGGAAACCTCACATCAAATCACTAAATAAGAAACTAAGAAGTGCTTGTGGACGTATTTACCGCATAAAAAACTGTCTACCTATAAAACTGCACAAGCAGATATACCACACACTATTTGAATCACACCTTACGTTCGCCATCTCAGTATGGGGTGGTGTCTCTAACCAAGTTATCAACCCTGTATTCTTAACACAGAAGAGATGTATTAGAATAATTTTTGGAGATGCAAACTCATACCAAAACAAATTCAAAACATGTGCTCGTTCTAGACCTATTCAATGTAAAATACTGGGTAAATATGAGTCTAATGTTAATAACTCTGTTAATCCACGTATTAAACCATGTGCAAAGTGTGTCCGCTCTAAATCGGTAGTTCATAATAAACTTGTTAGACCCTTATGTTGTCAAAAACTAGGAGCTGAATTCTATTCCAAGGAATCAACCAAACCATTATTTAACAGTCATAAACTCCTTACTGTTCATAATCTTTACAAACTTCGTACTATAACTGAACTTTTTAAAATAGTGAAATATAGGGTACCCATATCTCTCTACTCTTTACTTAACATGTCTGAACTGAGGGATGACCGTCTAATACCACCAAAGCCAAGCCATAACTTTATTTATAAATCTTCTTGGCTTTGGAATCAATTCAAGGACTCCAATCCACAGAATAAACCTGACTTTGTGAACACATCCTGTAACTCAATCAAATCAAGGCTAAACCGATCTCTTCTAGATGCCCAAAGCAGGTTCGATAATGAGTGGCATAATGACAACTTTAACAGTTTTGGACCATGCTAGATTATTGATAAAAACGTGGAATTTATGTAAACAAATACTTAATTACTTATATATTGCCGTTTCCGTACGGCGCTATACGTAATATATGTTAAAAGCGCGCCGCAGCTACTCCCTACCTCAACATTTGCGCGGGTTTCTTAAGCGCGCACGTACGTTTATTCTTGGCCGTTAATCAGACCCATGACATAACGCTATAGGTGGCAGTGACTGTAATTTTCTTCAACAATTACTGAATTATCCATCCATAAAGTGATTTACAAAATGACACCTAAACCTCGTGTTTCGGTGTTCACTTAAACGGTACTTGGCGGCTGAACTGTGGTGTCTGACGTTTGCAGCTAGATCGGACTCTGCATGATATTGTATTAGCAAATTTGTATAGTGTATAATTGTTTAGTGTTTATAATACTCTGCAACCTGGTAGCACGGCTGACACAAAAACAAAATGTTGGCCTGGCTTGTGCATAACCAAGTAAATAACACGCACTCCGATAAAAGCCGTCTGGAGAAACTCCGCAAAATGTTCATTGTAGTCAACGGGCACAAAGAAGCACTACTAGCAATTGTGTCCTTTACCCTCCTACATAATTTGAACATTTTTGTGGCTAACTCATTGAACAACATCTGAATTAAAATGTGTCTAGTATTAAAAGATTCAGTAAGTAATTTTTTCATGTACGCTGTACACTGTAGTTAGTAAATCAAATCAAACTTTTTTGATCAGCCGCGCGCTGAACCAGTGTTGCACTAGGTAAAAATTGTGTATATTTTGTTCATTTTTGAGTGTAAATTAATTTATTAATTCATCACAAATTATTTTATTATAATATAACCACTTATGTGAAATGGTTATTTTGACTTTAAATATTTGAACTAAATATGAATTGATTGTGGGTATAAAATAAAATTTGTTTTACTAAAAAAAAAAAATTTGTTTTACTAAATCTAAGGCTCTAATTGCTACTCTCACACATGCGAGAAGTTGATGACAGACGCTTCTCAAGCCATCACCGGTTGCATGGAACTCTTTTCCACTGATGTTGGCACTGGTATAATTGTAATATCCTACGAAGTCAGCATGCTATATTATTTTGCAAAACTCGTTTAATATCTTGACAATATTTAAAGTTTATGGTTTTAGGTTTAGGCGCGGCGCACCGCTTATCTGTTATAGCTCCTTCAGCTTCTGTTTTCAGCGATGTGTTGCTACACACTGTATAGCATGTGGGTCAAGCGCGGTGCCGCGCCTAAGCAGCAAAAGAGTTATTTATTTTAAAATTTATTTTTGTATCTCAAAAATGATGTAAAGTTTTTAATATGACGTAGAATTAAAGCTATTTCCGTACAGCCTAAGTGCTAAGTATGCTCGTTAGAAAAACTATGAACAATGAACATAACATGCTAGCTTTCTTTATTTTTGTAAGTCGCGTCGGCAGACATCTTGGTTTGTACTGGATGTAACAAGTTTATTATCGGATGTCTACTTATATTTATTATGATATCATTATTCATTGTAATGGCAATAAAATTTAAATTTTGTTTTACTTAAAATTTTGTTTTACTTGAGATGTATTACTGATACCAACTGTTTCAAGCGAATGTTAAAGAACCATTTACATAAAATCAGTTTTGATGTTTTTTCCAGAGGCGGCTAAAATTATTTTCTGGCGGCTGGTGCTTGAAAATAGAAATAGTGATTAGTAATATTAGTATTCGGAAATATCTAACCGCAATATATTCTTTATTCATTTGAACTATTGACTAAACCCTATTGAATAAACCCTACCATTAAGGGAAAGGATAATAGTACTTTAAATCGGAGTATAATTTACAGCAAATTGGGGTTCTGATGTATGAAAAGTACTGTAAATCAAGCTACCCTCAAGAATTTGGTACTAACATCTGAGTAGAAAATTATACATAAAACAAGTCATTTGTGATGACTGATGAGCACACATCCGTGCAACAGTTTTCATTCCAATTTTATTCCTCTTACTGACAATGAAAATTCGATCTTATAATGGTGGTACAGTTTGACTATTGACTAATGATGATATATGAACAGTTAAATTCTAACGCTTATTACACAATACACCCTTTGGCATTAAATTAGTCATCATACAATCGGAAACTTCGTCTTTGTATATCTCTTAGATTGATGTTGATTTCATGTTTACTAGTGATTTTGGAATATTTACGGTGCCTATTATATATTATAGTACACATCTTTATTGAATAATAGTCTAGCTCAGAAATGGCAATGTAAGATGATTTTGGAGCTGCTTTGCTTACTTGTGATTGGCTGTGGTGAGACCAGAAGACTCGCTGTTCACCCAAGAGACAATAATACCAAGAAACCACTAGAGATACAACTAAATCGTACAGCATCACATGGGAGGCAAAAAAGGTCTATGAACCCTGATCATGGATATGATTGGGGGAATAAGATTAACATTACACAGGTGAGACATTATATCTCGTTTGATTTTGTATTAAAACCTTTGCTTATAGTTAACTACTAAATATTTGTCTCGAATAATGTTGATGTCTTTGATATGAATTACTTGCTATTTTAGATCCAATCAGTAACATAATTTTATTGCAGTCTATCCTTGATGGCGATATGCATGGGACCGCCTATGTTGAATGGGGTGGAACAAATAAGAATAGTGATGTGATAATAATCCTTACAAAAGATACATCGCTAGTACCCAGGTGAGTTAAAGGACCAGTTAACTGAAAAAAAAGTTATCCTCATATTTTGACAGATTGTGACAAATAGCAAACTAAGCAACGAGTCGAAATTCCTAAATCTCTAACTGCTCTCTAACGCGTGTAATTAGCGTTTGTATTATTTTGGCGATGACGTCATAAACTCCCTTGCGCGCACAGATGAGCTCGTGAGACTGTATTTTACAGGTAGAAAATGGACATAATACAATGTTTCTCCCCCAAATAACTCGAAAGGTAAGTATTTTAGGGTACATGTTGCTTCATAAGTTGTATATAAACATGGCCATTCTGCACGATTTGCACTCATTCAAAAATCTGTAGGGCCTTCATAGCCCAAGTAACGAGCTACCCATATTTTTGCATGATTTCTGGAACCGGAAATCAGTTTTTCGCCAATAACTGAAAAAGTATGCACTTCAAGGCATATGTTTGTTCGTAAGTCATATATTAATATGCTAATTGCGGTTCTTTTGCACCCTGTCTAAAGACTCTATCACGATCCTATCGAAAATGGGCTCAGCACCACGCCCAAAATGGTTTTTGGCAAAGTTCTCGGAAAGTAAGGATTTTAGGCCATGTGTTGCTCAGTAACTCCTATATAAACATGCATATGCCGCTTCGTTTAAGCCTATTTTAAAGTCTCTATGACCTTCAGAAGCAAGGGGTCGGTTACGTTATTGGGTCAATATGGGCGTGGCCCTCCTGGGTTTTCTCCACGGTCAAAAAATGTCTCCAAACGAAAATCGTTTATTCATACCTTCAGGAAGGTCTGTGCAAAGTTTCGTGAGTATTTGAACATTTGCAGGTTCATTTCCATAAATGTCCATAAATGACTGGACTACACAACTTTAGAGTTAACTTTAGAGAAACTCATAAGTCATTTATCTCAAATTAAGCTGTTAGTGTCCATAATCAACCTGTGGCGACAATGTTTTACGTGAAATGTAAAAATCAGTAGTAATATAAAAAGTGTATTTTTAGATTAAAGTGCTAGCTCATAGTTTTAGAATTGTATAGATTAACGTTGGTCGTTTAGCCATCTAACAGTCGATCGTGCCGTAATATATGGCCAGAGAATAATAGGGTCTTGGAAATTCTATAGTTTTTCAGTGGGTCGATTGACTGAACACGTTTGCACTTGGTATTTAAACTTGCCAGTAGTTTATTTATGTTATGTACCGATGATAATGCAATTAGGATAACAACTAGGTAAGCCGTAAGTCTAATTCAAAACACACCGCACACCGTACACTCCGATCAGTATTACTATTTGGTAGACCGGGTATTTTGGCGGGAATTCTGTTCCCACGGCAGTGTTATGATAGAAGCTACTTCTACTAATGGTCCCAGAGGAACGGCCGTAAAGTAGCCAGACTTCTTGTCTCCTGTACTGGCTGACACATACGGATTAAAGTTAGAAATTTCGCTATGATATAAATATAATTGCTCTCGGGATTTAACAAACTCCTACTTATCTAGATCCTTTCTAAATTCATTAGAGTTTCATGGACTGGGGAAAAATAATCGGTACAGTCTCCCTGCTTGTGTAATTAAGCAATGAAAACAATCCAAAATTATCACATATGACATAAGTTGTAATAGCAGAAACTTTCTAACCGTACATTCACCCGCCACTGTTCAAGAACCTATACCACTGTTTAAAATCATGACGTTAGCACTGTACGTCCAATCAGCTATTCATTTAGTTAGGATGATAGCCAAAACTATAAGGATTTTGGAGAACTAGGGTAATAGTCATAATTCTAAAATTTGAGTGAGTTACACGTGTTTTATTGACGATGATAAACATTTGCAATGTATTACGCTATGCAAGCGCGCACTGAGGGACTTTATGACGTCACGAGGCCACAGCTTATTATTGCAATAACACGCGTTACACGTACGCTAGAGAATTGGTTCTTTCGGCGATACGATTCTTTACCAGTTTGTCACAGCTGATTTAAATCTTAGCCAAATTGGAGACTATTTGGTCCTTTAAATCATCTTACTCGACAACGTTAATTGTACTGAAAATTGTCAAATCTTTCCAATCGACTGATTGTAATATAATGCAATGTGAAGTTTTAGTTAGTTGTATCGATTAACTTTGACATGTGTTTCAGCGACAGTACACTTTACATCAGCACAGACTATGGTAAAACGTTCAATACTAAAGTGATCACGATTGGTGGAAAAGCAGCCATCTTGAATTACATCTATCAAAGCCCTACAAATCATCAGCAGGTACAAAGTTCACGCAATCTTTAATTCTCTTTGCCCTAGTTGATCTACCATACCTCTTGATATGATATATAATATGATATACTAATATATAGATTATAGGTATTCACAGTGCCCCGAAAATGTACCCTAAATTGCTAAATTTCAGTTTATGTTGAATGACCTGACGAACAAAGCAGTGATAGTGTCAAAGGATGAGGGTGTTACCTGGCAAGTGTCCACGGTAGACTTTACCCCCTCTATCATCGACCATCATCCTAGCATTGAAAACCTGCTCCTTGCTCACGATACTTCTCAGCAAAAGTTGTACCTTTCTCAAGACTTTGGTCAAACCTTCACACCGCTTCTCACTGATTTGAATATCGTGGACTTCTACTGGTGAGATCATAGACCGTTATCTAGAATTTGGGTACTTCGAAAATAATGTATTTATTTCTGTATTTAAATTCATTACCCACAAAATGCTGTGTAATAACCGTTGTGATGTCATAACGTTAATTCATTCATACCAGAACGTAACTTAGCTCAAATTACATGCGGGTAATAGCTGCTAAATTAATGAATGACCAACAGTGTTAGTGTATCCAATAGTTTTATGGCGACATAGTTCTGCTCTAAAAGTTTGTAAGGAGCTGACTTTGTAGGTGAAACTCGCTTGATGTTCTGCTCACGACGAGCTTAGAAATTATCGATCTCACACCTAATAGATGTACATTATTGTGTAATAGTCCAAAGATTATATTTCACAATAATTCATCAAATTATGATACATAACTCGCTGCATTATGATATTCACTTTGTACAATGTTATTATACCGTATTATTATCATCTCAGGGGCACAAGTCCAGATTATGACGGGGAACACACGATGTTTGCAGTTGCTCAGAACGAAGGTAATTTTTTAATATGCTAATTTAACTCTAATTGAGCTGTTCTGGTGCAGCAGATCTCTCGACATAAATTGCTCGCCCAGCTTGCACATATATTATATATATTGTGTCAGTTTGGGATAAAACAATTGTCATGATATGTGATCTAATAAGTATCCAAGCATAAGATTAGTAACTCAGTAGTGCGATTAATAATTCGGTAGTGTGATTAGTAACTCAATAGTGTGATTAGTAACTCAGTAGTGTGATTAGTAACTCAGTAGTGTGATTAGTAACTCAGTAGTGTGATTAGTAACTCAATAGTGTGATTAGTAACTCAGTAGTGCGATTAATAATTCGGTAGTGTGATTAGTAACTCAATAGTGTGATTAGTAACTCAGTAGTGTGATTAGTAACTCAGTAGTGTGATTAGTAACTCAGTAGTGTGATTAGTAACTCAATAGTGTGATTAGTAACTCAGTAGTGCGATTAATAATTCGGTAGTGATTAGTAACTCAATAGTGTGATTAGTAACTCAGTAGTGTGATTAGTAACTCAGTAGTGTGATTAGTAACTCAGTAGTGTGATTAGTAACTCAATAGTGTGATTAGTAACTCAGTAGTGTGATTAGTAACTCAATTGTGTGATTAGTAACTCAATAGTGTGATTAGTAACTCAGTAGTGCGATTAATAATTCGGTAGTGTGATTAGTAACTCAATAGTGTGATTAGTAACTCAGTAGTGTGATTAGTAACTCAGTAGTGTGATTAGTAACTCAGTAGTGTGATTAGTAACTCAATAGTGTGATTAGTAACTCAGTAGTGTGATTAGTAACTCAATAGTGTGATTAGTAACTCAATAGTGTGATTAGTAACTCAGTAGTGTGATTAGTAACTCAATAGTGTGATTAGTAACTCAGTAGTGTGATTAGTAATCCATTGCAACAGTGTGATTAGCAAAAATAACGGAAATGCTACAATCAATATAATTGAATAACACAATAAATCCAACCATCAGTTTTTGTAATATAAGTAATATATGATCTCCAAAATCTGCTTATATGTTCAAATGATTTAAGTCATCAAATATTTAATATAATGATCATTTTCAGATCGAACACAAGCAATATACACAAGTGAAGATTTCTTCAAAAGCCCTAAAACCATAATCGATGTTGCAGCTAACCAGTTTGCTGTTGTCGATGAATTTTACTTCTACGTCAAAAAGGTACATTGTTGCTACAATATGACCTCATGGTCTCATTTATTAAAATAAACTCAATGCAGTTGAAGAATTAAGAAGTTGTCACTCCCACTTTTCAATTTTCTGACTGATAACGTTGCTCTTCCTCCTTCAGTCTACCCACTTGAACCACGGGGACAATGACATGGATTTGTTCATTTCCTTCGACCGAGGTCAACCTGTCAAAGCGAAGTTTCCAGAATTTGTGGCTGAAAACCCAACCACCGTTAGTTATTACTTACACAGTTGTTATTTAATTATTAAATATATTGTTAGTTAATTATTGGGAACACAACTTCAACCTTGAAATTTCTCATGTAACTTTTGTTGAACAATGTATTGAACAATGTATTATTGTAAGTTGATATTGTTTTTATAACAATACGTATATCAACAAACAATCTAACACACCAAACCAGAAGCAGATACCCTAAATACCACATAATATCTAAAATATAATAAATCAATAGTGTATAAAATATATTATATAAATAGACAGTAGGCACTCTATAATTAACAAGTCATACATTATTACAACGTATCGTTATGTTCACAGGAGCAGATATTATCATCATCATATCTGTACCAGACAACATAGTTTATTATCTAGACTGTAACATCATACTAGTGATACTATAAGTAACAACTATCTATAGATACTAATTACTTATAAATAATACTTATAAATAAATAAATAATAACTAACTAATATAATATAACTTATATAACTAACTAATATAATATAACTTACACCGCTACTGCCTTGACAGGAGTTCTACATAGCAGACGCAGGAGAGGGACAAGCGTTTGTAGCGGTGTCACACCGTGACAACATGACCAACCTCTACGTGTCGGAACACAAGGCTGGTAACATGGTGTTGTCACTGGAGAGGATACTATTCACCAACAAGGCTAGCTACGATACCATAAGCTGGATGGAGTTAGTCTTTCTTTTCTTACACATTTTTTAGATGTTTTTGTTTTTGTTCTTTGTTGATGAACACCGTTATAGTCTCCCATTTACTTCTTAGCTCTTTCACTTTACTTTGTCACTTTTACTTTAATTTGTCACTTCACTTTGTCACATTTAAAGTCGCATCCACAGTTATTTTAACTGTATCCAGCAGTCATAAACATTGAGCCTCAAACTCAATGTTCTACTGTACTGGAGTGCCACCACTATTATCATGACAAACCAATAATAATCCTGGCGCCCCAAAAGGTATAATTAATATATAATTACAGACTCCTTTGTAACGTTGATTCTGTAAATTAATATTATTATTACATATTTGTACATGTTGTTAACATCACTGAAGTTTACTCTTCAGAGAAAAACAATTGTAATGAGTTCAAAAAGAAACAGATGTAACAATACAAAAGAAACAAGCAATCACATTCCTTGCTTACACTTGGCACTCCGTGAACAATGAACATACCATTCACATTCCACCAGAAGTTAGAATCCAGTGGTCCCCTGAAACCTCATAAAATCAACTGTCTTTAAATAATTGTGTATTTTCAGTGGAATTGAGCCGTTTGCTGATTTCCAAGCAGTAGAAGGGCTACCAGGAGTATTCTTAGCCTCGCAGCTGGATATTGGCACTGTGGGCCACAGGCGGATACACACAGTAATGACGTATAATAAGGGTGGCACCTGGCAGTATGTTCAACCCCCTAAATATGATCAGAATGGCTATCCTACTGAGTGTTTCTTGGTTAGTGCCCCCTGCTTTTAGCGACATTACACTGGGACTGCTCCTCCCCCCCCCCCTGCTTTTAGCGACATTACACTGGGACTGCTTTTAACATAAATATACCGCTTTTGCATTCGATTTCAGCAGTTTTATCCCTCACTGTGAGATGTGATTAACAGTGAGAAATCATGACATGACCTTGAACATTATATCTAGATCTGATCAGGTGTAAACTAACCCACGTATTATCCCCCTCACAGCCTGACTGTGCTCTACATATCTCCCTGATGTTTGGTGTGAACTATCCCAACGCTAAGCACACTCCTCTCATGTCCCGAGCTAATGCTCCGGGTATCATCATAGCTTCAGGTCTGTTACTATTCAGCAACTATTCAGTAACCATTCTCAACCAGTAACCACTCAGTTACTATTCAGTAACTATCTAGTAACCATTCAGAAGATCTTATCTGTGTGACACATATTTTAGACCTATTGAATGTGTAATATTGTGTGATAGAGAATTTAACTTATCCCAGCTATAACTCAACTTCCTTCTAAACTGTAGTCATGTTAGCAGATGATTACCATCACATGACCCCGATAATATCCAGGTAATTTGGGATCGTCTCACTCTACCTATAACGATGTGTTCATGTCAAATGATGGTGGAGTTGAGTGGGACCAGGTACTGGACGGACAGTACCACTTCCAGATCCTCGACCACGGTGGAGTGATAGTGGCAGCTAGGAAGGGGGAACCCACCATGTCGCTCACGTGAGTACTGAGTCAGCAAGTGGGATTATACATGAGTACAATGTACATGTACATATACAATTGTACATGAGTACAATGTACTATACATGAGTACAATGTACATGTGTACATTGTACATGAGTGTAGAATTTTAGTTGGTTATTTTATGTGTGTACATTTTACCGAGAAAGTTGAAAGTTGTAGTTTAGTAGTTACTTTTGTGTATTATAAATTATCATCCGCCGTATACAGTTACAAGAATGTAAAATGTATCATCCAACATCTTACAAATTGGTATTCCAAAGTTTCAGTATAATGTCCCTAATGTAATAACTATAATGCAATTTAATGTAATTTAACTCAATATTTGACTGTTATATTTGCGATTATCGACATCGTTTTATCGCTTGATAATCGGTAACACAACAACAAACGTTTATCAATTTATCGTCGATTATAATTTTATGCACGAATAGAATCTAAAAATTTTCCACCGTGCGTGGTAACTCAATAAAAACTAATTCATCGATCATGAAATAGGTTTACTGCTGGAATCTCGTTACATCTATACAGTAAACACCTTGTTGGCCGTTGGGCCTGATTCAATAAGATATCCTATCGACTTCTTAGTGAAAGTATAATCGAATTGATCTCCATGGCCCTCTCAATATAATGTTAGATTACGTTGTTCCCCCGATACTACCCTGCTTCTTGTGACTACCATGCTTACACGTCAACTCAGTGTAAAATCAAATCATATAATTACATTTCAAGATATAATATTAGGTTATATATTACTACATTTTGAATATGTTAACTAAAACACTACAGCTTACTTGCACTAACCCTTATATAATAAGTGTCACTAATTACTAATCATGTGTCACTAATCACGTGTCACTAATCACGTGTCACTAATCACGTGTCACTAATTATCACGCCTTCCCCTCCAGGTACTCTCACAACGAAGGAGTCACGTGGTCCAACAAGACCATCTCCCAACAACTTGTTACCATATATGGCCTGATCACGGAACCAGGGGAGATCACCTCGGTGATCAACATTTACGCTATAGGGCCTGGGGGAATGGAATGGATCATATTCACTATAGACTTTAAGGATTTCCTAGGTAAGTGAAGTTCTTGAGAATTACGTGCTATTTTTCTGCGAAATATTAGATTTTCTTGGTAATTAATTTTACAACTAGGATAATGAATGCTGCCAGTAGTAGTACAAGAAAATCAATTGTGCAATGTTAGAACTTTAGAAATACTTAGAAAGCTAAGTATTGAACATCTCCCTGAATATTCACTGGTAACTGGTTGTTATATGCTGAGTCAAGTTTTCTGTTTCAAAAGCTCAATATGGTTTAATGATACGTAGCTGCAGTATTATATAACTACAATGGCATTGTGTACATTGCGACTACACTGTACAATATGATGATAGTGCTAGCTTTGAGTAATGTATACAGTGGTGAGCCTTATTGGTGGAATAGTTTAGTGTACTGCACACGTATACAGTGTAGTGCACGTGTAGTGCACGTGTAGTGCAAGTCTAGTGCAAGTGTAGTGCAAGTGTAGTGCAAGTGTAGTGCAAGTGTAGTGCAAGTGTAGTGCAAGTGTAGTGCAAGTGTAGTGTAGGTGTAGTGCACGTGTAGTGCAAGTGTAGTGCAAGTGTTGTGCAAGTGTAGTGCAAGTGTAGTGCAAGTGTAGTGCAAGTGTAGTGCACGTGTAGTGCACGTGTAGTGCAAGTGTAGTGCAAGTGTAGTGCAAGTGTAGTGCAAGTGTAGTGCAAGTGTAGTGCAAGTGTAACTTTAGTTATTATCAGTCCATATTAATCATTTGCAGTCTGTAGTACATATACCATAATACTGTTACTAATATGTATGTACAATACATATGTATCCATGTTCCAGGTGCAGTAGTTTACTTTTAATTTAAGGATGATCTCATACTCATACTCAATTATACTCATACACCCGTGTTATAGACCCGTGCTAAGATTCTTAACTTCCATATATCCGGTATTCTCGCTAAGTCCGGCAATGTAACAGTCCCAAATGATGAAATGTGTAATAATAACTTCGTTTGTCGATATAATTAATAATATTTTATAATTAATAATAGTACTGTGGTAGTAAGGCTTTAGCCTGATTCAGCTCGGCACCGCACACGGCACCCACCCTCATATCTAGATTACATATAACATTAATATAGATCTAGTCTATTTAATATCAACATTTGTCAACAATACCAATTATAATTTATATGGAAGTTGGAACCGAGTCAAACTGATTTCCTTGTTATCAGCGTAATGCACATTGCACGTGTATAATACATAATGTTACACTCATGTTACATAAAACGATGAATGATGCCATTGATCAGCAACACACATGATGACACACGCATCTCATGTTCCTACACAGATCACATCTGTAGTACGGCAGCTCAACCCAAACGTTGTGTCATTATCCACTTAACATCCCATTATCTTATACATACTTTAGCACATTAGAGCTTTATATACGGATTACAGAGAGGCTAGACGGAGCAGCATGTCCTGTAATGGAGTTATTATAGACGGATAGAGTATTACGTGTTGCAATGACTTGGCGCTCTGCCAGACGTTTAAATAACCTCAACAATAGAGCATAGTTATCTAGCAATGTTTGGTGAATGAATTAATGACGCTCTACAGATGGTTATCAGTAACTTATTAAAGGAGGGGGGGCGTATTAAAAGAGAGGTGGTCACGTCCAGCTGTCATATTATAATATTAATAACTCGTAACAGGGGCCCAGGCAGATTGTACCTCCCAAGGGAATCAAACACAAATTACATTACAGCTTCTACCTTTCTTGTACAAGTTTCCACTTTTGAGGGACCGTTTATATCTGAATTAGACTTATTTGGGTTGTAACTTGTAATGGAAATTGGATTCTGTTTTTTTCGTTCTAAGTGGTAAATGGTTGATCAAATGACCGGCCCTTATCTTCTAAACAGTTGTTTAAAACAACACCTGGTACAGTGTTCCGCGCTTTCCATTAATACTGCTATCTGTAATAATGGTTATGAGCGTATATTATATCATGTGCAGTGTGTATCTTATAAATATTTAGTAGATTCAAAACTCAAAATTGTATGTACAATAGACATAACACGCGCCCTTTATATGTATATTCTCTATAACAAGGAGCTGATCTTGATGTCGTAATGTGCTTCTCAACGGTTGAGTACCACTTTATAATACTCAATAAATAGCACATTTGACTAATTGGCTGCATGCCAAAGTGGATTGTCTCAGTTATGTAGAGAGATGTAGTGTTCCGCTTTATATCACCGCTCTAAATCGCAGCCCTCAGTTGGGGTTTTTCTTGTCGTCAGACGTGACAGTAACTCACCTACTGTCACCTGAAAATTTAAATCGGCTCCGTTTTTATGCCAGCCTGAATGACAAAATTATAACTGCTTCTCCTATTGGAAGTCCGCCCCCCCCCCCCAGTATGTGACCAGGGAAAGTTTCGTGTAATACAAACTCTCTCAGTAGTAGAAGGTTTAGTAGTAATCAAGATGCTTTTGTTTGACATTTTTGATGTTTTTCGAATCAAACATCAGCATTACATATTTATAACTTTAGCATTTTATTTATTTTATTTATTTACATATTTATTCATTTTATCTCATGCTAGGACCAGAATAAAATCTATCCTCGTCATATTGAACCTATTGAACACTTTAGAAGCGTGTATCTTCACATTCATCACGCCATATTGGGAGAGGGGACCACTTCCTTGGTTGGGCCAGTCTATAGTAGTATTGCCATTTCTTGTTCTGTATCCCATGGGGCTAAACCGGGTGGGGCTATCGAGGTCTGATATTCACTTCTTTTTGGAGAGTTAAGTGTTCCAGAGTTTGACAGACTTTACAGAAAAGTTGTATGACAGCTGCACAAGCTATTATGAATTATGATATGCAATATTCAGATTACTACAATGTAAAACTTTATCAAACCAATTTTTAAGATCTACAGTATTAACACCTTGTCAGATCGTAGTACTAAATAATTGCTTAGAACAAATCGTTATACCCAGATTTATATAATAATCTTAAAGTATGTCCTTTGCGTAACTTCTTGACCTCTGTAGACCATTCTAGTAAAATTAATGATATGTAACGTTGATGGTAACACTTGTCACTTATACCTTATTTAGATACTCCACAAGGTGTTATTGATCGGCTTTGCACTTTCCTCGTACTCCGCGAACTATCTCTTTAGCTTATTTAACAGTTCAGAAGTAAGAGTCTTCACGGTCTTCACGGTCATCACGCCACATATAACCCAGCTGGAGTCTTTAACCGAATTTTGTTGATTAAATTCAAATCCATGCTTGAAATTTAAGTGAAAACTTTCCAGAATTTCCACAATTACTTTATCTTTGCCCTCAACCCCTAAACCTACCCCAGGTCCCAAATGTATGAGTGAAGACTTTACCACTTGGTCAATTCGGGACGAACTGAAAAGTACGGAATGTGTTTTGGGTAAAGATACCAAGTATGAGAGGAAGAAACCTACCTCTCACTGTTACATTGGCTCGGATTACGTGAGGTTTACTGAGGATAAACCTTGTCCCTGTCAAGCTAGCGATTTCGAGTGGTAAGAGATGCGAGAATATAAATATATTATATGGATTTGATGAACAGGTGTGCTTTAGATTCCTTACATTATCTAGAGAGATCATGCGACACTTACAGCACTTTCAAGTTGTTCTAGATCTATTTAACATTGTGGAGTATTTGTTTGTTGAGTGAACAGCTGGCTATGCCAATATAAATATGACAAACAATAAAGCTTGGTAGTTGCTATAGAACAGGTGTTGTTCGCAAAATACCGGTCATTGATTCCAAAAGCTGTAACTTTCGAAATCATTTACCCCTCAATTTACACAACTACTTCAGCGATTTCCTGTACTACAGAGAGAACGCAGGTGACCCATGTGTCATGATGGATGGCGTCCAGGAGGATTGGTTCATACCGGGTGATTGTGACCCTGGTACCTTCTACAATAGAAGTATGGGGTACATTAAGATTGAGGGAGATATGTGTACTGGTGGGGAGGAGGCGATATTCTCTTACAAGAAGACAAAGTGTCCTGACTCTAGTGAGTTCCTTTCTTTACGGATAATTAAGTGGTCGGATTCTACGAAATTATGGTGCCACCCTCGATAATGATCGGTGAATCGTACTAAATGGGTATTTAAGCATATTTAAGCGACGAAACTGAACAGTTACAATTCATTGAGGGACAAAAGATCCGTCACAACTAAAATGTTGTGCTAACGTAGCGCGCTGCACTGGTGTAATCATCACGCAGCAATAAAACGCGCATTTGTAGAATTCATTTTCATTAATCAAGTTCCGACTACACAAACAAGTAAACAGTGTTGTGCATGGTCCTTGGCATCGGTCTCACACGCGTCATCAATCATGAGGGCTGAAGAATTCATCATATCCTACGTATTGAACCTATTGAGAGGTTTAGAAGTGGGCATCTTCACGGCCATCACGCAATCTGCGGGACATCTCCTTGACTGCACCAGTCTATTATCGAGTTAGAGTTTTCTGCACTGTATCCAGGAGTAGGGGGCTTGTCTGGAAGGGTGTCTAGGAAGTTTCCAAGAGATGTCTTGAAGCTTACCAAAGTCTTGAGTATTGACAATTTTGGGGTGAACATTCCAGAGTCTTCCAGCTCTCACTACAAATGAGTGGTCGTAGGTGGAGCGTGCAGTGGCTAATGCTTTTTTTTGTGAGAGAAGGGAGTATAACTTTAACTCCCAGTGTGGCATTCTCTCTGAACTGTACATCTAGGTCATTTGGACATACCCTGAAGAACTTTCTACAGATGTATGATGGTGGAGCGTTCTCTGCGTCTTTTTCAGGGATGTAAGTTTCAGTTCCTTCAGTATATTCCAATAGTCGGTGTCTTTGAGCCCTATAATCCGTCTAGTGAACTGGCGTTGTATGCTCTCGATAGACTGGATATCATAGATCTTGTTCAGATTCCAAAGCGGAAAGCAGTACTCCACTCTGGACCTTATCAGGGATTTGTAGAGCTGGAGCATAACAGGTGTTGTCCTGTCTTTGAATGCTCCAAGATGCCATCTGACGTGCCTTGTCAACCATGATATTGATATGTGGTGTCCAAGAGTAATCATCAGACATGTTGACTCCTAGGTCACACACTAGTGGGCTTCTTTCTATGACTGATCCATTTGGAGAGGTGCAGTTTGTGATGTCACTCATAAATGGCAGCTCCTCTGAAAGTGATTTAGAGGCCGGTGTTCTATAGGAACACGATCAAACTTGTTTTCGTGTAGTTTCATGTTGATGATATGATTATGTTAATAAGAATTATTAGTTATGTCCCAAGCCATCCATTAATCTGATGAATTTTCCAGATTTGACAGTTATCATAGCCGTCTCCCCGGCTAAAGCTGTAAAGAAAGGAACTGCAGTTACATTCACCGCTGTTTCGGACGACTTTATGGAGGACGTTTACTTCCTCTGGTACATAAGCGATAACACTTCTTTCTCCGGCATTGGAACAAGCGGGCAGACATTCACCAACACTTTCCTAAAGTAAGTCTAATTCTTTCCCAGCGGCGGTAACCTTCTTCTAGCCCTAGTACGTTTTGCTCCAAAGCCTCGTGCCCCGGTAGGGTTAGGGTTTAAGATAAGAGTTTTACAGCACGAGATTCGGTGAAATATCTTTTCAAAGTTTATTATTTTCTGTACAATAAGATTGATCTCATTCACATGAAAGTGAGTGAAACACCTCACATTCCACATCCATCTCACACAACACATCAAAGTGGGTGACCGCTCACATTTTATATAAAATTGATATGTGACCCCCTGTAACCCCTTCTTGGAAGATATGCTTGTTTCTCACATAAGTTATTAACCTGCCCCTTTTTTCTAGGTCCGGTGTGTTTGTAATAACATTAACAGCTAACAATGGCGCTGGACCTGTAGTAGCCATGGAAACTATTCAAGTGGACGATCCTATTACTAGTCTGCAATTGCAGTACGAACCGGTGGATCCTGCCATTGGGGAGGGCATGATATTTATTGTAACTACTGACGATGACTCCAAGGGAATTGACGTAAGTCTCTATTTACATGTTGCTTCCATACTATACTTATTTGAGCTTCCTTTTGAAAGGCAGAAGAATCCGGAAATGCTTGTAGGAAACATAGAATTTGGCAAAATTTAGACTTTTTGTTGTTTCATATTGCACGCTCTTAGGTTTTATCACAATCACGGATTTACCTGGCCGGATACTCAACTCAAATTCCGTGATTCTTGGCATTATAATAAAGAATTAAAAACTTCAAGGTCCTGGAATTCTTTTAATTTGAAAAAGTCGCCCTATTGCAGAGCAATATTTCAAATTTCCCTGCTGAATTAAACGGTTAAAAACACAATGATTAAAAAGATATTGTTGTAGAGCCAGAGTGTCCATAAAACAATATTTTTGTTTATTCATTATTTTTAACCGTTTACTAATAGATGGTCTGGCCACCAAACCATCTTCCTACTATTCTAGAAGCGTCAAACTAGGAAATCAGTAGTTTTCCTACATGATCCCAATGTTGGTTTATTAATATATGTGACAACACGACTTATTAGTTATTATGTATTTCAGTAGCACAATAAAATTTTTAAAAACGGCGAATATACTTGCATTGCACAATGTAAATTGTGCATTCATTAAGAATGAATCAACTAATTAGATATTCTCGGCCTTCAAAAACGACAGAAATTAGAATCCCTCTGGAATTAATAATTACTACGGCAACAACTACGCGAAAAAGTCTTCTAAAATCATGGGTGATTCTATAAACCACGTAGGTTAAGCCGCTCAATTTTAACGGTTTTTTTTTCTATAATATTTAGAGCTAAATAGGGGGGGAGCCAAGTATATTTTTGTAGATATTTGGATAATGTCATCCACTTTTTTCGTGAATTATCCATTGACAATAATCTACGAATATCTAAATTTATCTACAAAAAATGTATATCTCAAATATGTGCCCAGAAATTCTACTGAATTTTTGGAGATAAATGTATAAATTTGTAGAATTTGTAGAATTTTCGTGAATTATCCATTGACAATAATCTACAAATATCTACATTTATCTACAAAAAATGTAATCTCAAATATGTGCCCAGAAATTCTACTGAATTTTTGGAGATAAATGTTTAAATTTGTAGAATGTCATCCACTTTTTTCGTGGATTATCCATTCTACATTAATCTACAAATATCTACTTGGCTCCCCCTCTAAATAAGTGGGTCCCTTTCAGATAAGCAGACTGAACTACCACTGGAGTACCGGGACAGACTCTTACCTTCCCATCCTCCTCACAACCTTCAATGATCCGGGCCGGCAGAGCGTTACTGTAACCGTTTCCAATTCTATCAGCTCCAAAAACTTTACTGTCAATTTCGTGGTTAACGGTTCGTATCATTTTTGTATCGCCCGATATTCGTTCCGTGAAGAATATTTTTCTCGTCTGTGATCTGAAGTTTTGCAATGTCCCTGGAAAATTCAACGTTTAGTTAAACATATCCGAGAAACATTTTGATAATCACCTGGAAGTCTGATCTAATATTTGTGCTTTCATCAGATTTGACGGTGAGCAATATACAAGCGATACCAGTCAGTCATTCCAGTATACAAGTGTTGTGGGACCCGCCAGTACTCCGACCTGGCCTCGTCTCCGCTTACACACTCAAATACAGAGGGTGAGTCACATATACTCACACACATACAAAGTACTGAAGTACTCACACTCCTGATTAATCACATTTTTAATGACATCAAATATTAACCACTCTTATCTCAGGGTCAATGATGACCAGTGGCACAGGGTATCAGTTGGAGGTTACAACGTAACCCAGACCAACTACCAAGTAAACGGTCTGGAGGATGGGGCTCAATACCAGTTTCTAGTGGTTACTACCAGTGCTGGCGGAGCTTCCAGCGAGGAGAGTAGAGTCCAGTCTGCCACTACCTTGCCTCTCAGTAAGTTCCACCCTTCTGTAATATGTGACATTTTATCTATACAGTAAAACCTCTCTATACCGGGTACCTCTCTATACCGGGTACCTCGATATACCGGGCCTCTTCCTTTCCCTCAAACTCTGTGGTGTGACATTTTTTCTATATCTAATTGAAAGTTTCGTTAATTTATTATTGTCAGAACTATTGTGGGTAGGTAAGAGAAATAGCGCGAAGCGTGTAAAGCCTATTATATCATATATCATGAAACACAGATGTTAATACATTCGTGTACACGCCTCCTCCTACTATCAATACTTGCAAATAAGAGAAACCTACTGATCAGTGATTATCGGACTCGATCTGTACACCTCAAATCCTCGCACAGATATTTAGGAAATAAATGTCCATATAAGGAATGGAATGAAGTGCATTTGGTGATGAATTCTAATCTTGAAATATTTGGGTAAATTATTAGACGTAGGCAAGGTTTTATCTTAGCCTCTGAGTCCCACTGACGACTTCCTGCAATATTCACCAAGCCGATTATTAGTCGATCGGGATAGCTGGAAATTTGCGTACTCTAGAATATACTGCGTTTCTGCAACAACAAAAAAACTGCAGTTAATCAACCATCCTTATTCTGTGATTTAGATAAGGATAATTGTAATCGAAGACATAAAATATACAGTTTTTATGTCCCCAATTATTCAATTTGATCCTATTTTTCTTATCTACATTCTACATCCTCTCTTTTCAGCCCCTGACCCTTCAAAAAAACCGTGTACAACAAAATGTTTCATTAATAAATCACATACAGTACGTCGTGATATTTTCTAAAATCATTCCCCTACTCAGATAGCCTGAATCCAGCGACCCAAGTGAGCGCCATTCCCTCCGGAAACAAAGCAACTATTACCTGGACCTCCCCCGGGGGAACTGTTAAGAACTTTGTAGTGCAGTATTGGATGAGTGATAGGTTTAATGAGATGAAGATCAGTGCAACTGGTGACCCTTCAGTTACCACAGTTTCTCTAAAAAGTCTTGTGCCAGGAGCTCCCTACACCGTCAGGGTAATTTCAAAATTTCCTAATTTCTTATCTCTTTCAGTTCAATACCATAGTATCTCCCTCGTCCGTGTAATGATGATAAAACATGGGTTAGGCTGCTATAATAAGCTCACCGTAGCCTCTGTCGGGCTTGATAACAAGAAAAAGGCCGTTAACAATCAACACTTCAAAAATGCCATCTATGATATGAATTTATGTTCACGGCTCGCGCCCTGCTCACACCTGCTCACACCTTGGTCACACTCCGATCACACCCAGACTCACACCTCGACTACTCAGATGGTGTGCAATAACACCCCACCCCTCTCTCTCTCAGGTCTTGACACAATATCCCAACAAAGTTGAGTCCTACTCGGAGCCGGTTAACTTCCAAGTGGAGGGGCGGGATATGGAGGAACTAAAGGAGGTCCGAGGCTACTCTGTTAATAGCACATCTGTTGTTATCGTGTGGGACAGACCTGCCATTCCAGTCGATGTAAGGATACACAATATTTATATTATAAACATTATCTATTTATAAGTTCAGCACAATAAACACATGAGTGTCTGAGTCTATGGTAATAAAAATTAAAGGGCCACCCAAAATATGGCTATCAGCCTAAAATGCCAAATGGCCACCGTCAGGGAAGCCCAAGGTGGCCAGCTACGTGCCATCCCAGTCAACGCACGGCTTCGTCTCCACAGCATTCCCACTTATCACAATAACAAACACAGTAAAGGCTTGCCTGACGTCAGTCTGAGTTTCGGTGCGTCAATTTCTGACGTTGTGTCTTTAGATAGTATTTGGCTGTTTCCTGAAAACAAACTGAATAGTTGCATTGGAATCTTGGGGTTGTTTTGTTGCGTCAACTGGACGGTTAAACAGCACAAGCTTTTAACACACACCTCTCAGTTTGTTACGTGTCGTGTTATGAATTAGGATTTTATGACCTTCCGGAGCTGAACTATTTCCTGTGAATACTGTGATCATATCATGACGTTACCCTGACCTGTTTAAGCAACACACATTTTTCTAACTCCGTCTGTTGAAATGTGTACAATAACTTCCTACACTCCTAGTTCTCTCTAACTTCACTCACTCTCAGGGCTACAACGTGTATAATGCGACCAGTAACACCCTGGTTACGACAGTTACAGAGGACCAGGTTAAGATAGGGGGTCTTCAACCCTACACAGCATACTCCTTCCAGGTGCAGCCTTACTCCAAGGGAAATAGAGGCAAGAAGAGTGACCCGCTGGGCATCACTACTGACGTTGGAGGTAAGCCGCTAATTATTCAGTTCTTTGAGTTGTTTCTCGGGATAAAAATTTGGGAATTCCAGAAGCAGTTTTGTAATTGTTGAAGTCGGAATTTGTATTAGCAGGGGTTTATTAATGGCTTCCTATCTCCTTTGGTTGTCTTTTTACCGCTCTGATTGATTTGCACGTGGGTGTAATCAATTATGCAAAAATTCGTGAATGTAAAAAATCCATGAATGTCAAGAATTCTTGAACTCGCTATATATTATTTGAATTGCTATTCGTAGATTATTTTACATTTATTAATGTTTGGAGAGTCAAAAATACAGGTATATTCAGTAGGTTATGTGTCAAAGCACATAAATAAAGCATTTTTATCAGAATCCAGAATCTCGATAGAACGAAAATAATAATAAATATGAGATCCAGAAATAACGGAACATTTAATTTACAATAATTAGTATTTATAAGTGATCTCACTGCACCATTTAAGTTTGAAACAGCATTATTATATATGTTTTGCATATATCAATGATTTAAAATATTAAGGAAGTTCTCTGATGTTGTTTAAGTTGTCTGATACAATTTGACTTCATTAAGATTCACAGTTTTAAGCCACAAAAAAAGATGACCTAGATATGAAACTGCTCGTTATGAAGCCTTTACGAATAATGATAATAACACCATTAATATACATTTCCATGATAATATCATGTTTAATTATCGTATCTCACTTTCACGAAATGAGATAAAACACAACAAATTATTTCCCTCAAATAAAGTCTTTAACTTTAACTTCTTTTCAGTATCTCTCAATCTTCGATTAAATCGACAATTTAAAAAGCAACTTGTTGGACATTCACAGTCTTACAAACAACAACGTTGCACTTCATTACTCCTGAATGGTATAATTTCTTCTGCTGACACATCTTCAATATCTTATTTAATCCTCTTCACAGTCACGGATAAATTAGTTGTCTCTCTCAGTCCACATGTAACCACTCAAACTCTGCGATCTCGTCCAACTTCCACCTTTGTTCAGGGTCTTTCACCAAACACTTCTCCACAAACTCCTTCAGTCCACCATCGTCTGGGTTGAGCCAGTTAATGGTGTCGTGTGTTTTGACATGTTCCCTGTTAACGAAGGGGGGTCTCCTGTTCAGAAGAATGTAAGCCAGACACCCTATTGACCAAACGGTCCCTCCGTCCGGTGTGTAGCAGCTACTTGAGTAGAACTCGTAGGGAATGTAGATGTCTGTACCTGGGAATTAGATTTTCGTTAGAAATTCAAAACCCTGGCCCTTATCAGTCTCGTTCTAATTACGTTCACGACTCCAATCACGATTAAACTTTTAAAAGCACTTTGCGATAAAAAAGGACTGTTAAATTACGTGTTATGTGCCCACCTTGAATGTGATTGTAAGTTTGCTCAGGAGTAATCCTTGAAGCGGACCCAAAGTCGAGAAGCTTGACATGTTGCGTCTCTGGGTTGTAGAGCAGATTCTCGTCCTTGATGTCCCTGTGATCCACTCCCAGCTCAATAAGGTTTTGACACGTCCTGATCACCTGTCTTAGGATCGCTCGCACTTCCGTCAGAGGCAGCTTCTTGATTGCGATGTTGTAGTCGAAGAGGTCGAGGTATCCCGTCAGGTACTCCGTAACCAGGATCCAGTGTCCTCGTTCCAGGTACGACTCCACTAGTTGCACTATGTTGTCGTGGGGTTGAAGGGCCTCCCAGATTGTTACCTCGTCCGGTACCCACATCTGAAGATATTTGGGGTCAGTAATTGTTGGAGAGTGGGGTGCTACTTCCTTATAAACCGATATCACGGTAAATATAGATTATAAGATGATAGGCCAGAATACATTACTCTCTAAGATTCAGCCCTGAAGTTACCTGTCTTGCAGTGCACCAGGTTGTTCTCCTGCATCTTGCTTGTGGTACTATCTTAGCAGCGAACCTCTTGTTGTCGGCTCTGCGTGCCACCAGGAACACTGTACCGTATCCTCCGGACCCCAACTTGCGGACTACATAGTACTTGTGGTAGAAGGTGTTCTCGGCGGGTCCTCTGGGAAGTTGCTTCCTGATCTTGTCGGCTCTCCACGAGAAGCAGTTGGATGATAAGTATTGGGCTACTGTCTCTAGCATCTTGGTTTCTGAAATAATTAAATGGTTAGTGGCTGTAAATCTGAAATGTGTTTAAGCGATCCAATTCGGGTCTTATAGAGAACTTTTTAAAGAGAAGATTGTTTGCACCTATAACACAATCAGCTTAAAAGGAACTTTTTATATCTTTGCAATGGTATTTGAACTTTGGTGGTTGGATATTTTATGATGGCGAACAAAAAGATAGTGATATTGTCAACTACAAGAAGTAGCACCTGACATACTCTGTCCTCAGATCAGTTGGTCAAGCGGCAGCTGATATGCCTTCAACTTTTCCTAAGTAAGAATGATTAAAACTGAGTAAAAAAAACGTACCATAAATCTAAGTCGAATAACGAATTTCCTCTAATGAACTTCAAGTAAGCACTGTCATATGAAGAAAGCAGATGAGTGATAGAGACATATGGTAGAATATTCGTACATCGGGAGAGAGAGAGAGAGAAAAACGTATCCTATCGCAGCAGGATGAGAAATAATGGTTTCATAGAAATTCTACCAGAATATTTAAACCAGCTGTACCCAGAATCTTATCTCAAATTTCAGTTGCTCGTGTCTTCCGGTATCGTGTATTACTTGTACCTGATTATATTTCTCTAATTGGATGAAAAAGAAGCTGGGTACGCCGTACGTGCAGGACTGGCCTCAAGAAACTGGTTTGAATTCCATCTAATTGTAACTTAGATCCTAAACAATAATATCATAACTCGGTAGATAAACGATAAGCCTCGGCTGGTTAACAATCTGATCAGGTTTGAGAAAGCCAGGACTCTTTATCTAAATTCCCCAAATTTAATTGTATGTGCACTTCTTAGGTTGTATGTGTGTATTTGGATGTCTTAGCAGGAAGAGGGAATAATCCGTTTAAAAGTTCTCAAGTAAACTAAATCAAATCAGTACTCAACAAAATCCTCAGCTGTTTCAAGAGTTCTAGGCTTCACAAGAAGCTTGCTTATCTTGACCAAAAATTATCGTTTACTCGTCTTGAGTCAATTGAATATCTACAGTTAATACAGTTGGAGCTTGCAAAGGAAACTGCAAGAAACAGAGCAACGAAAACGTCATGGCTATTAAACGTTAACTCGATTATAACCCATGATATTGTTTTTCAGTACCAGGAGCAGTGAAGCAGCTAGAATGTTTCCAGAAGAGTGGTCTGGCAGTGCTGACATGGCACAAGCCTGACAGTCCCAACGGTCCCATCTCTAAATATTTGATATACTATGACGACGACGATCTGTCTGGATTAGGAATACCAAGCTACGTTAACTCAGATCAAGTCTCACTGACGCTGCCCCAGGTCAGTGGAGAACATGTTTCATAGTGATTTTAATCGCCACGTGACTTCTATTGAACTGAAAGCTTTATGATAAGAATGTTGGGCTGAAAGCTTTGCGATAAGATAATTGCTTGAGTCTCACGCATCTCGGAAATACCAGTCATTCAAGATAAAATATTCGACTATTCAACACGAACAGTAATATCTAGTGGAATAATATGACCGCACAAAAATAGAAAAATGCAAAGATAAGAATTATCCTGGGAACAGTTTTCTGGTTAAAATGGAATGAAAGTCACCACTACAAGCAAAGTTAACTCACCTTGCCACATTCCAAAGCAAGCTTGAGGCATTGTATTCGAAACTTTCGAGCACAGTGCGAAAAGAAAAACACAAAAGAATTTTAAACCTCGCGATAAACAGTGGTTTTCACCGCATTTTACTGGCTCAAGCTACTTGACAAATTATCAAACTATTGATCTGTGAAAATAAATGGCTTATTGCTGGGCGGATAACTAAGCTGGTGTTGTGTCTTACACACAGTTAAATAAAGTGCCGTGGTTTAGATCTACAGCACGATCTGTTAGTGTGTTAGAGCTAGATGTATTCAATATAATATAATAATACCTTTACTTGGTGATTAGTCTTTAGTAGTCTTCTCCAGTTAACGGGTTATAACAAAAGAGAGTCTTCAAAAAACAAAGAGCTAGGTCTCACTAGATTGTTAACGAAGGTAGGTTTCACGGTCACACACACACGCAACAGCAACGAGAAGAAATGTAGGAAAGTGAGAAATGCAAGCACAAACGGGCGTTATAAGGGTTTATTCCTGTGAGCTCGTTGAAATGCAAAAAGGGATTTTCCGGAATGCTAAATGTACTAGGGTCGAGGTGGCGGAGTTAAAACATGTTGGTATTCAACTATTTGCTCTCATAACTATTACTCGGAATCTAACACGTTGTCAGGAAAGGCTGCAAATTCTTTGTAATGGGTCGACAAAGTGAACAGTTTTACGACGACAGATGCTATTTTTAAGCTGGTGGGTTGAGTTGGAGGGTTGAGCATCTGACGGAAGTGTCACGCCGTGTGACGGAAGTGTCACACCGTGTGACTTGTTCATTTCCAGCCAGTTAGCATCCGTCATGATGAATTGGTCATAAAAACCAGTAAGTATTTCTGATGTAGTTCCGATCTTTGTAAGCGGTTCACTGAATCTCTTCTCTGATTCTTGGAAATAATTACTCGGGTTATGGTCACCTACTAAGAAAGCGGCATGCGTCACTAAGCGATGGGATTTTGATACTAATGTTATTGCATAATTATCATAATAGAGTAAGAAAACATTCACTTGGGTACTTGCCAGCACTTGCCATACTGCCTTTATATCCTTAACTCACACCATCATAGCAGCTATAACTCAATCAGTTTATAAAGGAACTGCATATTATTGTAATGGTAGATGACCAAGGACTAAAAGCCGGGACGGTAGTTTGACTTCTTGTTCCTTTTGTCCTGATTGGTACAGAGCTGGAATAGTATTTCTCAGAATTTTACTACAGAGGAAGTTGTGCTGGGTATTATAGGAAGTTGATTAATGTGAACATAGAGGTAAATATGTAAATAAAATCACGCAACCTTCATTTTTAAGTAAGTGGTAGTGGTAACTGGTAACCTACCTGGAAACTTACATGGTAGATGATTTAGTGAACTTAAAATTATGATGCATTCAGTTACATCCTGAATAAAGGTTCAAGAGCCAAGACAGAAAATGGTCTCGTTGGCCATGTATTAAGATAATCCTAGTGATAAAGACCGCAAAAATTGAATTGCATCTTGTTGAGAAACCATAAAAAGAGTTATCTTAATTATTTTAATTTCCGGGATGAAATAAACTTTTTTAATAATTTCAATTTCCAACAACTCCTAAACAATTTCCTAGCTTCCGTTTGCAATACGATGTACCCTTATAATAAGGCACCTAGTTCAACAGCTGCTTAACAAAATATAAAACTTTAAAATTACTTTGATTTAAAAGATATTTAAAAACGTGCACTTTAAGCACAACTTTGGTATTTGTCGACATGTTTGACTGTGTTAGTTTGTGTCAAAACTTTACAAACTCTAAAAATAGAGGATTTCTTGAGAAATTCTTCTCGTTATACCTCTGCTGTCAACGCAGTTGTGAAAAATTGTTTGAGTTCCGGATTCTTGCCGGACTGATTAGCTGCAATTATCTTTACCGGTAAAAGCTAATTATAGCTCATGTCCGTAAAACTTGGTTGCTAAAACTATAGGCATTATAGATTTGGGGGAAATTGGGCGACTGGGTAAGGCCTCCTCTACACAGCATCTGTATGGCTACCATACTTCCTTTATATGGCCACCATATACGACTTCTATACTGCCACTTTTGGGCAACTAGCTATCAAAGGCAGGGCGAGAGGAAAAATAATAATAAATTATCGTTTTTGCAGAATTTATTATTTTTTTCAGACTTCAGATCATCTTGAGGATAAGCTGTTTACTGTAGTTAAATTCCAGCGGAAATCTTATTTCAGATATAATGTAGAGCTAACCAAAATCTAATTCACTGATTCTTGTTAATTGAAAGGTGCACGTACTGCACGTACTGGAGCTTAGTAGGTCTCGCACAACTTCCTCCTCGGAATAGTGAAAAGGAGACTGAAGTCTCGGTTACGAATTTCCAGTCAAACTTTCATAAGGAAAATCTGACACACTTTAATTGCCGAACTACAGCGAATCTTCTTTTCCACCCTAGTCCTCGTAGAGGCCGTGTTAGGGGCCGTTCCCATATTACGTAATCAGCCGAGGGGGAGGGGGTTTCCAAATGATTACGCTAGTGTAATTTTGACACAATAGCTATGTGTAAAACTGATTACGGAGGGGAGGGGAGGCCGCGGTTTAAAAATTGTCCTAAAAGTGATAACGTCATATTATGTGAACGACCCCTTATGGCTTTGTAATTACTATAAACTATAAAGGCCCGATATTATTCTGACTGCTAACCTTGATACTCAAATACCTTTTTACTCAAAATACTCAAAGTAAAAACGATTATTTCTTGATTTGATGCCAGAAAAATAAACCACTTCATTTTTAAACCTTTCTGAGCTGCTTACTTTATAAGTGGTTCTCACGGGACTCAGCTCGGTGAAAACGTCAATGATCGATTTAGGTTTATATTTAAAGCGTGACCAGTTGGATGTTTGTGAATTCAGAGAAATAGCTAATAATTTTAGTCACGCGCAATAAACTAATAAATTCTGAGAAATATGTTTAAAGCTTAAACAAACCTGGTTTAATTGTCAGTTTTAAAGGCTGTTGCTTCCAAAAGGGCTGGGATAAATTAATAGAGTTTTGAGCATGACTAGGCAGTTTGGAGTAGTTCACTCAAAGTTATGACTGCTTGACTGCTAATCTGAACAGCTCAAAACATCCACGAAATAGTACCAACCAACAACACAGAGATAATTATCAACTGAATATTATATAAGATTTATCTGTGTGGAAGTTTTGTTGATTCTGATAAGTAACAAGTTTAATGTATGACTTAACCGCTCGCCTTATCTAACAGAAATACAATTGATAGTACGGTGTGAGTTTGGATGTTTGGTGTGATAATGTAAATTTAACTAATACCATTTTCTATGCACTGAGAAGCTATTTTTAGCTTTTTTCTCACAGGAGATAATCGTGTTCCCTCCCTCCCTCCCTCCCTCCCTCCCTCCCTCCCTCCCTCCCTCCCTTCCTCCCTCCCTCCCTCCCTCCCTCCCTCCCTCCCTCCCTCCCTCCCTCCCTCCCTCCCTCCCTCCCTCCCTCCCTCCATCCCTCCATCCCTCCATCCCTCCATCCCTCCCTCCCTCCCTCCCTCCCTCCCTCCATCCCTCCCTCCATCCCTCCCTCCCTCCCTCCCTCCCTCCCTCCCTCCCTCCCTCCCTCCCTCCCTCCCTCCCTTCCTCCCTTCCTCCCTCCCTCCCTCCATCCCTCCCTCCATCCCTCCCTCCCTCCCTCCATCCCTCCCTCCCTCCCTCCCTCCCTCCCTTCCTCCCTCCCTCCCTCCCTCCCTCCATCCCTCCCTCCCTCCCTCCCTCCCTCCCCCATACCTAAGGTTAATTTTTAATAATCTGAAGAAATTTAGATTCGCAGAAACTTAAATAACGTAATCCTAACTGTCTTATAACTTTTTATCATCCGACATGTCGGATGATAAAAAACATTCTCCCTCCTTCTCTCCCTCCCTTCCCACATACCACATACCTGGGGTACGTGGGCCATGGGGGCTTATCATTCGTAAATTTGTCCCGATGAGGTTATTTTTACGAATGAAGTTATTTTAATTAAATAACCTACGGAAATATAGATCTGCAGAAACCTAAACATTCTGATCCTAATTACCGGATTATGATAAATGAAAACTCGCTAAACCGGTATGTTTGTACCGAGTACCCTGATTCCTATTTCATGTCACAATATTCTGCAAGTTTAGAAAACGAGTCTCTTCAGACTAGTTCCGTAAGGTCATGGCTGGGCTTAATTGCTAAATACGTCGAATGCGGATCCCATAAAGCAAATCTCTGGTCTCCTGCCAGAAACGTTGATATGACCGCAAAGATAAATCTTGAAAAATACTTGGCAACTGTTTTTAGAATTGTTATCAGTCGAAGATTTTATCCACCATAACTCTACTTTCACAGCTTCTGTCTGATTACATTTTTCTTACTTTTTTACGGAATACTTACCTTCGCCTTGAGGTTTTTAAAGATAAGAAATACTTTAGATGTAAACATAAATAAACAAGAATAAGGTTTTAATATTTTAAAATGTACTATAGTATAATATATACTCTATCAATATTCATGTTTAGAAAAAAAGAAAAGGTGCATTTTTTGAATTATTTTCTACTCTACTTTCACAGCTTCTGTCTGATTACATTTTTCTTACTTTTTTACGGAATACTTACGTTCGCCTTGAGGTTTTTAAAGATAAGAAATACTTTAGATGTAAACATAAATAAACAAGAATAAGGTTTTAATATTAAGAGTTTAAATTCCCAAATAGTCAGACTGAGCAGGTTTTAATATTTTAAAATGTACTATAGTATAATATATACTCTATCAATATTCATGTTTAGAAAAAAAGAAAATGTGCATTTTTTGAATTATTTTCTACTCTACTTTCACAGCTTCTGTCTGATTACATTTTTCTTACTTTTTTACGGAATACTTACGTTCGCCTTGAGGTTTTTAAAGATAAGAAATACTTTAGATGTAAACATAAATAAACAAGAATAAGGTTTTAATATTTTAAAATGTACTATAGTATAATATATACTCTATCAATATTCATGTTTAGAAAAAAAGAAAAGGTGCATTCTTTGAATTATTTTCTACAATTCACGATACACAAACCGAAATTCATACAGTGTTTGAATTTCAGTTTGAGTTTTGTGAATAATACACAATGATATCAATCGCCATTTAAATCGAAGTTTAACCTTTATCTAAAAAAGGAAGGTGACAATAACTGTACAGTCACTACAGTGTACACAATTCAGAAATTCATCTAGTTCATTCCCGGAAATTAAGTGGCAACTTATATCCCGGTAGTTGAACCAAATTAATCACGTACGTCGGCGAGATCTAATCTAAATTTTATCTTGATTTTATATTTATAACTTGATAATTAAATTTCGTTGAAACTTGGAAAGATACAAATTATAACAGTTATTATATTAGTGGGCCTAAACGTGGATTGATGAGACTATCTCTAAAGATTAAGTGTGCTAAACATGAGAACATCATGAAATAAATATCTTTAATTTTAACACAACTGGTTTTATCTATAGATGCGGAAACTCGCCAGGTACCCTGCTATGGCTTCACAAATTTCTTATTTCTTGATTAAAATCTTCGTCTAAACAATGCAATTACCATACAATTTTTTATCGACACACTGTTTTGTCATTGAACTTTCAACTAAATATAATAATTTTCAGCTGCCCAAGTTCAAGGCGTACAAGTTCTCAGTTGCAGTACAAGGACCCAAGTACATCTCCACACAATCCTACACTGCTTGTACCGTCGAATCTATGTCAGGTATAACAATTTCCCTTTATTCTGGCTAGTGCTTTAATCTACAGCACACGCCACGACAGAAATATAAAATCACCAATTTTTTATCAGGATAGGAGAGAAAATTGTCAAAAAGCCAACAATCTATAAATCCTGAAACATAATCTAACCACTGATTGTTTATCCCAGGTGCACCAGGCCCTGTAACAGGGTTGTATGTGAAAGAGCGTCACATTGCCTCTCTCGACATCATGTGGAGGCCCCCTATTGACACTAACTCCGCCATCCAATATGAAGTCAGGGTAAGTTTCTTATCTACTTTTTATCTACTTCAGTTCTTTGATGACGTCATCCTGTCTGCAGGTGTTTATCCGATCCACCACACACACCACGGCTACCGTCCCAGTACCCGCGTTTCACCTACTCAACATAGTCTCACTCTTGCACGTGAGATTGTGTTCAACAATAAGCTGAGGGCTAACATTCCCTCTAATTGTGTTAGACGAGTCTTGTTTAGAAAATAGGCTTCGGCTTTGCATGGTCAACTGTTATCGAGAAATTCAATTAAGTGCGTATTGAAACCTGTTTTTCAACAGGTTTTTGGGTCTTCTTTTTCAAAACAGTGCAATGAAATCTGGTTCATTTATTTATTATTTTGTCCTCGAATTGGATAATCGGATTGGAAGTTGCCAGGTATGGTTAAATTGTAGTCATGGGATGCCCTGATAATTAGTGCCATATTCCACAAAGATGGGTTTCTCAATAACAACCATAATGGAACGAACTAAAATATACCCCTTCCTATTTGCAGATCTAGCGTCTGGCCATTTGCCAAAATCAGCACCACTATGTTTATTTTCTTAATCCTCATTTCTCAATAACACAAAAATGAAAAAGGCGGATGAACTTCTCCACTTAATGTCGGTAGTCCTCACTTCAACCCGACTGTTTCAGTACGGAAAGTACGACGGAGAAGTAAGGATCGGAACAGAACACGTGCTGACAACAGACACAACGGCCATCACAATAGGAGACAATGTGTCTCCATCCACCCTCTACGGTATCACTGTTACCGGTAAAAACAACAAGGGTCTCGGGACTCCGTCCCAGCCTATCTTTGCTGTCACCCTCACCCGTAAGTCTCACAATATGATCCTTCATCATGCAGTATTGATGTAAAGATACGTCAACTTGGTTGTGTAGACTTTATGCTTGGTTTTGTATGCTTGTTGTTACACTCGCATATAAAACTGACTTTTATCTCATCTTCAGCCCCTATTGGCAGTATTGAATACGAGTTTAAGTTCCGGGCAGCAGATGTTGACAAAGTTAAATTTGAGAATTTCGCCAACGGTCTAAAAGAGGAAATTGTTCAAGTCACCAAAATCTCAAGGTATTTCATTGAAAATGTTAGAAACAAAATCACCGAAAATTGTTTAAAAATGTCGCCTAAATTTACTTTATTTACTTTCTTAAACCAAGTGCCACAAATCACTACACCGCTAACACTGTCCCACCAGAGACAGACTATCAGGTGTGGGTATAACACACTCAGATGCCTCCGACACTAAAGTATCAGTCTGGATCTCCCCACGTGACACCCCTGATGACAGCGTACAGCCGTCAAGTGAGGCTGTTGTTGCAGCACTGGATGGTAAGGTTAAGAAAATGGAGTTTGTGGTGGGTGTTAGCAAGGCTCTCAGTGGAGGGTAAGTGAAATTAATATACATTTCTGCTAACTGAACTGACTTGTGTTCTTTTTTAGTTTGACCGGAAAAAAATGTTTTTGTAAACATCCCTAAATTGTTTGAACTGGTAGTAACTGTTAAATTATTTGAACTGTTAGTCAGATCTCTCCCCACTCTTCAGAGTTGACCATGTAGCAGCAGCAACAGGCTCTCACCACGACGTAGCGGAGATAGTAATCCCCGGTATCTGCGGTCTCCTCATAGTAGTCCTAGTAGCTGGTCTCCTCTACTACCGTAACAGATATCAGCAGCTCCTCCGGAGGTACTCCTTCCGGAGCAGGTACGCTAATGATGACAATGATGACGTTAACATGATAGAATGTGCCGACGAGCAGGAGGGTATCTCAAGTAGTGATCTGGGTAGAGGTGCCCTCGCTATTTCCAGCGAGGACTCTGTACAGAGACCCAGGGGGATCAAGAACTTCTTTGAGAGGTGAGATAATTCAAACATTTTGTTTTGATGATTCATTGCTACACGTTGTATACCTCTCTCGTGCACGCGTAGCGTGCACTCCGGCCGGCCGGTCGGAGAGAAAGCCTTTTGTGGCCGGAGCGAAAAGGTTGCAACGTTGAACGTTGTGTTCCTTTTTTTCCTTGTCATCCCCTTAAGTTTTAAGATTCTTGCTATAAATGGCTACAGCTAACACTATTAATGCTAAGTACCAAACAACAAGTGGGAGGTGGATCGTTGGTATACCATTAAATCGATTTAACACCGCAATTCCAGTCGCAAGCCTGGGACCACTACTAGCATAGTCACAACATCTACAAAGCTGCCATATAGCCTGACTGACAATTTTCTCGACTGACTGACAATGTTTCTTCTTTTTCCCCATTTAGAATACAAAGATTAGTACATTTTAGCTTATGATTAATATTATATTTTTACCTATAGTTTACCTAGGTCAAATGATTCAGCAAGTTTACTGTAATCTCTGAGTGGGGGTGTTTTGAGATTCAACTAGGTTTATTTAACTAGGTATACTATTAATTTCTGCTCATTAACATTGTTCAACTTCAGGTTTAATTACACACAAAATGATCAAAACGACCCCAATGAGCTGATAGATGATGATGAAGAACATCTCCTACCCTTGTAAAACCCTACCCTCCCTTCCTTTCCAGCTTAAAACTCTGGCAGTTATCAGTCAACGAATATGCTCCATTTTTGTTGAAACTCCAGCGTGTGAAATTGGTTTTCCTATTCAGAATATAATAGTGAAATTTTGTCGTTTGCCCAGGACATGAATATTCTTTTGGGCTATTGATTTTTTTTTCAGAATAAGTGTTAACGTAGTCGAACTATTATATATATGAGCTATTATTTCTTTTGTTCGAAATCTTGGCTGGTCCATCTGAAGTTTGTTCTAGTCCAAGTTCAATGTTAATCTTTCTGACTGTTCAAGTTGTTTTGGTAAGTCAAAGATTGGCAGTGAAACATCGGAACTTGAAGCATCTATCAGTATTGTATCTTGTTTTGAACAAATCAAAGAGCCGACATTTTGAATTCGAAATTTGCTGGCTATTTTTTCTTGTTTTGTAAGAAAGTTCTTGTTATTTGTGCAATATATTTCCCTGTTCAACACTCTTTTTGCTGCGTATCTCATCTTAAATTGGTTAAAGGTTTTAAGATATTTTTAATTTCTTTGATTTCTTCCAATTAAATTATGTTTTTTTTTGCCTGATTTGTAAAGTAAAAATATTTTCAGTATTACTTCGCTGAGTAAATCTGTTCGTTTAGATGGTAAGAGATGAATCATGTATAAATCAAATTTTATTGTTGTATCTGGTCGTCATGTTACAAGTTGGAACCGAAATTTGCGCCAAAACCTATGGCATGACAAAATCAGCAATCGTGGATCGATCGAATGAGTCAGGTTATCTTTTTAAGTGGAGAAATGTGTGACATTTGATTTTCAGTCAAATCGTTAGATTTAGAATACATTGCCGATTTTAGTTAAATGTTATCCACTCGCTATTTTAGTTGATTAATTGATTATTATCGCAAATTGAAATATTGTAAGTGATGATAGAGGAGTGGCATACTTGTTCTTACAAAATATATTTTAAGTTTGCCGTTTGCTTCAGAGCAAGTTTACTACACTTGCGACCTTATACCTTGGCAAATCTAGGGGTATACCGGTGAAACTGAGAATATGATCGCAAATATAGCTACATTAGTGAAGCTTACTATTCGGTTGTATCACGTCGTGACCCCCATTGTCGTTTCACTAAGTGTCACTAGTATCGTGGCCACGATACAGCCGTGCACTCGTGTGCGGCAGGTCTACAACGTATGACAACAGTATTCCATATTCGGTACGTTACGCGAACAATGTCCAAAATCAAGCAGGTTGTCAAGTTGTGTAACTAAGAATTTCAATTGTGATTATGAATTATGATCATATTTCATTTTTGTAAATTTCAACTTTTTGTTTAATTTGTCTCCATGGTTAAAGCCGTCAGCTGTGTCGAACCTATAATGGGGGGGGGGGGGGGGGGGGGGTGTCACGTCCGTCTATGTCCGCTTGTCTCATAGAATCCAAAAAGGACAGGACATAGGCGGACATAGGCGGACATAGACGGACATAGGCGGACATAGGCGGACATAGGCGGACATAGACGGACATAGGCGGACATAGACGGACATAGGCGGACATAGGCGGACATTAATGGACACCTAAATTGCTAAATAAAATGTTCAATTTTTGCTGTCATAGGGGGGATCATGTTTTTTGTCCGTTCGGTACCCTATATTTTCAAAACGGACAAAAATATAGCGACAAAAACGGACAAAAACGGACATAAACGGACAAAAACGGACAAAAATGGAAATAACATTTAGATGCTTCCTCCTCCTACTCTTCCTCCTCCTCCCCCTGGGTCTTCCTGATCTTCCTCAGTCCTCTTCCTCCTCCCCTCCTCAGTCCTCCTCCTACTCCTCCTCCTCATCCTCAGTCCTCCTCATCAGTCCTCGACAGTCCTTCTCCTCCCCAGTCCTCCTCCTCCTCCTGAGTCCTCCTCCTGGGTCCTCCTCCTCCTCTTCATCCTCCTCCTCTTCCTCCTCAGTCCTCAGTCCTCCTCCTCATCCTTTCCTCAGTCCTCCATCCTCCTCCTCAGTCCTCCCCCAGTCCCCCTCCTCCTCCTCCTATTCAGTCCTCCTCCTCCTTCTCAGTCCTCCTCCTCCTCCTCCTCCTCCTCCTCTTCCCTCTCAGTCATCCTCCTCAGTCCTCCTCCTCCTGGGTCCTCCTCCTCCTCTTCATCCTCCTCCTCTTCCTCCTCGGTGCTCAGTCCTCCTCCTCCTGGGTCCTCCTCCTCCTCTTCATCCTCCTCCTCTTCCTCCTCAGTCCTCCTCAGTCCTCCTCCTCATCCTTTCCTCAGTCCTCCATCCTCCTCCTCAGTCCTCCCCCAGTCCCTCCTCCTATTCAGTCCTCCTCCTCCTCCTCCTTCTCAGTCCTCCTCCTCCTCCTCCTGAGTCCTCCTCCTCCTCCTCCTCTTCCCTCTCAGTCATCCTCCTCAGCCATCCTCCTCAGTCCTCCTCCTCAGTCCTCCTCCTCCTGGGTCCTCCTCCTCCTCTTCATCCTCCTCTTCCTCCTCGGTCCTCAGTCCTCCTCCTCCCCAGTCCTCTCCCAGTCCCCCTCCTTCTCCTCCTCCTATTCAGTCCTCCTCCTCCTCCTCCTCAGTTCTCCTCAGTCCTCCTTCTCATTTCTCCTAATTCCTCCTCCTGAGTCCTCCTCCTGAGTCCTCCTCCTCTTCCTTCTGAGTCCTCCTCCTGAGTCCTCCTCCTAGCCCCCCTCTCAGTCATCCTCCTCAGTCATCCTCCTCAGCCATCCTCCCCAGCCATCCTCCTCAGCCATCCTCCTCAGTACTCCTCAGTCCTCCTCCTTCTCAGTCATCGTCAGTCCTCCTCCTTAGTCCTCCTCCTCCTCCTGGGTCCTCCTCCTCCTCCTGGGTCCTCCTGGGTCTTCTTGATCCTCCCCAGTCCCCTTCCTCCTCCCCTCCTCAGTCCTCCTCCTACTCCTCCTCCTCGTCCTCAGTCCTCCTAATCAGTCCTCAACAGTTCTCCTCCTCGAGGAGTCCCAGTCCTCCTCCTCCTCCTGGGGCCTTTTCCTGGGTCCTCCTCCTGGGTCCTCCTCCTCCTGGGTCCTCCTTCTCCTCCTCAGTCCTTCTCCTCCTCCTCCTCAGTCCTCTTCCTCCTCTTCCTCCTCCTCCTCCCTCTGAGTCATCCTCCTCAGCCATCCTCCTCAGTCCTCCCCCTTCTCAGTCCTCCTCCTCAGTCCTCATCCTCCTCAGTTCTCCTCCTCCTCCTCCTAGGTCCTCCTTCTGGGTCCTCCTCCTCCTGGGTCTTCCTGATCCTTCTCCTCCCTCTCAGTCATCCTCCTCAGTCATCCTCCTCAGTCATCCTCCTCAGTCATCCTCCTCAGCCATCTTCCTCAGCCATCCTTCTCAGCCATCCTCCTCAGTACTCTTCAGTACTCTTCAGTACTCTTCAGTCCTCAAAATGTTTGTCCGCTAATGTCCATCAATGTCCGCTAATGTCCAACAATGTCCATCCAAGTCTGCCAATGTCCGTCCAGGTCCGCCAATGTCCGTCCGAGTCCGCCAATGTCCGTCCGAGTCCGCCAATGTCCGTCCGAGTCCGCCAATGTCCGTCCGTGTCCGCCAATGTCCCAAAAAACACGTCCGTTGTCTCATAGAATCCAAAAAGGACAGGACATAGGCGGACATAGACGGACATGACACCCCCCCCCCCCCCTATAATGTTCACGTGAATTTGGGTGAAGCGAGCTGTATAGATCTGGAGGTAGTCAGTATTCTACATTTTAGTACATACATGTATAGTAACTTACTAGTTGTAGAAGTCTTAGTTCTTTATTGTCAGTACCAAGAGCAGCAGTTCTAATACAGGGTGGCCCATAAGTGACTACCCACACGCAACCTCTTAATAACTCACGTAATTCGTCTCCAAATTGCACCAAAATTTCAGAGATTATAGATATGGGTCAAACTTAGATTTCCTGAAAGTTTCGTAAGCCACGCCCAATTACAGTGGGCGTGGCGTGACACTCCCTCTTTTTCACTATTGTCTTCATAAAATGAGAACGCTTTTAGCTAAGAACTCCAAATTTTTTGCACACATTTGGCTTGATAATTGAAAACCTTCCCCCAATGTATATAGTATATATTGTATATAGCCAATTCAGAAATTTTCAGCACATAAGTTTTAGGATGATAATTAATCACTCTACACTCGACTGTCACGTGACTTTTTCAACCCGTTCTCTATATAGCTGGTCCTGAACGACTTTTCGAAACCCTAACCCTCGTCCCTCAATTATCTGATCCCAACCCTAACCCTAACCCAATCCTTAACAAAAGCATATGCTGAAACCCTAACCCTAACTAGAAATTAGACTAACTTCCTTATACGGTCATATCACGTGATCGAAACAGTTTTTCGCCTATATCTCGTCAGGGGAGCATTTTAACCCTATGTCGTGGGGGGTGATTCGGAATCAGCGTCCGAAAATACATCCATTGAAGTTGGTTTCAACTGTCGGGGGCCCTTTTAGAACAATCTCGAAGATCGACTGTAGAGTGATTTAGTACGCTCGTAAGTTTTACCCAGTTAGCAGATTCCCAGGGTTCTTTTGCGATAGTCAAAACAACTAGCGCTGGATAACGCTATCCAGCGCAAAATATAAATGTTCGATAATTGTCGCTATACAGCGCTATTTGTCGCTATACAGCGCTAGTTGTTGCCATCCAGCGCTAGTTGTCGCTATCCAGCGCTAGTTATCGAACTGGATAGCGACAACTAGCGCTGGATAGCGCTGGCCAGCGCTAGCTGACGAGTAATATCGCAAACATTTTGCGCTGGATAGCGCTGGCCAGCGCTAGCTGACGAGTAATATCGCAAACATTTTGCGCTGGATAACGCTATCCAGCGCAAAATATAAATGTTCGATAATTGTCGCTATACAGCGCTAGTTGTCGCTATACAACGCTAGTTGTCGCCATCCAGCGCTAGTTGTCGCTATCCAGCGCTAGTTATCGAACTGGATAGCGACAACTAGCGCTGGATAGCGCTGGCCAGCGCTAGCTGACGAGTAATATCGCAAACATTTTGCGCTGGATAGCGCTGGCCAGCGCTAGCTGACGAGTAATATCGCAAACATTTTGCGCTGGATAGCGCTGGCCAGCGCTAGCTGACGAGTAATATCGCAAACATTTTGCGCTGGCTATCGATGGCTATCGCTTAGCGCTAGTTGTCGCTATCCAGCGCTAGTTGTCGCTATCCAGCGCTAGTTATCGAACTGTTTTCTGCGATGGCCAGTTGCGCTTGCCATCGCAAAGTATCGGGTGCGACAGTGTCGCATAGCCAGCGACAACTAGCGCTGGATAGCGACAACTAGCGCTGGATGGCTACAACTAGCGCTGGATGGCGACAACTAGCGCTGGATGGCGACAACTAGCGCTGGATAGCGACAATTATCGAACATTTATATTTTGCGCTGGATAGCGTTATCGATCCAGCGCTGGATAGCGACAACTAGCGCTGGATGGCGACAACTAGCGCTGGATAGCGCTAGTTGTCGCCATCCAGCGCTATTTGTCGCGTTTTGACTATCGCAAAAGAACCATAACTTCTTTAAACAAGTATAGTAACAAAAAACAGAAATTTCGGTTGAAAATTTGTTGACCTCTGAAAAAAAACTTGAAAGGTCGGCCACCGGTAAATTCATGACCGGGATAATTTGGCGGGTTTTGGGAAAGTCCGCCATATTTTTCCCGGTCATTAATTTTCCCAGTCATTAATTAACCCGCTATAATATTTCCGAGTAAGGTAGGGTAGCATGAAACATGAACAAAAGTAGTTTCCAAAAAAAAATTTCCAAAAAATTTTTAGAAACCTAAATTAAAAAGTTGGCCCCTTGCCCAGATTTCATGGGGGGCGATGGCCCCCCCCCTGCCCCCGCTTCCTACACCCCTGGTTATGGGCTACGAGACAGGCTAGTAAAACATAGAGTTATGGTCACGTGACAGGCTACCCAGCGAACCCTACCGGCTGGGGTATATCTCGAAAAGTAAAATAAATAGAACCTTCCGGTTTTCATGTTTCAACAAAATTTCCGCCTCGTAAATTTAAACTTAACTCCCCAGGAGCAAAATTTGGGACAACTTAGATTCTGAATTAAACCGAAAAGTTTGATTTTGGCCTAAATAAAAGATCACAGCTTTTAAACTTTGCAAAGTAATGTCGTTGTCATGACTACTAGGCTAAATGCAGCGTGCGAAAGGTTAACTTGATGTGACGCGCGACGACAAACGTGAAACGTGCTGTTGAAAATCTATCATCTCTAGCGAGCCCAGCAGACGGTAAGGTTTTCTGGGTGGGCGAAAGAGCTGAGAGTTCATAGTTCAGCTGCAGAAGAAAGCAGAGCCAGAAGGAAGGGGGGCCCGGGGGGGGGGGGGGGGTTGTAGGTTTACAACCTACCAGGACGCGCGCGCCGAGTATCACCCGTTAAGGGGGGGGGGGGGGGGGGGGGGGGTGCAAGGAGGTAGGGGGATGTTTTGCGATATAATATAAGAATTATAATTTCGGCGGAAAATGTATGAAGTTTTAAAAGTAGATTTTGAGGGTGAAGATCGCGTTTTTACTTACCCATCCAGGAGTCCCCTTTCATGTTGGCAAAATTCTCTACTTTTCTTTTCTCTACCGTCTAACTCTACGATCAGGATTCTGATTACTATATTAAAATATGTCTTATCTCAGTATCGGATCTATCAAATTTCTTATTCTAAAAGTTTAAGACTCATCTCAATCTCCTCACTGACACTATGCAATATTTCGCTGTTGTATTTCGCTCCTACTAAATCGTATAATCGCTCGCCCAAATTTTAACAAAATTCTTGTGAAAAGGCCCTTTGGGCATGAAGTGATCTATAAGTATATGATCGGCATGTATTTTTGGACGCTGATTGAGATTCCGAATAACCCCCATGACGTAGGGTTAAAATGCTTCCCTGGAGGGATATGATTATGGGCAAAAAACCGTTTTGGTCACGTGTCAGGCTAGTAAAATACGAATTCGATTGTTTAGGACTCGGGTTAGGGTTAGGGTTGTGGTAAGGGTTATGCTTAGCTTCGGGGTTATGGTTAGGCCCTTAGGGTTAGGGTTGGGATTAGGGTTTATGTACAACCGTTTTGTACGGCTGCAAAACCATAAAAACCAAAGTCACGTTAAATTTTTGGGCGAGCGAATTAGTAAGAGCCGTTGTATTTGCTGCCGTTATGATTCTAAGCATGGCCTCCCCCGTGGAGATCGAGGAAAGGGAGTACTCACAGCTAGGACCTGGATGTTGTAAAGTAGTATTGTTAGGTTCTCGGATAAATTAACTTTGTTTACAGCGGAATATGTAATATTAGGAGGGTTGCGTTTAAAGTATTTAGGAGCACTTTATTTGTGAAATGTTTGGTAGTAAAGGGACCGTTACACATTTCCGGGTAGTGCGACATTTCGTGTAATAGTTTAACTGTTTAACAGTTGGTTTTGAATTTATTTAGAAAGTTTTGGTTTGTATTTCATTTTACACGGGTTGACTGTATTTGGTTGACTGGCAAACCTGCTGTCAGACAAACTGCCATATTTTAGTTGGCCGCGCTTTTGCACCTGACTTACAGCTAGGCCTGTGATTGGTCCTCGCGACCACAGGATGACTGTCAGTGGAGTGCTCAGCGTCTAGACGGTGTCTAGACGCTGGTGCAGGCTGGCTGCGTTAGGCCGACACGCGTTGTGGCGTGACGTAAGTTTTGGGAGCATACCCGGAGAGCCGGATGTGGAGAGCTCACTTCTTAGTTGCCCCTTAATCACTTTAAGGGATTCGAATTAACGGTAGCCAGTTTTACTGAGCACTACCAGTTGTGATTAGACACGTCGTGTGATCTATAATCACGTTAATCGATTTGAGCGAACACTTGGAGGTTTTTATCTGTTGACGTTCACTTTGTATTACTTTTCCTTTTAATTAATTATCCCTTTTAATATACTCGTTTCATTTCTACCTTACGGTACGCCCTGCCGTTCGTGCTTCGTGACTAGAGCTTGACTAGCATACACTAAATACCTAGAGAACTCCGTTTTCTATATGTCATAGACATGATGATCGACATGCTCACAGAAACGATCTGTGATGGTGGCGAGGCTGAGGTGAATCGGCGAGTTATAGATAATTTTACAATCAATACTTGATAATGATCGGTATACATTCCTTTCAGTTTCATACATACATACAACCCATTCCTTTCATTAAATAGTAACATTAAACACAAGAGTGTATCATATTTAGAAAAATATAAAATCGTGACAACCTTGTTTATTTAATAATTATATTGTCAAAATCCCAGGTTGAGCTTCAGGAGATATCAATGGTCAGTACGATCACGATGTACGTCAAGATGTTCCTTTGCAAATCCTAAAGGAACCAACTTAGTGACGGTGTTCAATATTTGTAGTCTTGATGAATTTCAAATAATTTTACATATTCAAGTGTTTACTATTTTAAGTAAAATCTAAAATTATCAATCGTGCGAGGAATATAATTAATTTAAGTTTAGCGATTCAGTATAATCATCGGTTTAATTTGCTGGAACATCATGAAACGATCATATTCATACGAGAAAACTTAGGGTCGATAATGTATCCAACTAATTTTATTCCTTTTTGTTGAGTAAAATTGAAAAGTTAACGCACGGATTTCACAATTGAGTAATGATATCTGAGCAATAAAAAAAGCCATTCTGCAAATAAAATGTGATAAAAATGGTCATTTAAAGCGATACAATTTCACTCAAGATTCAAGATTACAAGAAATTCTAGATCTAATTTACTCATTAGAAAACTCTATTCGAAATATTTAGTAATTGAAAACTTACAACTTATTTGTAGGCGAACCAAAAAATATAAAACATCAGTTCAACCTAAAATCTTAGAAATATCAAATTTTTTCGTAAAAAAAGTGAGACGACTTTTGAAGATTTGACTGAAATCACATTATACATCTGTCCATGATTTTAGTTTCAGGCTCTAAAAATAAATCGAAAGTATTTCGTTGTTGTATCGGTATACGCTTATAAGCTTATATATGGCGAAAAAGGGGTAGTTCAAAGTTTGAGCTTAACACAATCGTTTGAAATACAATATTCAATACTTCAACAGCAACATTTATTATCAAATTGCCAAACTTAAATCATCATTTACAGTCACCTAAATGTACAAATAATCTAAATAAAAGTTTATTTTACAATCTTCACTACAATTCGTTAATCGTTATACGCATAAACCAGTTATGAGTACATTATCATTCTACCCACCCATTCAACTTATTAACAAATAAATGTTTGCGTGGTATCGGTATTAGCAAACAAAAGTTCCTACTGAAAAGGTCAAAAAACTTCTTTTGGGGCTGAGATCAGAATTCCTTAAAAGTCAGGCAACACCTCGGTCTGATCGTAAACGCAATTCTTTCGATTCGTCACTTTTGTAGAAACATTAACCCGCTCAAATACTCTCTATCACGACAACAAAATCCCTCATAGAAGAGCTATTAAAACCACTCGACAGAACCATCTCGTCAATACTTCTCTAAAAAGTCCACTTTGAGCCCGGAGGGTAAGGTTACTATGGTGAAGTCTATGTCACGTGTTTCGTATGAGAACTTCAACGCGTGCAGTTTGTTTGGATCCATCATTAGTTTCTGGCTCTTTTCTATCGGCTTGTGGTTCAATATGTACCTGGAGAAATAAATGTTTAAATTTGACTATAGGTACAATTAGTTCTAAAAACATGGCAGTTCAAAAAATTGCGTAATATCATCTATGCAATGAAAACCTAGTCATGGAATGAAACATTACCATGTGGCCTGGACGGGTACACCTCGTAGAATTACGACAGTTATGGCTTTAACAAGGAAAAGTACAATCAAACAAAACTGTATATGCACAACGAATATCAGATATGAAATAATTTGCTGTTATTATTGAGCCTGTTTTTGGACTGACTTGATAACATCCTGAGGGACTCTCTCCTCAAACTCAGATCTAGGTGAGTAGAGCATCAACAGTTTCTGTAGCTGCATGGTGTTGAGGGAGTAGCAGGTCTCCACGATGGCGGCCGCGTTGTCTCCGCTTGACTTGTTCATCTGGAGGAGCTGGGACGCTTGACGGATCTCCGAGAGGTAGGTCAGGACCCCACTGTCGTCCAGATCTAACCCTTGTTCTCGGACCCACTGCTCTACTTGAGATAGATTGTACCTGGAGATGATGTTTGTTTGTTGTATCTGGAGTGAATTACTAGTACTACGGACTAATTATTAACTTGTTACTGGGGTGATGAGACTCATTTATACTGCTATTTATGATAAAACAAAATGATTGCAAGCACGAAGTGAAAGAGAAATAAAATAGAAATCAGCAAAAAATCGTTGAATCAGTACCTGATCTGAATTCCTTTGCTCCAATGGCAGAGATCCTTCCTAAGTATCAAATTATTAAGAAGAGTAGCGTTGATAAAGTAGAGGAGTTGGCCGATGAACTGCCGGACGATGTTGATGCTGATGCTCTGAGAACTTAATAACTGTAGGTAGAATTGGAGCCTGTTCACTATCACTCCGGTGTCGCACCCCTTGTCTGTTTGTTTTCGACCTGAAATAGTTGTAGACACTGTGACTTAATGACAATTATTAGCGGTTTTGATCTTAACATAACGATAAAGGGCATTACATCTGACCAGGTTGGTCAAAGAGAGAACAACCAAAATCTAAGAATCTATAATTGAGATCTAAGCAACATCATTAAATAATGAGACTCCTAGCCTAACCAGCTGACTCACCCCCAGAGAAGCTACTGTTCATGCCAGGGATAGAGTCGTGCTCCAACATGCCCGGTATCAACATGGGCTGCAGCTCATCCTGAGCCGTCTTCACAATGGTGTGGTAGATGTTGATACATTGGTCCGAGAGGAGGGGCCTGTAGTCGGACAGGTCGTAGTTCTTCAGAGCAAAGTCTCTCATTGCAGGGCTCAGACGGTTGTGGTACAACTGGTGGGGAAGGTCGTCAATTTGAGGTTACATTATATCTCCTTACGGTGGTGTCACTGACCGGGCCGAATTATCCTATATTTCGATAAAATCGACCACTAATTAATAGTGAATAACACAATGCCATTGCCAAGTTATATCTGGGATAACCAGCTCGACTGACCTCCTCGCCCGAGAACTGAGTTAGATCGTGAAGCAAAGTGAGACAGTTAGTTAACCAGAACGTAGATATAACAGGGTCTCTACTCTGTTTTCTCGTTACTGACGTTATACCTGAGGAGGAAAAAATCGCATATTAGTAAAACTAAATAGAAGTAGATCGTGTGGTCTGACATAAGCTTGCTACAGTACAATTTTTAGATATATTTTATATTATAGTTTCATGGTTATCTTCGCTGTTCCAAGTTTGCTTTCAGGTAAAATTCGCCATTTCTTTAAATTACATGGTTCGCTCTAAATCAGATTAGGCCATCAGGGGCAACCCTGATGATACACTAATCCTGAAAATGAACCTGATATAATAGCAGTAAGGAGTTCCTGTATCCTGCCCTCATCATTACAATGATCCGCGTATCTGACACACATGAACATGATGTGTGCAGTTAGCCCCGACATGCAGCCTGGTCCTGCGGAGGTAGTCACGTGTAAATCACGTGTAAATCACGTGTAAATCACGTGGCATGTGTAAATCACGTGGTATGTGTACACTTTGAGGTAACAAGTATGGAATTTACCGGGTTTAAACTTAGGAAATCGATCACTTTACAGCTTAAATAGCAAAGAACATGACACATTGCCAACATACATTGAAGCAAAATTTCCTCTAGTCGCTAGTTTTTAAAACGTTTCCTTGATAAAACACAAGTCAATCAGTCTCTTTAAAGTTCTAAAAACTTTTAACTTTGCGCCATAAACTAAGAAGTACCTGTGACATGTTCTGTTTTGAGTTGTGTTATGAGCCGTTTGACCAGCTTGCTATCGTCTCCCTTCTTGCAGGCAAACATGCCCTTGAACTCCTGTTTCCTTGATCGGATTGTGGAGAGAGACTCCTGACGAGTTAACTTCTTCTCCAACTTCTTCTCCGTATTTCCTGGTAAATTTGGTAGAATTGGTTGAGACAAGTTTTAAGTCAGTGGCAAGTAACAGGGTCTGTTCAACGATAAGTATACTAGAAATTAGAATGTTGAAGGGCAGAAGAAGGTTTGTTTTTAGACTAAAAAAGGCAAAATTTGAACTGTTAATCGGATATTTTGCAGATTAATTTAAGGAAAAACTGACCTCCTTCTGCCCTGATTAGGGAGGAACCATATGCAATGAAAAAGTCATTCTTGTGGTCAATCATTGTCGTTCTACTAGTACTAGCTGTTTGTTCGTCTACAAACAAGAATATATGTCAGTCGGTCATTTCAAATGTAAGTTCATGTGTACATAGTAAGTCTATATCCATCAATTTATTAAAAATAATAAAATAATCGGTTTTAATTTTAAAATTAAACTGCCATTCTGGCGGAAATCTTTACCGGATATGAAAGGTATGGCGTTCTGAAGTCTGTTTATATCGTCAAGAAGTTTGATGTTTTCTCCTGCCAAAGTCTCCACTTTGCTTTGCAGCACAGCGTCTTCTTCAGTCTTGATGTTATTCTGAAAACGTGGGCATTAAAAAGTGAATTCAGTCCCCAAGACCATATATAGTTGATCTGTGGACAATTGATGGGTAGCGAAGTTTAGCATTGTCCTGATGTCCTGATGTCCTGATGTCCTGATGTTCTGATGTCCTGATGTCCTGATGTCCTGAAGTCCTGATGTCCTGATGTCCTGATGTCCTGATGTCCTGATGTCCTGATGTCCTGATGTCCTGATGTCCTGATGTCCTGATGTCCTGATGTCCTGATGTCATCATCAGTGATTCATCACTCATCATCGGGTTTAGATATTATATATGATTTCTCGGATTCATAATGAAAGCATGACCTCCCCCGTGGAGATTGAGGAAAGGGATGATGGTGAAATCCTCAAATGGCTCGATGATTACAAGTTCATGATCTGCGATCGCAACTACTGGGTAAGTCAGTGATTTGGACAGATTGCCAAATTTTGATAAAACTTCCATAAATTGAATCGTTGTCCATAGAGATATCGATGACAATATTTTGGTGACTCACAAGCCCTATAGATACTAGGCCTGGGGTATTTCTTTTTTACCAAATTGATTTCGAAATCCCTTGATGCGTTGCTTTAAGTTTAAACCATTGCAAATCCAGCTTCAAGTTCAAAAGAGAGGAGAGTTGATGGGATGGACAGGTCAACAATTGGGCATCATCAACATGATTGTCGGCATGGTCACGAAATACTTGGAATGCGGATTTTAATGGAAACAAACAAAGTTTCGGTATTCAATATGCTTCACGTGTCAGTGTAAATCTGATTAACTTTTACTTAACAGCATTTCACTGTCTACTTAAATTACTTAAAAGATACATATAAATGTGTGGAAATCTAAAAGTTATAAATTGTGCGAAAAATATAATTGTAACGATTCCTGGTACAAAAACTATAAACTGATCACATTACTATTTTTCTCCTGCAAAGTTATACAAATAACTCGGGGACAAACCTTATTGAATTTGGCAACATCACTAAAGAGCTCAACTCTCAGAGAATCTAGATGAGATCTAATCTTGTCTTGTGCTTGCTGAAATAACAATCCGTCATGGAAGATGGTTTTAAATCATCCGTATTTTAACATTTATCCTGTAGCAGGACGGCAGAGTCAACTACGTCACTCCAAACTTGTCAGAGAGCATATCTGAGCGAATTCGCAAAATCAAAAATGATGAAATGTGTACCCTAGGATTCCGAGTATTGACGATTTCTCTCAAAAGAGAATCCTTAACATTAGATAACTTTAGTTCCATCTGCTCGTATTTCGTTCTCATCAAGGTCTGCTCGTCTATAGCATCCATCAAATCGTCTGTCATTCTGTCGAGGTTTTCCTTCAGCTCAACATTCTCTATTATTATCTCCTCAAGTCGCGCTCTTTCGTTTTCCTGAAGGGAATGAGTAACTTATTACTTTAACTTAGGCTTAGTTTATCTAAGTGTTAAGCAAGATCTATATTGAGTAGTAGGTAAAAATTACATGAAAATGAACATGATTTGTACTGGGTAATGGGTAACAATAACTTACATCCACAGGGAAGATCTTATCACCACCATTCACCACAATAGGCGCTCCAGTTGAAGCTCCTGTCTCCTTCAGCTCTGCTATAGTCTGGGGAGATGTTTGGTTTAGTAGGGACCTCACACGTAGATATAGCCAGGAGAAGGAACATTGAAAAAGCAACGTTTGCAGATTAATGACCTTTTTTTGTTGGCAAAAACATTTAATAGTAACAAGGTATTGTTCAACGTGTAAATTGAGATATGATATCAAAAGATGAGGAAAAAACAATTAAGTAACATCGCCTTCAGCAAACATGGACATTCTCAGGAAATCCTGCTTTTTACATTCGCACAACACGGCTTCAGCGAAGGAAAAGGATTGTAGCATGCCAATCAAAGCGTTTTTAAGATGCAAATGTATGTAAACTGGACGGTTATATGGCTATACATCGAATGCATTTAACGAAAACCATCAAATATTGGATCTGGCGACTTGAATGAAACGGAGCCAAATTCGCACAACGCGGCGCTCCTACCTTGTACGCAAGGTCAAGCTTAATCCTGAGTTCCTCCTGGCCCATCTTCTCGGAGGTAATATTCCGACCTAGGGACTCAGTCTCGAAACTGGAGAAGTTGTCAGTCTCATCATCATTGCAGGCAGTGTCACTTCGTGTCATCATGGATACTGGGCTGTTGTTAGCGGCCGTCATATACCCGTTATCCTCAGCTAACTTCTCATCTCCTGGATAAAGGGCCACGTTTCTTGTTCCCTCTACAGATATCATGTTGTTCAGATAGTTTCGTAACATATCCACATCTGGGTTGAAGTCTGTGTACTGGACTGGAATGTAGAATTGAGACAGTATCTTGTCTATATCTCGGCGTTGTGTCTCAAGTTCTGAGATGTGATCTTGTAGAGCTGGTAGTTCAGGATCTTCTATCTCCGCTTGAGCGTCGTTGTCTTGTGTTTCAGGCTGTATCTGGGATTGTTTGGAGACAGTGTCTTGTTCGTGCTGGATCGCTACCTCTGAGAAACTAAGTCCGTGATCAGAGTCCACGTCGATCGCACTGTCATCACTCGCGTCCATCATCTCGTTCTCAAACAAATAACATGTTTCAGTGTGGTTGTCACGGGCCTCGGGGTAGTGTTGCGTGGCAACGTGATGTCTCACGCGTGAGGCCTGAGTCGACGCGTCTGATTGAGTGAGTCTGGTGTACTGGGAGATGCTTTCTTTCATCTCTACCGTGCATTGGGCGGGGGAATCTTTAGCTAACACAGCTGCTTGGACTCCCTGCTCTTTATACCGTTTATCCTGAAATAATGGCTGTCCTATGCGCTGCTGCAACAGTCCTGGCTTCTGTCTCTCCTTCACGCGGCTCTCTCCAGTTGCACACCTCCACCAAATTTGTTTACAGATTGTATGGAATGGAATGTTGTTTTTGGAATTTAGATACGAATCAGAATAGTGAGTTTTCAACATTACACATGCGCGTGTCAGAGAGATAGAGTCCAGTTCATGCACTGTTTTGGGAAAATGGGGTGCTTTAATTTTATAATAATACTGCTGATCACAGCCAATGATAGCGTTATAAGATGTCATATCTTAAGATGATATTAATCATAATCAATAACAACTGTGCTATGAAAAAAAATATTGATAGAATAAATACCGAAACATTTTGCTAGGCTCAGCTTTAATTTGAATAAAAAACGTGATTGTAAAACTAATAATATGTAAAATTTAACAACCATGCGAACTGATTAGAACTAATGGTTGATAGTCCACAAGTAATGCTGGAGATTGCTCGGTAAACCCCGTTAACAATATTGAAGTGGGCAGTTTAACAATTTTACAAACGACATTCCATTAGATAGCTGTTACATTCCATTAGATAGCTGTTATTAGAGGAGTATCAGCTGATTAGCATAACCAATTTATAACGCAAAGTGGGAACTCATGACAAGAGCGTAACTCGGTGTAAATATCAATGTAATTACAATCCGAGCAACTAGCAAATATCACCATAGCAACTAGCAGACTTCACCATGGCAACTAGCAAACATCACCATAGCAACTAGCAGGCTTTACCATAGGAACTAACTCACATCACCATAGCAAACAGCACACATCACCATAGCAAAACTAGCACACATCGCCATAGAAAAACTAGCACACATCACCATAGCAACCAGCACACATCACCATAGCAACACACAATATCGCTACCTTATTGGCAGTGGCAAGTTGCTCCTCTAACTTCTCTCTGATATTCTCTAAGTCAGCTACCCTAGCCCTGGGGTCATGTGGTGGGAACCCTACAGCTGGGGAGGTGATGCCAGAGGAGAGGACCCCACTGTCCGGCGGAACATCACTCATCACACTACTCAAATCATCCCGGTCATCTGATGAGTCTTGCCATTGTCCGTGCGTCAACTCCTTGGAAACACGCACTAGGTTACTATCCTAGTAACTATATTGGTAACTAACTCACTAACTGTAACCAGCTAAAATCTCAGCTATCACAAGTTACCAAGTATTGGTAACCAAGCATATGCATATGTCACAGAGGTATCTTTCGGGCAGTTGGTAATCTAGCTAGGCACACTGTGCCCAAGGAATTTCAATTTTGTGCCCCAGGTGTGCCCCAGGTGTGCCTAGCTAGATTACCAAATTCCCATCCAGCATCCTTCGAAATCCGCGAGGAATAACCAAAAAGATTATATCTATCAGTTTACTGCACTGAGTTCACATAAACGTCACACCATGCAAAAGTAACGCAAACTTACCGAGCTAGAAGATTCACCTTCCATGATCACAAGAAAATAGCGGCAAAAGTAAAGGAATCATCAGTCAAATAACCAACAATAGAGTAATGTGTAAATAATATAGAGTCCGTGCACTAGAGATCTCAACTACTCACGACGAGTAGGGACTACAACATCAAAATATCATATTGTTGTGCAATATGACAAAACTATACGAGTGTCAGTAGCGGCACAGTTGGTGCACTGATGTATAAACTAGGCCGTGTACTGACAAATCTGGATTAGTTCTAGAATCCTCGAAACATTGTGATAGTGATAGCTGAGGGCAATGAGCTTGCTCGTATAGACAGATAAATCTTCAGACTTGAGACTTCATGCAAATATGTATACTGTATAGTTTATACAGGTAAATGGGATGGCACTTTTTTGATGTTGAGCCCGAAGGCAAAGGTTTTTATATCTTACAACATAGTGCGACGGAAATATGAGACGGATGCATGGAAAACATGCGGTAGGAGTGACGCACATTCAAGTGAGGTACAATATGAGGTACAATATGAGGTACAAAATGAGGTACAGTAGGGTTTACGAGGGTAAAACCACAGAATACAGTTGAGGAAGAGTACCTGAAGTTCCTGGAGCTGTCTCTGAAGGTTACCGTTCTCTATCAGCATGTTCTGGTGGTGCTCTCTCTCTACTTCTATCTGGGCGTTCATACTGCGTTCTAGTGCCGCGTACCTCTCTGGGCAATGAGGCATTTCAATAACGGTCCCATTTTTGAAGATATTTTTAAAAATGTGGGGAAAACGAAGTTTAATAAACGGGTAATTGCTTATAAGAAAAACCGCCATATACATATTTTGCCTTGTAAACGTTTGCTGCGGAACAATCAACAAACCTTCTCCATTGTTCCTCTCGGACACAGTCTCCTCCTTGGATTGCTTGACTTCAGTCTCTAGTTCTTGTATTCGAGCCTTCAACTCTTCAATATCCTTTGAGAAAGTCATCAGTTTATGCTCATTTGCGAAATATGCAATTTAACAAAGTTTTCTTCTGATATTTTGGTGTTCACTTGAAGTGTTTTAGTCATAGATGAAAAACTCTTTTAACAACAAACTTAGAATCATATCAAAATATAATGTACCAATTGACCCATGTAATGTAAAACATGTTCATTGCTAAATTTCAAGTGTTTGTTAAAAAATGTCAATGCTTTGCCTCATTGAATGTGTACCATATTCAAAAACGTAATTCAAAAAACTGTCTCCGATGTAATAAATTAAGGACCATTCACATTTCACAAGTTTGATTGAAAAATGAAAGATGAATTGAAAAGAGTTTTGTCTGTCGCTAAATTATATCTGATGTGTCTGTAAGTCGTTATTTTTTCTGTTAAGAAGAACAACAATCTGATCGCACATCCAGGTCTGTTTCTGTTACATTATCGAGCACTTAAAACGTTTATATTAATTCAACGCCAAACCTTATATTATGTCAATGGTAGCAATTACTCTTGAATACCATCAGAATGTCAACTTAATACGAAAAATAAAAATATGAACCATGGTAGTAACAACCAACCTCTTCCTCTCGAGTTCTCCTTGCTATTTCAAGTTTCATAGCCAGATAGTTCTGTCGAATATCCTTCAACTCGTCTGTGGTGGTGGACAGTTCCTTCTCAAGCTCTTCTCTTGATCTGCAAAATACTTACAATTAAACGAGAACATAGTTCTAACTAGTACGTACTAATAAGTTACGTTCATTCTACATACTTAGGTGATGATAAAAACGTAACTTTCAATAAAACCACTATTTGATACTTAAACTTAATCCAGTCTTGTAACAAGACTTTCCCCACTTTTTATACCTCGATTCCTCGCCGAGTTTCTTCTTAACAGCTGCAAGTTCCTCGAGGTTCTGCTTGGTTTCCTCCAGGACGGAATTTCGTTCCTTTACCATATCCTTACTCTTCATCTGAGAGTATTACGTTGTTTAATTAGTTGGGTCAATTAGTTAATTAGTTGGATCAATTAGCTTCATTTTTATGGTCTACATTTAATGATCATGAAATTCACAGGACGAATATTATCAGTATATCGACAATTTCCATATTTAAAAACTTTGAAGATTTCTGGTTTGTAATTTATTAGAGGGAACAAATTCAGAATAATGTCAACCAAATATGTGACAGAGCTGTCGTAAGAGACAGGGTCACTCTAATTAAAGATCATGATAAAAACAGAGCCAGGTGGTTCAGAAAGTTAGAATGCAGTAAACATGACCAGTACTCTGTAGGTTAGAGTTAGCGAGGTAGATGCGCGCTAATATGTATGAGAATGGTTAGAGACAGTCTTAGGCAGCGAAACAAAAGGTGGAAAACCCCAACTCTCTTGGCGTCTCATTAATTAGACTGTTTAATAAACCAAATGCTTGCAGTTTTACTTTGTTATTATGATGATATATGCAGGACAGAGTTGGTAAGTTGTTTCTAAAAGATATCTAAACGCTGGTAAATAGCGTGGGCCTTGTGACATTAACAAATCCAGTATAATATTTAAGGTAAACTACAAACAAATGGTGTAAATGATGTACCCTCAAAGTTGAGAAACACTGAAACTAGAGTGCCCTTTAAGTTACGAAACATTGAAACCTGCACTGTATGGGTGACAAGTAAGTAAATCTGGTAACTGATCACTGGTAGACTAGTAGTAGTTAGTGACACCACCTGTTCAGTGTTCACGCTCCATGTGGAACTATAATGTGGAACTGTTAGCCATCTTCAAGTTAGAGCATGTGAGATGTGAATATCACCGAGTAGAGGTGATAGTTTTACGATAGAGTTTCAAGAAAACAGCTGTTTAAAAGTTAACAAAAGGTGGTGGTATCTAAATCTTGAAGAGGATGGCAACGGGCCAGGGCCGTTCTGTGTCAAGACAACAGATGTTGAAACTAGACAAATAAGACGGCGAGGAAATGTTATAAAGGAGTGCCACGGAAAGGTACTTATAAGGAGGTATGCTTGATAAACTGGGTCAGTTAAAGAAATAAAGGGAAACTCTCGCTAACCTTCTCTGGTGTGGTTACCTTGGTAACAGTCTGGGAATTAGTTAATCATAATCTGATCTTGGCGTGATTTTAATATGAGAAGCGACAATTTAATGTTAAAAGCCTGGTTAACCAGCACCAGATTTACCTGCATTTCAAATATCCTCTTTTCCAGTTTGACGTTGAGTTTCTTGAAGTGCCCAATTGATCTCGCTTCAACCTGGAAAGTGGAAAGAATAACAGTTTGAGAATGATGTTAGAATTCTAAAAGTTCTTTTCAATGTTTGAGTTTTGAGCCGAAGTTTTAAGTAGCATAGCTATAGATGTGGATACTGGTGGGGAGGTGAAACACATTTGTTTACTTTAATAGTAAGCACATGTTCAGCGGGTTGAGGAGGTGAAACACATTTGTTTACATTTTTAGGGTAAGCACATGTTCAGCGGGTTGAAGAGATGATACACATTTTGTATTATGGAAGGCTTGTAACACTTGTAACGCTTTCTTGTTACCCCCCTTTGAAGGCCTCGAATTATTTTCTGAACGAAAGCTCAAAAATAACCGAGAAATCGACCTTCTTATTAACTCATTTTGATGACTGTTTCTGACCTAAAATTGCACGAAAAATCGATTTAGCTAGGTTTCAGAACCTATAAACACTTCCTTATCCCTCAAAATTGATGTTTTATAGTTGATACGAGCAACAAGCAACATATGTTTTGATCCTTCGGTTCTACTCATGACCTAGGCAGTTAAGCTGAACCCGACAGATCGAGGCAATCCTCACCTTAACTGATCAAACTGGTACTAACACAATTTTCAGATATAAATGTTCTTTGCGATACGTTTATTGCAGCTTTGCAACTTGAGTGAAGACCAGAGTAAGAAAACACACAGCAGGTAAGCAACTCACTTTTGGTGACTGTTCCTCACAAACATTCTGATCCTGCAACATATGAACAGCTAGGGAGCTGGGAGATCGTCTCCTTAACAAATCGGACAGGTACTATCACAATTTCCAGGGCACAGCATGATAACAAAGTCAAAAGAAACACAACGAAGGTAGGTTACCAACACCACAATATAACAATTATACTAACAACTGAATTAAATTTATTCTGACGACGGGCAGCCCTGATATGCTCCGTCATCCTCAACGAGCGACCACTTGTAATAGAGGTGTTATGTCATGTGACACCGATCCGTCCAATCACAAACAGGACGAGTCAGCAGATCGATATCGTGTGTTTACTTTCCTTATCTTTATTTGACCCTCTGTTCACATTGTTATCTCTACCACATCTCGGCTCGGCAAGGTCAGCGTGCAATATCTGCACCGCGGTAAACACGCCATGATTACGTCATGAACTTGAAATAGTGTGATTGTTGTACTTATATAACCGTGCCCATTGCCCACGTACAATACAAACTGTTGGAGGGGGGGGGGTTAAGATAAACAACCGATCTTGATAGTGTGTTGGTCGCTCCTCCAACTGACTGTGATATGATGCTAACTGTTATAGCTCATTCAGCTTCTGTTTTCAGCGATGTGTTGCTACACACTGTATAGCATGTGGGTCAAGCGCGGTGCCGCGCCTAAGCAGCAAAAGAGTTATTTATTTTAAAATTTATTTTTGTATCTCAAAAAATGGTGTAAAGTTTTTAATATGACGTAGAATTAAAGCTATTTCCGTACAGCCTAAGTGCTAAGCATGCTCGTTAGAAAAACTATGAACAATGAACATAACATGCTAGCTTTCTTTATTTTTGTAAGTCGCGTCGGCTGACATCTTGGGTTGTACTGGATGTAACAAGTTTATTATCGGATGTCTACTTATATTTATTATGATATCATTATTCATTGTAATGGCAATAAAATTTAAATTTTGTTTTACTAAAAAAAAAAAAAAAAAAAAAAAACTGTTCAATCAGGAAGGATTGTTTAGTTATAGCATGTTTCGGTTTAGTTGTCCAATTGCGTATTATTAAAAACATTTACTCTAATATGAGGTCGCGATTGTGAACTGAGTGAGATCCAAATGATGAACTGTGCTTTAAGTTTACACCAACTGGAAGCAAAGGAATAATGCATATATCCATGAGTGCTGCTTTGTTTAACTTTGACAGTAAGTGTTTAAAAACAGAATCTAGGACACGACTTCACTGACAAGAACTGTATGTTCCAGGAGGAGGCAGTATACGGGAGGCCAAGCATGGTTATACCTGACAGAGTTGAAGTACTAGTTCACCATGGTGCAGTTCATTTTTACCAGGTTAGACACTCAAAATTTCAATTTGTGCTGTGTAATTAGTCATTGCCGTTTTAAATATGTAAACTTGGAATCCTTTTCACAATTGTAATAAGAGTTTGTGTAATTTTAAATGCAGCACTTGCCCTCAAAGTCAATGGAATTCATTTTGTGTGCGGGGTGTTTATTTTAGATGAGATAACACGGAAGTTCAAGTATTGATAAAATAGATAACAGGTAATAGGTGCGCTGTTGAAATGGTTCAGTGGTTTCGGATCATGGGTTAGAGCTTTGCTGTACGCTATTAAGTGTAGAGTGATGAATCAACGTCCGGTTAGTTAAGAATAAGCGGCATAAAAAGCGAATTAAATTTCAGGAGTTACACTAAACATCCCAGCGGGGATGTGGGGCAAGACTCAGTTCACGCCGGAAGAAGTAGCAGCCAGCAGAAAAGTCAGCATCGCCCGCATCCACGTGGAACGCTCAATTGGCTATCTGAAGCGGTACAAGATTTTGGGAAACAAAGTTGTGGCGAAGATGTTGCCTTATCTGAGCAACATCGCATTCGTGTGTGCCCAACTTGTTAATTTGAACCCTGTTTTTTTGAGGGAAGTGGACAGTGATTTTTTTAAAAATGACCAGGTCTGCTTAAATAACTAGAAAATTATGTTAATATTCTGTTCATGACTGGACGATAAGTTCCTACAATCCCCCCCCCCCCCCCCCCAACAGTTTGTATTGTACGTGGGCAATGGGCACGGTTATATAAGTACAACAATCACACTATTTCAAGTTTATGACGTAATCATGGCGTGTTTACCGCGGTGCAGATATTGCACGTGGACCTTGCCGAGCCGAGATGTGGTAGAGATAACAATGTGAACAGAGGGTCAAATAAAGATAAGGAAAGTAAACACACGATATCGATCTGCTGACTCGTCCTGTTTGTGATTGGACGGATCGGTGTCACATGACATAACACCTCTATTACAATTAGTGGTCGCTCGTTGAGGATGACGGAGCACATCAGGGCTGCCCGTCGTCAGAATAAATTTAATTCAGTTGTTAGTATAATTGTTATATTGTGGTGTTGGTAACCTACCTTCGTTGTGTTTCTTTTGACTTTGTTATGCTCTGGAAATTGTGAAAATTACGCTCTGGAAATTGTGATAGTAGTAGTACCTGCTCTGGAAATTGTGATAGTACCTGTTCGATATGTTTGTTATATATGGTAATTTATTATGTAACTTATTTATGTATATTATTCCTTAGTCTCGTATGACCATAGTTGGTACTACAATAAGTGGGTTTCACTTCTAAGCTACCGTATACTAAATTGTTACAGGATCAGAATGTTCGTGAGGAACAGTCACCAAAAGTGAGTTGCTTACCTGCTGTGTGTTTTCGTACTCTGGTCTTCACTCAAGTTGCAAAGCTGCAATAAACATATCGCAAAGAACATTTATATCTGAAAATTGTGTTAGTACCAGTTTGATCAGTTAAGGTGAGGATTGCCTCGATCTGTCGGGTTCAGCTTAACTGCCTAGGTCATGAGTAGAACCGAAGGATCAAAACATATGTTGCTTGTTGCTCGTATCAACTATAAAACATCAATTTTGAGGGATAAGGAAGTGTTTATAGGTTCTGAAACCTAGCTAAATCGATTTTTCGTGCAATTTTAGGTCAGAAACAGTCATCAAAATGAGTTAATAAGAAGGTCGATTTCTCGGTTATTTTTGAGCTTTCGTTCAGAAAATAATTCGGGGCCTTCAAAGGGGGGTAACAAGAAAGCGTTACAAGTGTTACAAGCCTTCCATAATACAAAATGTGTATCATCTCTTCAACCCGCTGAACATGTGCTTACCCTAAAAATGTAAACAAATGTGTTTCACCTCCTCAACCCGCTGAACATGTGCTTACTATTAAAGTAAACAAATGTGTTTCACCTCCCCACCAGTATCCACATCTATAGGCCTCCGATTTTAGGACAAGACATACACTTGATCCATGCAGAAAGGGTAAAAGCAAATCCATGTCTGTCTGAACAATTTGATCACATGTGCTCGGGCGTGATAATGTTTCTGAACTGTAATCTGAATCTGACCCAAGACTACTTTGCGATATTTGGGACAACAGTATTTGTTTGTCTTTAAAAACTTTTATGTGACCGTCAAGTTTGTCATTGTATGAAGTAGGAAATCTGTTTGTTTGTGAGTCTGTTTGTGTGTCCGAAGGTGAATCTAGCTCGCTCTGTACATCATCAAGCTACAATTAAGTTGTTAAGGAGTAAGAACTAACGACTTAAAAGTTTTTAAGACCATAATATTTTCAAGTATTTTTATTTTTATCATTCTAAATTTGTAAATTTAGCATACACCGACCTTGAGTGCTTTGAGTTTCTTCTTGGCAAGGTGCCGTCTGACACAGCTCTGGATCTGGATAATCTTCCGCATGTGCTGTTTGTACGCGCAGCGTGCCAACCATCCACGCACGTGTTTCTGGATTAATCCGTCATCAAAGAATATCTTACATATTCAAAGAAATGAGAAATTCAGATTTATAATCTTAACTCAAGTTTTTCAATTCTTAAATGGGTTTAAAATATTTAGAAAATAATTGATGTCGTGAACTTAAACAAACCTGAATAATTTTAGCATTGTGTTCATATTTAACAGTGAGGAAGTTCTTATAAGCGACTTGAGCACGATGAGCAGACTGTATGAAGAGGATAGACACGAGGAGTCTCCTGTATTTAATCCTCTGTACCCAGCCTCGGACATGTTTCTGTATCACAATACTTGCTCTGTTTTCTCTCATTTTCTGTACCTTCCTTCTGGCCAGGGTTCTCCTCACCATACACTGCACTGCGATAGTGGCTACTCTGACTGAATTGTACCGTTTGGCAGCCAGCCAGCCCCGCACTCGGGCCTGCACCATGACACACGCACTGAACAGCCTCTCTGACCTGAGCTTCTCAAAGTACGCCACTTGACCGGCTCTGAAGAAAATCTTAGTCTTTCCGAACTGATACTTGTCCTTGTCACTGACAATGGAGCTGATGACAACCCTACAATTATCCATAGTCTCCCCCTTGCGTACCCTCCGAGAGTGGACCAGGAGACTATACCTGGACTCAAACTCCTTGTAGCTCCACCGAGAGGGGTATCCAGCAGCGGAGATACGGACTGTTTCTATAACACCACAGGCTCGTAGCTGCTGTACAACTCGTGTTGGTACAAACCTGGGTAATCCAGTGATAAGATATTATCGGAGATAACATTCGAGAATCTTTGCCTAAATTTATTGGAAATTGTGTCGTAGTGCGATATTTAAAGTGAGTTTAGACGAATAAATCAACAGCCTTAAATTTTTGACCGTTACTCACCCAAAAGGTTCCTTATCATCGTTGGGTTTAATACATCTGATGAAATGGGGCACAGTAGTGGTTAAAGCGTCCATGAGAAGATTAAGGGATGATTTGAACTGAGCTCCAACAGTCCTGGTTTTAGAAAGGGTTTGTGTTGTGCCGCGGCGAGACAGGGACTTTGTGGCCACCCTTTTAGGGGATGTAATGCTGCCGAGGTCCGAACCTCCCAGTGCCTCGTTCGCTAGTTCCAACTGTTATGGGGACAATGGTGTTGTTATTTCTCTATTTTCTCAATTATTGGTTGTAACATAGACATGAAAATACAAATTTATATATACATTTACGACAAAATCTGAAAATAAATATCACGAAAGAGGAGGTTGAAAATTTGGGAATTTCCGTGGCTGTTTCAACAGGTGATTATATTTTACAGTTTTAACTTTTTAACTCCCATCTCTGACAATACGAACTTGATAATTGGGTGCTAAGGCAACATGATCTAGATTACAATAGGGATCAACATTTACATGCAAAGAAATTATAAATCTGTAAATAATCAGCTTCATTTTTTTAGCTCGTGATTATAAGCGGGAATGTACTGATCACTTCAGCGTTAATTGGGATCCATGCATAAATTAGTGAATTATAACCACAATAATGGGCACATTTAAACAATTAACATGAATCACATGCACATAAATCACGACATATAGGAACCTTCTTTGCGTTTCTCTTATCCAAATCTATTTTGGCATTTAAAACGTCCGTAAAGAATTGAAACTGAAAGTTATGTTAGATTACATTTTCGTCAGCGGTAATTATTAAAATTGTTGTAAGCAGCTATAGAAGTTTGAGCCAAGACAGAAAAGAGCAAATACTGTTCGAAGAAGAACTGCCATTCCATTTCTACATTTAAAGTAACAGCTATTATGGTAATAATTCAAGAACTGCCATTCTATTATTACTAAATTCTTAACAAGTTGTTACGAATTGAGCTAGATTCTAGGAGTTACCCATTAAGTACTAACTTAATCCTAAATAATAAGATAAAGAAGTAAGCTATTAATTAAATCAACTTACTGAGCTGTTCTTCAAGAGGTTAATATGGGACTCATTAACAGAGTCCAGGTTTTTAGCAATAAAACCGTGACAAAGATACGATACTTTGTCAGCGTAGTGCACTATCACAAACTGATCAGTACCTGAAAGGGCGAGTCTGTCTGTAAAATGGGCTATAAAATATCATCATTACTTGCTTAGAACACACAAGTATAATTCAATGATAAAATTAGTATATATTAGAGTTTACGTTCACCTGTTTTAGGTTTCTGAAAATGTTCGCTATCTGTCAATTCTTTGTATAAAATCTGTACCCAGTTCTCATCTGTACCACGGTTCATCTGAAAGAAATACATTTTTATTCACACATTTCAATCTAATAGGCCGAAAGGTAACTGGTACGAATCTCGAACTTGCAATCTAACTGGAAAATATATCACATGCAACATTCAGAATGTCAACTATTCTCTAGAAAGTGCTACTACACTATACTACATATATACTATATACTATATACTATATACTATATACTATATACTATACTACTGCACTAAATACTTACTCTACACTGCTCATCCAACAGATCAATGATTCCTAACTTCTTTTCAATTAGATCAATACAGGGCTGATTATCAGTAAAATCAATAAAGCTCCATTTGATTTGCTCCTTTATATATTCTGCTTGCTCCAGTTTGAAAACATGCTGGTTGAACTGTTGTTGCAGTTTTTCGTTCGCGTAGTTGATGCAAAACTGCTCGAAGGAGTTCTCCTCAAACATTTCAAATCTGAATATGAAATATTGCAATAATCTGTCACTCAGTCCTCTGTACATTCTAAAGACTAAAAGATTGAAACACCTTTTAAGTCAATTAATCAAATAAATTTTATAAATTGACAGTCAATAATATGTCAAACTGATAAACAGCGAACAAACCCGTAAATATCCAGGATTCCGATAAAATTGACAGCATCTTTCTTTCCGTTAGAGAGAGCAGCGTTAAGAAGTTTAACAATCCAAAGGAAGAGAGAAGCATAGATGTGTTTCACAAATGCTTCCATGCCAGCGAAAGCATCTTTTTTCTTCAAAGTCATGACTAAGGTCTCATTTCTTGCTTTCAACGTCTGAGGATTAAAATTTGTGTAGTTTTGATTACCAAATCCATCCACATCGGTAATATAACTTTACTAGATATAGATAAAACTAGTTTTCTGAACAGGAAATATTGTATTTACCTTGTGGCAGAGCCATTTCTGAAGTTGCGCCACCTCTAAACCCATCAGTTTTGCTGCTATTAACAAACTTTTATCATCATTCTGAAATATTTAGTTATAGGATTCATGATGTGCATAATTTGTTTTAACAAAGAGCCGAGAGCGGCATCTTCAAAAAGAGTAATATGTAGTACGTAGTAACCACATTAAGTGAACATGTGGCACACTGAACAGTGCTTTATTTGGCGCCAATTTTAAAATCAGAACCGGCAATTCTCTACCAAAACAGAAAACTAGGAGTAATTATGTTAAGTTTAAAATTTTGACTGGGAGTCTCTGTAGACTAAGAAGGAAGATAGAGAAAAAAAGTATCCAGGAAGTTATTATATGTGGCAGTTAGTGAGATCGATGACGTTAAACTTACAACGCGCAGCAAAATCAGATTCTGCAGAAGCGCGCGCTAAAATTTTGTGTAGACTGCAGTAACGTTGACGCTTAGAAAAGTCTTAGCGCGTTCCAATTATGTAGATAGCACTTTTACTCTGGCAATTTCATTGAACTTCGCCAACAACTCCAGAAAAGTCAAAGACGATTTGGTAATTACATAGCAGTGTAAAATGGATGAGGCTTGCATCGAAAGCTCATTTAGAACACATAGTACTTACGCTTATTGAGCAACTGTCATTTCTCTCTTCATTGAATTGAATATCGCCCATGTGCAGTACAGCAGCGAGGACACTAAATAAGAAAAGCTGCTGTTCCTCTGTTATTCCGAGGTTAAACAGTCCCTCACTCATCTCGTAGAATGTTTCACTGTCGTCCATATTATCTATCACAGGGGCTTTACCCTGACTTGTGAATCTGAACTCATCGGGATGTTCTGAAGGGAAAAAAGCCGGTCTGTGAATTCTGAGAATCGGTCCGCCGACTCAGTGGAATTATTCACATTGTCGTATTCAAGGAAACCACAGGGTTGTATACATTAAAAGGAACTAGATTTAGTATAGTTAATGACGTACTGAGATGTAGGTGTTTCATTTCAGGGATATCTCGTACAGCACACAGCTGGTAGAATATGTGGTAGTTTCGCTCGTTATTTGCCTGAAAATATAAGCATTGTAACAGACAGTTTAGGAAGTATGTGACCGATCAAAAAAATGTTGTAATGTCTATATTACATAGTCGACATGGCTACTGTCCTGTCTGAAATGTGGTTACTTGGGTTACAATATGGTTGGAACAATCTTCTTACTCTGAAATCAATTTGTACATTGATCATCAGTGATGATTCATCACATACGATTGACGAAAGGGAGATTTAGAATTGGTTATTAACTCATTATATCGTGTGCAGATCTTATAAGTAGCTTATTTAACCTCACACGCCCAAATGTTAACTCATCTCTAAGGATTGTACAATACACACCGTCAGTTTACTAAACTCCACCTCTAATCTACCTCCAAACACACACGTGAATAATATGGAGATTATCATTGTTAGGAGATGTTATACAGGTGACGGTGGTAAAATTGGCGGGAGCTAAGGACAGTGAAATGTACTGTAAAGAATAAGGGGTTCTTTATGAGTACACATCCAGCTATTGGTTAAACATAGCATTAAACACTGTATACCTTACACTGTATACCTTACATAGTTTGCTTACGGTGGCGACTCGGCGACTGATGTAGGTTGTGGCAAATGTAGATTGTAGACATGTATAATGTACACATTTTGTACATTGTTTTCATTCATGTCCAATGAAATGTGAAATATGAGGATATACATTATTAACATTCAGAATCAATGAAGTGTGCGTTAACTTTGGAAGGTGACCAAGCATGAAATGTTACTTTTGAATTCAACTTCATGATCATTTAAAAGTTTAGCAAAATTCGTCACATGCTACTACTCAGTCTGTCTTGAAGCACTAATGACCATAATTTCTAATACTTTCAATACTTTCAACACTACTATATAACGAATAATTTGAGATCATGAATACGATGTAGTTACATTGAAACGTCGAGTAAAATCCTTTTCCTAATAAGAGCATTTTTACTTGTCGCAGTAACCGGGATAAAGATAATTTTACACAGAATACATTACAACAATGCGACTCATAAAGTCATAAACAATACTCCAATCCAGATTTTACATAATTTCTACCTTCCAAGAAAAGTTCAGAATTTTCTTTGAATTTTGTAAATCGGTGTTTCGGAAGCGGAGTTATGGTTAAATGAAAATTATGGGTTTAACACTGATTGTATTGTAATTTTCAGAAAATAACCAAAACATATGGCACCCCACGCCCACTCACTGACTCACCCACTTAATTCGCAAACCCGTATAAATGAAGCACTGGATAAATGGGAGGGCTAATGTGTGGAGACAAGTGGGTGGTTAATATTCAGTAGAATATGAGAATATTATTTTGTGAAACTGAACAACCACAACCAGTTCAGATATATTAGATTATTTAGTGATCCATTAACTGAGTTACTGGTTGTCACATTTTATTAGATTGCATATTCGCCGCTCAAGCGGTTCATTGCCCAGTGGCTACATATTACTATGTAACGTATATTTGTATGTGGAATGTGGATTATGATCACGAGGGTTGCTTAATTTGATGTTTGAACTATTTTGCAACCACAGGTGCAAGGCTGGGTCAACTTGAGAAATATATATTATGGCGTGTTCAAAATGAACATATTTCAATGTTATTTTTAAAAATGAATTTAAGTATTAGATTTGAAATAATGGAAAAGATGATGAACCAACCTGAAAAACAACCCTGCTTTTCTCCAAAAGATAAGTACAGATGTGAGCTCCAGATATATTGGTCTGCTTGTCAAACTCAAGTTCCACGTACTTTCCAAATCTCGAGGAATTATCGTTCCTAATGGTCTTAGCATTGCCTAACGCCTGAAAATAATTAGAAGTTACTAACTTCTGAAGTTAGGCGTACGTAATCAAATTTACAGGATCAATTTCCGTAACAATCCCACAACTCTATTTTACAAGCACCTCTTACTATGACTAATTAATTAGTCTAACAATTTCGCCTTATCGGAGGTTCTAATTTTACAGCTTTTTACGGCACAGTAAGTGTTATCTGGGTCATAGATCAGACAAGGCTGGTCGGTCGGAGGTCGGTCGGAGGTCGGTCGGAGGTCGGTCGGGCGCCGGTCGGCGGTAGGTGAACGCCGGTCGGAGGTCGGTCGGAGGTTGGTCGGAGGTTGGTCGGAGGTTGGTCGGAGGTCGATCGGGCGCCGGTCGGGCGCCGGTCGAGCGCCGGTCGGAGGTCGATCGGAGGTCGGTCGGAGGTCGGTCGGAGGTCGGTCGGAGGTCGGTCGGAGGTCGGTCGGAGGTCGGTCGGAGGTCGGTCGGAGGTCGGTCGGGCGCCGGTCGGAGGTCGGTCGGAGGTCGGTCGGAGGTCGGTCGGAGGTCGGTTGGAGGTCGGTCGGAGGTCGGTCGGAGGTCGGTCGGAGGTCGGTCGGAGGTCGGTCGGGCGCCGGTCGGAGGTCGGTCGGGCGCCGGTCGGAGGTCGGTCGGAGGTCGGTTGGAGGTAGGTCGGGCGACCATTCTATGAGACAATTTTGGACTCGAGGCTCCCCCTGGTAATGTGATCTCGGAAGGCAGGCCTCCCCTTTGCAACACGAGCTCGGAAGCGGGAGCTCTCGATACAGAAGGTACGTATCGAGAATGAGTCTGACCGAAAATTTTCTAAGTCAAGTTTTTCGGAGGTCGTTCGGGCGCCGGTCGGAGGTCGTTCGGGCGCCGGTCGGAGGTCGGTTGGGCGCCGGTCGGAGGTCGGTCGGAGGTCGGTCGGAGGTCGGTCGGAGGCCCGACCGGCGCCCGATCGACCTCCGACCAACCTCCGACCAACCTCCGACCAACCTCCGACCGACCTCCGACCGGCGTTCACCTACCGCCGACCGGCGCCCGACCGACCTCCGACCGACCTCCGACCGACCAGCCTTGTCTGATCTATGACCGTTATCTGCAGCAATGTGGGACGGTTTATCCCAAAAATGGGGGGTTAGACCGGGTGTATGCCTTGCGTCACTCTCTCTTAATGTCAGGATGATTTGTTGATGCCGGCCGGCACCTCGTCATAGCTAAACGGTTCAAATGACATACCAACAACCTGGTCGATCGTTGCTTCTATAAAATCAGAGGGATAATCTATGATTAGACTGCTAGCGTGATTAGCCTAAAACGTTGGATAATCTTATAGTTTAGGGTAGTAGTGGCAGGTTATGCTGGCGAGTAGTCAGGTTGGTAAATATTGAACATATCGTCACCTATATATAGAAAGGGCCTATGTCAAAAAAAGTTGTTTTGAGATAATGCATAAAAACCGATTTCTCGAAATTTGATCTAGGATAAGCATTTGAATTTGATTTCTATGCATCTTAAATGGAAAGATTGACTGTTCTACAATATAAAAATGTTCTTGGCTCTTTTTGACTAATTGGTATAATTGATTTAAGTTTGACATAGGCCCTTTTAAAAAAATATTCAATACATAGGCCCTTTTAATTGATTGAAATATCTTACATGTGAGAATCGGTACAGGGCTTATGTGTACATAAGTCCTTTTAACTTTTCAAGTTTATTCCTGACAAACACTTGGAATAGAGGCTCATGTAGATTAATATCGTTTGAAGTAGGCATTTTATGCATCCGTAATGGGTTTAAATGGTCTATGTTTAATTTCAGTTTGCCACATTATTGATTTCATAACAGGTTGCTGTATTTTCAATAACCAGTGAACACGATTTATTTAAATCCCATTATTAGTATAAATAGATGAATAGAATTAAATTGTATTAATATTCCAATAATTTAAAAGGTGTATAATATTTCAATAAGTGTAATTTGTGTCTACATTCATCCTAAGATGAATATTGCATAAAATAATTGTCCCATGAAATTGAAAATAGTAAAATAAAAATGCTGCAAATGTAGAAATATGGAATGTGTTTTAGTCAGTATCGCTCTTGTCACTTTCTATAGTAGTGATACTCTTGTAGAATGCATGATACCCCTGTGGTATCAGCCTCTTCTCACATAGATCAATAAGACCAAGCATAACCCTCTCGGAAACAGGTATCTCTGTCGAATCGTCGCAGAGGATTGTGAGTTGAGGTTTATCCACCACCTCCGATCTTACTGAAGCACGGCTGCTTACGTATACCTGCAATAGAATAAATGTACAGGTACTGCCAAGATGTCATGATCATTAGTGCGAGTATAGCTTTGTAAAAAGTTCATTGATATATTATCACGCGCCATAATAACCATACATAACTAAATGACACAACCTACCTTTCTGTCGGTGAGAATGACTTTATCATCATCTGTTCTCTCCGGGTCGGGTAATGTGCTGATAGTCATTGCCCGACTGCCTTTTGCAAACGAGAGCCGCTTTGCACTTAGCCATGACGCTTCGTTAACCTTCGGTTTGCCCTCATGATCAATAAACCGGTATCGATTGCGGTTAATGATGGTGGACTTGCAAAGGGCGTGGACGTCATATACTGGATACTCATATGATGCCAGTGAAAAAACCTTTATAGGGTTTTTTGTGCTGGCAGATCTTGCTATCTCCTTATACCGGTCCGGTAAATATATTTCTTGGTTCTTCTTACTTGCTTCTATCATGTGATGTATGGTATCAACTTCAGATTCGTTATGTCCACGTTCAAAGTACTTCAGGTGCACAGTCTTCACATGGAGCGCTGTGTTGGATACTTCCACATTAAGGAAGTGCAGTATTGCTGCTGCATTTTCCTTATTGCGGTTTTGACCACCGCATGAATCTGCCCAAATGACGACATCCGTAATGTTCTCAGGCAGATTTCTCAGAATGTATAGGAGACACGATCCGATTTCATCTGGACCACGGTTTGCTTGTGTCTGATCCCACATGAAGCAAGTCTTCTCATCAGTCCCAAGGTTATAACATGATAAGTTATAACAAGCAAGCTTGGTGATATAGTAAAACTCACCTGACGCGGCCTTTGGACACGAATTTACAGCTTCCATATCGATGGTGTAGGCTCCGAAATTGTCGCATGCCTTTGCCTTGATTTTGTCAGCATCCTTACAATTTCTACACATGTCTTTCCTCTCAATGTGTTCGATGTACAGTAGTAGATCAATTTCTTCTTTCGAGCTATTCTTGTAGGAAGTACACTGGTCGCATTGATCATTCTTAGGTTTATAAAAACCAATGTTCAATGAATTAAGTATGTTACTGTAGCTAGTTAGACCTATTTTCACGCCAGGATGCTTTTCTTTAAACAGTTTAAACAGCTTGGCTAGCGTTAGCGATGCCTCGAAATACCTCTTATGAGAGTACATTCTTCGGTAATGTGAAGGTACAGTTGGCAAGGTATTCAGGTGATCTTCAATTGCCGCTCTCAATACTGCAGGAACCGTCCCGCGATTGGAGGGTTTCCCAACCAATCCGTGGGAAAGAGAACTGTTTCTATCATATTTTTTAAAAACTATGATTCTTGATTTTTTGGCAGTGATGCCGAATGTTTCTAAGAACATCACCTTACACACCACAGCTGTGTTATCTTCCGATGTTGTTGGAAGTTCAGATGTTGTTGGGAGTTTATATATCAAGGTGAACTTCCGCTTGTCACCAGCTGCTATTCTATGCAACTTCTTTGTTCTTCTACTTATATATTTCGATAAGAAGTTATCGCCGGCTGCTGTATTCTCTGATAGTTCATAATGATATTCCCTGAGGCGTATTTGTAACTCTTGATCTATCTTTTCATAACATTTGGCTACACAACTGCATGTTTTTATTTCTTTGCTTTTCATTTTCATTCGTTTCTTTTGCCGATTAGCGTCACGCTTCATCTTCACTGAATCACTTTTTCTCTTTCGTGATTTCCGTGGTATCCCATCCATTCTTAGTTCAAGTTCTTTCGATGGCCATGAAATTGTGTTGTCCACTTTTAAACATTGAAGCTGCTCTATGTTTTCATGTCCACGTTTTCTGGGTATATATGCGAGATAAAAACGTTAGTGTAGAACTCAGAGTTTCGGATTTCATTTTCAACTCTGCCTCGTGCGATCTGCAACTCGCTCCAAAACACATTCACCTCAACATCATAGTTTCGAGTGTCTTGTCTATCCGTATTAGTTACCTTAGGCGGTCTTTGCCCCCAATTTGCTATTTTAACAGCACTATTCATTGGCCATGCAATATAACTCCCTGATACATGTTTGTCCTCATCATACGCAGTCCAGCTTTTAAATGCTTCTCTTAGGTGAACTAGTTTGATCAAAAACTTTCCATGGCCCTTTTTTAGTGGATGTCCATGTACAGGCTCTCCCTGCTTTCTTGATATCAGCTGTGCTTTCATCAACATTTTCGATTTGTATAGGAGTTTATACATAGCCGAGTCAGTGTCCTCAGATCCAGCTGCTACGACCATGTCCTCAGATCCAGCTGCTACGACCATGTCCTCAGATCCAGCTGCTACGACCATGTCCTCAGATCCAGCTGCTACGACAGTGTCCTCAGATCCAGCTGCTACGACCATGTCCTCAGATCCAGCTGCTACGACAGTGTCCTCAGATCCAGCTGCTACGACCATGTCCTCAGATCCAGCTGCTACGACCATGTCCTCAGATCCAGCTGCTACGACAGTGTCCTCAGATCCAGCTGCTACGACCATGTCCTCAGATCCAGCTGCTACGACAGTGTCCTCAGATCCAGCTGCTACGACCATGTCCTCAGATCCAGCTGCTACGACCATGTCCTCAGATCCAGCTGCTACGACAGTGTCCTCAGATCCAGCTGCTACGACCATGTCCTCAGATCCAGCTGCTACGACAGTGTCCTCAGATCCAGCTGCTACGACAGTGTCCTCAGATCCAGCTGCTACGACCATGTCCTCAGATCCAGCTGCTACGACAGTGTCCTCAGATCCAGCTGCTACGACCATGTCCTCAGATCCAGCTGCTACGACAGTGTCCTCAGATCCAGCTGCTACGACAGTGTCCTCAGATCCAGCTGCTACGACCATGTCCTCAGATCCAGCTGCTACGACCATGTCCTCAGATCCAGCGGCTACGACCATGTCCTCAGATCCAGCTGCTACGACAGTGTCCTCAGATCCAGCTGCTACGACAGTGTCCTCAGATCCAGCTGCTACGACAGTGTCCTCAGATCCAGCTGCTACGACAGTGTCCTCAGATACAGCTGCTACGACCATGTCCTCAGATCCAGCTGCTACGACAGTGTCCTCAGATCCAGCTGCTACGACAGTGTCCTCAGATCCAGCTGCTACGACAGTGTCCTCAGATCCAGCTGCTACGACAGTGTCCTCAGATCCAGCTGCTACGACAGTGTCCTCAGATCCAGCTGCTACGACAGTTTCCTCTGCATCGTCTGAAGGAATTATTCGATAAATTCAATGTATAACATAAAAATTTGACAGTTTAATTCAGATTAGACTTCATATCATGATAAGTATTGAGTATACCATTACTAACAGCTATCTGAGTCTAATCTGAATCATTGCGTCAAAGTAATAATTAACAGTTACATGTGGAAGAGGTGACGGTATACCGCTATACTAGTTATTTTACCACATATTCAACATCAGACGGGGCATAAAATGTATTAGTGTCATTTTAAATTTACACTTACCCACTCCAAGTATAAGAAGCTTCATGAATTTCGCAGAAACATTGCGGGACTTATTTTCAGACTCGAACTGTAGACTGAAGACGCCTTCCTGAAATTAGTGAGAAATGTTTATGATTTTAAACAATCTGTGCCAACTAGTCTAAGTTAGGCTCGCTGATCCTAAAAAAGAATCTCAAAACTAGCAAAAATTGATATGTTTGCAATAATTATAAAAGTAAAGCAGCTTACCCTCACTCTTTTTACAATGGTAGCCTTGTAGTATAACTTGTCTTGAAAGGGGTTTGCAAGAACCTGCAACCCAGGACACCACATTGTATCCTGGGAAATATCAATACTGAGATAAAGACGATCTGACGATCTGACGATCTGCCTAACGTTAAAAAGCTGACCTCTCTCTTATTACCTCTATCTACCTCATAGCTGCAGGTGCAGTAATAAAATAATTATTAAATAGAACTATGCAACTACTATGATTCTAGTTATATAATTATTATTATACAAGTCGTGAAAAACTAACCTCTACTGATAACGTACCGCCCCGGCCCTTCCTCTTTCGAAGCTTTACAGAATGAGTCATCTAGCTAAATGGATGGTAATGTATTTAGTATTGCATGTATTATTTCCTTATAACACACATCTCGTTATTTCAAAAATTATACTGAGAAAATATACTAAAAGAAAGTACCAAGCTAAGAAATGTTAGTCAATAAACCAGCAATGTGACAATGTGCAGCCGCTTTTGAATCTACATCGAAAGGTAAAGTGGCGTTAGAACAAAATCGATATTTCATGCCCCACAGAGAGCACAGCTAACAGTTAACAGTATAATACGTTGAGACAGAAGTTTATACCCTGCACAAAATGAAACCGAAAGCTCATTTAATCGTAGCGCGTGATTGAATAACTGTTATAGACTGTCATGACAGGTAAGTTATTCTGGATCAGAGCGGATACTGGACAGTTGTATCACGATACGTGATTGAATAACTGCTTTAGTATATACACTGTCATGACAGGTAATTTATTCTGGTTCAGAACAGAAATTCACAACAGAAAGGAATTAAGGATTAAACATTTCGCTATAATATGACACAAAATACGGGTTATTTACTAGCAATATATTGATTCAGACTAGGTATTCCGTTTTGCTGATGACATGACTATTCGGTCTAAGGGAGGCAATTAAAAAGGTTGTATTTTGTGATGTTCTTATTTTACGTTAGAAATTAAACAAAACGACCTAGATAAATAATTGTCGGGCACATCTTCAGTTGCACCTCTTTGACGTTTCGCTGTCCCTGTCCCGGCGTAGGCAGTTAAGTTATACTTGATCAGAGCCAAAATTCTTATCACAGGATTACAATTATTACAGATTGCTATAATACGACGGACAAAACTCACGTGTTCAATCACGTTCACCTGGCGATTTAAACTGAACAAGCAGAGAAATCGGGTTGGTATAATAATAGATTCAAGTTGCAACAGAAATCGCATAACGTATCACAAAACAACAACTCAACAATTACGTGCATAAAATGAAATGGATGATAACGTGTCGCGCGGCTTAAGACTCTTCCATGGCCTTCTGGAACTTAATTATTGCGCGAAATAATTACAGCGTGTCGATATCACTGAAATAATACCGGATCACATGTTTCAAACAGTTTTTAATGTCGCTTTAATTGGTTAGTGCAAAGTTCGGTCGGTTGACTGGCACTTTCACTGGCTAGGTTTCTTTACATAGGCCCTAACTCTGCTATTACAAAGCAGGGTTTTGACCTATTTAAAAGGGCATATGTTGACTTAGGCCCTTTCTACGTTTTAAGAACATCACGTTTCAACAATTTATAAGGGCATATGTCGACATGTGCCTTTTTAATCTATCTAAATTAGTAGCCGCTCAGTTTATTGAAAAAGGTCCATGTTAATATAGGCCCTACTTTAAAAAGTCGAGATTTTGAATTTTCACCCAATCGACTTAATATTTTGGGATATGGTAGGTATGGTTCCACAGATATTCGCGCTGGTATATCTTTTTAAAGGGGCCTATGTCGACATAGGCCCTTTCTATTTGTAGGTGACGATATTAGAACTTTAGAACTAATCAAGAACCGTCCGAAACCCATAAAATGATTGCTTCATTCTTGCAAATAGTTGCAGGTTAACATGCAATATTAGATGTTACGGCCAGATGTTGTAAGGGGCACCAAAAAAGGTACTTGGAGGAAATTTTAAACTTTCTGAATGTGGCCATGTGGGATGATTTGATTTATTGGTGGGAGCCAGTGTTAGATCCTCCTTGAAAAAATGATAAAAAGAAAAACTTTGTCGAATATGAAGATTAGATATTCAGAGATTTGTGATTATCTTAGACAATCACATATTATACGACCAAAAGTAACGATCGATCTTGATAGTTGGTAAATTAATAAAAACAAAGTTGTAACCTCCATAATAGGATTAGTAGATAATATCCTCCTTTCAATAGCAGTCTCCTTCTCGTTACCAGCCACTGTAGCAAAGTATCTCATTGCGTACTTAGCACTCACAGTTTTACCTGCTCCACTCTCTCCGGACACTATAATACTCTGGTTCCGTCCCATCCTGTAATTAGTGGGTAATTATTTAATTAGTGGGTAATTATTTAATTATTAAATCAGTTCAGTGGGGTTATATGTTGAGATAATATTTTTCTAGAAATTGTGTTCTTTTAACATGCTAGATTGGATATTCTACTGGTTTGTCCTTTACGCTATCAGGAACGGAGTATTCGATGACTCTATATTCGTTATCAGTATTTTGCAGGATCCTCTGCACTCTGCAGGTTACCATTACAAGATACGCTACATTTCCATATTCATCACGATTTCATTGCTCTACCAGTTTTCTCGGAAATTGTTCGAACTTTGTTCATTTCCCCAATAACCGCAAGTTTTCCACATGTAGCCTATGAAAGCTTAGCATACACACGCTTCTCAGCCAATTTTGGTCTCAACGTATCTCTGAAAGGAGGATGGTAAATACACTTAACTGTGTGTATTTACCCATTTGCGGACTAAGTAGGCTCGCGGCGACTAACGAGGTTAATTATATGTAGAACTAAAATTTGTAGGGCGGAACTCTCGTACACTGGCCGGGTTTAATTAGCCTCCACGTAATTGTTTGAATCAGTATTAGGTTAATTTCAGGTAAATCAGTCCTGGATTATCCCATAAAAGTAAAGCAGAGGAGGAGGAAGGGATTTTCAGACATCAGACACTCAGACAGAGCGGCGTGTGTAACTGATATGTAAGTGATATTCCCAGGAGAGTTGGACATCAGTCCAACCCGCGGTTAATTGTGTCAGGATGTCAGACTCAAATAACAGATTTTCCGGATATGCTAGAAAGTAGAAACAGTTCACAGTGAAAATGTTGCGTATCGTGTCACACTTTGGCTTGCTCGAGATGTTTCACAAATTTAAATTTTGTGAAAATCACAGGATTTCCGAATAGCAATAAAAGTTTCCAATAGATAACAAAATCATTAATGAAAACATGAACTTTTGAGGACAGTCCACGCAATACTGATAAATCTAAAATAAAACTAACGTTTTCATCTCACTGTATGCGTCCTCACTGATAGCGTAGATATGAGGATCTAGCTGCCCGATCTGTTGGCCCTTGTAGGCCCATATCATCTCGTTACCGTAAAGTTGCACATCGCAGTAAGGGTTAACTGCTACCAGCACAATTCCTGGAGAGAGAGAGAGAATTGTTAGTGGTGTTAAATCATGTTATTGTGTGAAGTCATTAATTCCGTCAGACATGGTTAATGCTTAGATTCGTGAAAACAGACAGTAAGTGATGAGTGTGACGAGCCAGTCTGGAGGATTGGGTGTGAATCTTCACTGTACATAACAAAATAAATGAATGTTATTCGTCATTCGATCTTAAACTTAGTAAAGTTGGTGCTGTAGGCTGATAAGTGATGAGCACATTGTATCGTACTACTCCTCTCACTTCAAAATAACGGCCTATTCTTGATATCTATACTAGATAGTGATATAACACCTGTACTGATACCAACAGCCAACCATATCTATTACAATTTGTATCCCTTTGTCTATATAATCATGTTATAAGACGTGAGCCTAGTACTAAAATACAAGCAGCACCCTAAAAGCCCTTATACATTATACAATGCGCAATTCTTATACACAGTACAATGTACAATGTACACAGGAAGAGTAAAGTAAGTGTAGTGAGTGTACCATACACAGTGTCACAGTACACACACAGTACACACACACAGTACACACACACAGTACACACACACACAGTACACACACACACAGCAGTACATGTGAGTGTACACAATGCCTCATTAGACCTGCGGTGGTGGGTAAGTATTGAGTGTAAACTCTGGGAACTTGAATCAACACTCGCAACAAAAGGACTACATTCTAACATTCTTTAATTGTAGAAACTAAGATCCGGCGTTTACCATCTTTTATCTGAAGAGGTATTTCAGTGACGCCCATTGAAATAAACGAATATTTTGTCTTCTGAGGGACAACTTACTTTGATGCTATTGTAGAACCTCAGATGTAAGGATCCCGCATCCACAAGGGGCGTTTGGAGAAATATTGCAATGAAGTGGATGTTTAGCTTTATGAAACAGATGAATATTAATTGTATATTCTTGTCCGGAAAAATAGAGCTTTTAAGAACAAGGTATAGATTGCGATTGTTTGGCGTCACTCGTGCCAACTTAATATTATTAAGTACCCTACGTACAATAAGTCGGCTCTAAATTGTAAGGCCATCTTTCAACGGCCTAATTTTTGAGATGACATGGACGTTCTTCAATCTAAAATTGTTAAAAAAAAGACATTATGGTTGGTATAAAAAATAACAGACAGAATTACTGTTGAAAGAATAGCTCCGATTTAAAGGCCAGCAATTAGTACGTAATTAGTACGTGGGCTGTGAGGTGTTAAATTAACACACAATGCCTTTTAAAGAGTTTCGGGACAGCTTGTGCTATATTATTTCCCCGCTCGTTTTGGGCCAACATCGCGAAAGTGAAATGATATCCAAACAAATTGAATAATTTGTGATCTCCCTAGCGCTTAATCTTATTATTACAGTAACCTTATTTGGGGATCTAATCCCCAATTTTCCAACTCGTACTACTTTCTACTTCTGCCCGATACTCACAGTAAACCTAAAGTTCTGAGTTGTGTTTCCAAGCCGGTTAGTAACGATCGGAATACTTGAGAACGATCGGAATACGTGAGTACTCATTCCAGGTGTTTACTCACAATTCACATGAGGGCACAGTCCACACCATTTCTCCTATTACCTGTACTACAAATATGTGTTCGTCCTGTACGTGGTGTACTACAAATATTTTACTCATTCTACTGATCCTGATGGCTGATGTGTACAGTGTACTGTAGTACAGTCCTTACATTGGATTATTCAATGTGTAAAAACTATGTGTATAATAACAAGACACGGCTCTATGGGTATAATAATATGCACAAAACCGCGCCTAAAATATGCACAAAGCGTCTACTCCTTCATAATTTGTGACGTCGCAAACCATCCCCAGTTTGTCTAACAACCTGCCTTTGTAGAAGCAGATGTACCTGCTTATATTAGTGGTTGAGCCTAACGAACAGTGTGGTTAGTTGTACATACTACAATTATACTCGTTACTTGTACATACAACAACAACAAACACACATGGTTATCTGACCAATACAGGCTGTAACTTAATAGGCAGGTCAGAGTAACTTCTCGTACATATTATTGTGGTTTATAGCTAACAGTGCTTGTTAGTAAGGCAGACTCTTAGCTGTCTGACTTAACCATGGTGCTTGTTAGGGATCACAGGTTCCTAGCTGTCGGACATATTATTGAGATACTGCAATTACCTCACACTATCGGACGAACAAACCTGCACAAATGTACTTTCACAGTCCACACAAACATACACAAACACACACAAACATACAAACACACAAACATACAAAGTACAAACATACACTGCACACACTGCACACACAAACATACACTGCACACACTTCACTCATTCAGTCCTGGACAAAAGTTCTAAAGTTTTCAGTTTACTACCACATGAGAAATGCGCAAAATAGTTTTAGTTTTACAGTAGTTCTGACTAGTAGTCTGGTAACACATGACCACGTCACGATGCGCTGTGAAGTAAATAGTAAAACACAGTGAGATCAACTTGTTTTCTCAAACTAAGTTCACACAGTTTCCACAGCAACTAACCACAATAAGTGTAGATATTATTGCTGATAGTAAATCTCTGATAAAGAGAATGCAGGACGGCAGGCTCGTGGAGGTAAGACATTGTAGTCAGGTTGTTCTCCATTGTCAGGATATCTGGGTTCCTGAGGGGCGGCATCATGCTCTTACCCTCCTTCAACACGATGTGTAGCTCCTGCAGGGGGTAATACTGGTTAAACTGGGGGTTTCTTCTTTAAAGTGGGAAATTGAACATTAGAGTATAGTGATTAGTTTTGTAACGTATTGTAAGTGTGGGAGATAGATAGGGCCACATTATCAGTGACAAATCACTCTGATTTAACGTTGTAAACACTTAGCTCATGTAACGGTGTAATAGTGACAACCTCCCCACAACTAGGCGTTATTACATGATATTACAGGCGTTGTAAGAGTATGTGGGTATGTCAGTTGTAAAGTTTGGAAAATACGGCTTCGTTACTAAATCTGTGAGCTCTGTTAAACTTCAATTACAGCTTACATCAAAAGTAAGACAAGTACAGGCTATATGAGATAAGTATAGTGTACGTATCCTGCACTTCATACTGAACTAATATATTCTAACTAGATTACATAGCTAATAATAACAGGCTCGCGTCACCACCCGTACACTGTTACCAGTGCTACTCTCAGGTCTCTCAGTCCTTGAATTGGAGTACAGATGTTTTGCTACAACGTGTGTTTTATGTGAGTTATCCTGGCTAACATGAGTGTTTCATTAAAAACACAGCCTCGTCATATGATTGGGATTGCATTAAACCAATTAATGTATAGTTAAATATTCCGTCCACATCACGATTAGAAGTCCATAACTAATAGTGTTATGTTGAACTATTGTTTTGTAACTCGATTATGGATGATAATAACACGTACAGGGCTCTTGAAACCGAGCAGGTTCTCAGGAAATATAGTATGTGTCTTTACTAACAGTGGAGTGGGATTAGGGTAAGATTTGTTCATTTCTTTGTTTCTCTTAATGCATTTGGACTGGCTATAACCAGGTTAAATTTTTCCCATCCCAATTACATATTATATCCGATTTATAAACGTAATTAATTTTGGTCATGTGATTAGTTTACAACAATTGAACAATGTGTTTTCTCCTGGCCAATGTACTTAACGTCTCCATGATGACATAATAAAACCACTTCTTTACCTAGAGATACGACTTGGCACAAATATACAAGCGATTAAAAAGTTGCAGATCTCGTGCAACTCACGGCTGAGCACAGCCCGAACAGCCACCAATTTTACCATCTTAATAGCAGATCTATAACCGAACGGTACCAGGCATCTTTCAAATATGTAAGATCATAGTCTCAAAAATGTATTTGAACAGAGTCATTAGCCATTACTCATTTACTTTACTACTAATTAACTGGAGGAACCAGTAAACACCCACACACCCTTACTAATTACAAAATAACATAATGAGGCACACCACGAGACACAGCTTACTGGAAAAATAACTCACCGCGAGAAATTGTTCCGCTAATGGCTCGCTCCTCCAGTCCGACATTGGTAGAACACTTCTCCTGACCAGATTAGAACATTTCTCACTCCGGAAGAGGGGAAATTTTATACCTGCTCTGGAGTCCAGATCTCCTCAGGATAATACCATCTCCAGACAAAGGTGGGTATTATAACATTTGTTATACATCACGTACACAACAGTTACAGGCAGCCTGCTTTACAATTTCATAATCATACACACCAGGATAATATGTGACGTGTATTACTGGACTCTACTCAATATCCCTCCACTGTGTAGACGTGGTCAAGGTCACGTGGTCAGGGTCACGTGATCAGGGATCTGGACATATGTCTTAGTGGACAGATGTCTGATATATGGGGCGCGGGGGACGAATCATAATCTAAATATTATGAGGATAAATTAATATTAGTGACCCTTAATATGCCTCGCTGCATACGAATACCTAACCACCATTATATAATTGAATTGGTTTCTAACTTATAAAAGTATAAACAATGTGTACTGTGGTTGGGAGTGTTATACCACAGAATTACACAGAATGATTGGTGCTAATATCATTGATTGGCAGGGGGCGAGCTCTATCTGTAAAGGAAATGTTTGTAAACAGTTGAGGGGCCATCAAACAGGTAGTAGTGGAGGCGGGGCTGGAGGGGCTGCCATCAACTATCACCTTTATTTGGGTACATGTAACCTTTACTGGAAGTGTAACTGGGACTACATTAGCATTTAGATGATCTGTGACAAGAAACATAAACAAGAGAAGTTACAATAATACGGTACAGGATACTTACTATCTAAACATTCTAAAGTCCCTTTGTTGATGGTGAGTACATACTACATTGTATTATACTGGATTACGAGTAACTGCAAAATAGTACTACGGTCTAGTGTTGTCTCTATCATTTGCAATATAATAATGAAGAAATCTCAGTACACTGGAGAACTAATTCTATCCATTAGAATTGGCTTTTGTTCAGATGAGACAAATTTGTTTTTACTGTTGAGAGCTCAGATGATCCTGCTTGTAGTAGCGACCATTCAAAGAAGCAAATATGCTGGTCACTCAGACCATATGTGTCCGATCTATCACCCTATAGTCTATAGTCTACACCATGCTCTCAGTTTTAACAGTTGCAGTGATCTGTTTATTTGTCATTTTAAGAATAATCATGTTAAAGTATTTAGTTGTATTGAATATTGTCCTTGAACCCAGCACTGAAGGCCCCATAGTGTCAGACACTTATACCCCCACCAATTAACCTTTCCTCGAACACTCTGACTAAACATTGGTTGATCTACAAGGTATTTCTAAACTTATTAACTCATGACCCCTACAAATATCAGATGGTAAGTATCCACAAATGACATGACATTCATTACAATTAATTACAATGGACGCGATTAGGTCTTTGTTTGTCCGGAAAGCATAAAGCGGGACATATATATGCGGGATATAGGGGGGGGGTGTCACGTCCGTCTATGTCCGCCTATGTCCTGTCCTTTTTGGATTCTATGAGACAACGGACGTGTTTTTTGGGACATTGGCGGACTCGGACGGACATTGGCGGACTCGTACGGACATTTGCGGACCCGGACGGACATTGGCGGACTCGGAAGGACATTGGTGGACACAGACGGACGTTGGTGGACATTAGCGGACATTGGTGGACATTAGCAGACAAACATTATGAGAATTTTTCGCAACTTCTAAAATTTTGTACAAAGCAAACGACTTATTAATCACACTAAAGCTGAAGAGAATGAAGTTTCTGTTTGTTATAAATTCATCTCGACTTCTTCTTTCTTAAACTTTCTTCTGTGGATGGATTATTCTTGTGGACTTCCTGAATGAAAGTTAGTTAATTATAATATTAGATCTATTTTACGAAAATAGAAAAAGTCTTTGTTGCCGCCTTAGAGTTAGATTACTGTATTTTCACGCTGTAGTATCCTGTAGTCGTTTTGCACGGAGCTGCCGTAGAGTCTAACGCCGTAGGGCACGGATCCCGGGATTGCCAAATGAATGAGCAAGCGAGGACAAGTGGTGAAGTAATTCAAGATCAAGCAATCAACAAGAGAAGGATAAACCCGATAAAGTTATTAACTGAACTGACGTATTACGAAAAACGTAAACTTTACGGCATGATCATGATCTGCATTAATTTGTTTGATCAAACTCCATGGGTTGCACAAGCCACAATGCACAGTAAGCAAAAGAAGATTTATGAATCTTGCGATGAAATTATTATCACTGAAGGTGTTATCAATTTACCCAGCTAACGAATCGAAAGCAGAACCGATTCAGCACTCAAACATCAGAGAGATCTTTGTGTCCAGATTTTATGTCCGAATAATATAAGAGGTCTAAAGAATAAAGATCTCACCAATATTCCCAATATTTAACTAAATCCAGTCACTAAATCCGGTCGCTAAATCCAGATCTCTATTTGTGTCGTCAACATATCTTTGAAACAATTACACAGGGTACACAGTAGGCACAGTACCTATTTAACGAAATATAGGGAATATAACAGCAAAAATTGAACATTTTATTTAGCAATTTAGGTGTCCATTAATGTCCGCTAATGTCAGCCAAAGTCCGTATATGTCCGTCTATGTCCGCCAAAGTCCGTCTATGTCCGCCTATGTCCGCCTATGTCCACCTATGTCCGCCTATGTCCTGTCCTGTCCTGTCCAGTCCTTTTTGGATTCTATGAGACAAGCGGACATAGACGGACGTGACACCCCCCCCCCCCCCCCCCCCCCCCCCCCGATATAATATATGCGGGATATAATATGACACGTACACTTTTACAATGCTGTAGCTAAATTGTTTTGAAGTTTGATTCTTCTTGGAATTATTACTGACCAAAGGAACGTAAATTTCCTTAAAACAATGCCATTTTCTTCAAAACAATACCTTGTGGCTAATAAATAATTGCCCGACAATTCAATTGATTTGGCCGAATTCCTCTGAAAATATGCAGATTTTTCTTTAGAAACTATGATCTAAAAAACACGGATATTGCTTATTTTACATAGGATTTATTCGCGGATAAGTTCTGATGCAGAGTAACTGACTTCTCAATTGAGGAAATTTGGCACAAACAATCTTGGGATGATTTTTCGGTACATTAAATTAAAAAGTATGAAATTGAAAAATTCTCCTTAACTTCTGCCACTCACTATAACATGTAATATTCTCCTAAACCTGTGTAACTATGACAAGTAAGTTACATGTTACATTGTAACATTGGGCACTTCTCTCTCCAGATATACAGTGAGTACAGGTATGTATCCGGAAATGAGAGCCACAATGTACAGGATTATCATTGGACTGGCTCCTGCATGTCCTACAATGTGCAATCATCCAATACCAACGCTTACAATCCTCCTCCTCCTCCTCCTCAAAGCAATAAAGCACGATTATATGTGTGTCGCAGGTAACTGCCCCCCTAATTTCCTTTCCACTGCTAAGTTTCAAGATATTCACATAACGACGGTGTCCACGGTAATATGGCTTAATAACTGTACGACTTATTCATGTTTAGGACTCAAATTAGTGTCAAATGCGGTGTAACCCGTGTTGCAACTTGCAGGCAGGATAGTGCACGGCAAATTCCTAAGTTACGCTGAAGTTTCAAGCATCTCAACTATGATGAGGACGTGGTGGTGTTACGGGTGGCGTGTCTCTGTACACACTGTACCAATCAGTGCTCACAAGTCAAACAAACAGCTGAGTTTCAGACATTTCTGACATATTTGACGGCAGGTTTATTTAGGTTATATCCATATTTAGTTTAATGGCTGTCACAATAATACAATTTCAATAAAAACAAGCTTATGCTGGGAATACTGATTGAATGAACGGCCCGGGGAGTGTCTTTAATGGACTAATTTATAACATACACCAGTTAAAAATATCAAACCTTCTTTGTTTATTTCTTGCTTTATGATTTAAAATTTTTGTTATTATATATTAACATAAATACAAAACTATCAATATAAAACTGTTCATAAACAACTTACCTTGCCAGTTTCAGGGTCGGACACCACGATGTTCTCACCAGGAGCATAAGAAACGACCACCCCTCCCTTCCATACCTCCTCCTTATCACCCAACCAGACACGGGACCCCTGAAAATACAGTAGGGTAAGAGATTCAGGTGTAACACAGGGAGTAATATCAGCTGATGTTAGTTATCTTGCTATAATTGAGGTCACCTAATGACCAGGTGAAGAACTGCAATTAAGTGGCAGTTAACTTGTAGTTGTTCAGATAATAGTCTACAGTCGAGCTGTTGTTGTGAGGATTCCTGTGCAGGAATAGTTGGTCTCTGGTCAGGAAATTATACAGAGTGATAAGTCTGGTGTGTGCGCGAATATATTCGGGCGCCATAATCCCATAATTGATAATAATATTCATACATAATACATGAACATTATGATTACGAGTAATGACAAGATATCAACATTGTAGATGTACTTGAATGCCTACTTATACACTCTAAATTACATTCGAGAAATGGCTGGTAGTACACTGGTACGGGGATGAAATATGATCTGGAGTATTTTAATGGTCCGGTGGGCGGCGTGTGGAGTATGAAACATGGGCAGGGCTGCAATTAACACAATTTATCAAGATCGTGACGGTAAACCAGTTGCACAATTCAGTATCTTAAAAACAGCAGTGGTTTGATTATAACAGATATTATATGTTAATATGTAGCTCGGTTGGCTGAATGGCGGAAGCGTGAAATGGGGACCTTGAAATGTTAGCCAAGCGAGTCAACATCATTTCTGTAGTAATATGATTTTAGTACCAGTTCCACTCATTTAATATTCCTTGCTGGCTCATTGATCCATACCTAGATACATTCTATATTTAACACTGCAAACTTCCACAGGACAATTACACAAGGAATAATGCAGACTTAATTAGTCATTAATTAGTCATGATTGACGATAACAAGATTAACGAAATGTCTGTGCTTTCAGTTACAGCAAGCTGCGGAAATAGAATCACTCACAGGACCAACTTCTTCACTCTTAGTAGCAGGCTTGGTGTGGTACGTCTGCCAAAAGTTTCGAAACATCGTGAGAACTCAAACCACGACCAATAAAACGTCAATTAAAACACCATTTTCAAACTGACAAGACAGAAAATGGACAAAGCAAACCACACACAGGACAAGGAATGCGCAGGGCGATTTGAAGAGTGAGCAAGCAGTGTGGTCAGGGCGTAGTGGGAGTGGAGAATAGAACTTATTATGCCATCTTGTGCAGCTAATTGTACCGGGGAGGCACGTGCTAATCTGTCATGTACAATATCATTACCCAACCTGGATATCCAGACCCACACTCCACCAGCCACCAGGCCCATTGTGGTATTGTTCTGTGAAACTATAGTTATTTACTGTTAGTTCCAACTTTCCAATTATGGTCGTGATATTGGAAGCAATTGATTTGATCCTGGCGTGCTGTGCTGTTGCCTGTTGTGCAGACTATAATATATATGCTGAGTAGCTGCTGGTTTCATCCAATACTTGTACATTTTCAGCTCGAATTGTTGTCTTTAATGCCGTACAGTTTTAGTTTCCTTGTTTATTAATCTTCTGAAGACTTTTGCTCCATGATCACTGCAGCTTCTTTTACATTGTAAAGTGGAGAGCAAACAAAGAATACCTAGTTTAGAAATGCAATATCTTGATTTGATCACTCAAATTATATAATACAGTATGAATATCTATTCATTGCGTGAATCAATACTACTATGTCGAGGCGGAAAAGGTGCAGGAGACCACCTACTCCACGATGGCATTAAGTGAATCAATAGCTCTTAGATTAGAGGAGAATTATGGGCAAATGTTTGTATATATAATTGGGTTTTTATATTAAATGTTTAGCTTCGTGAACCTGGAATTATAAGGAATCGAATTTAACAGTTTCCACACAAAAACATAATTTTTAGCAGTGCCTTTAGCCCGCGCGGTTTTAGCCTTATAATCTGCTTCAAAAGAATTAAAGCGCAAATACCAATTAGTTGAGAGCATCAGCCATTTTATGTAAAAAACGTAAAAATACAAACCTTAGTGTATAGTTTTACAGTGTCCACTGCCATGACCAAAGAGTATTAGAATACCGGCTGCTCAAAACATTGTTTTAGTGAGATCCAAGTAACTGATCTGAGACATGAACCTGAGTGATTAAATCAAAATGTTACTATTTCGATGCAGCTTGTTGTTCAATTGTATGGCTCTCGCTCATTTAGGCATTGACGTGGCTGCAAGTTGTCCATAAAATCTGAACTGATTAAGAAAGTCCATAATCTTGGTATTTCAACACTAAGTTTCGCTTGAATGACTTAAATGTACATCTTTGTTGGGTATATTTTAATGTCTAAGCGTGTAATTAATGTTAGAATTTATTTATTTATTTAAGTGTGTTGTTCTAGAGAGGTTCCTGAATGGAATTTTTTGAAATTTGAAATCTCAATTAATTAATTAATTGTTATAATATACTAGAATCCCGCTTTAATAACAAATAGTAACAAATAATTAAATTTATCATATAATTGTAAATATATTATAGCTTATAACAATTCTTTTCCAGCTCGCAAAAAAAGAAAGACAATTGGACGGACAGAATTATAACCATAAGAAAACAACACTAAAAATAGAAAAAGTTCAGTCAGACTGTATCGGCTGCCCTAGGATCAGATCGGCCTTGAAAGAAGAACTTCACACCGACTGCCGGATACACTTTAACATAGAAAAACAAATTGTTAGAGAAACAAAAGTGATCTAAAAAAGACTGTTCAGGAAGGCAACCAAACAGAGCACAATGTTTTTCAATCTGTTAGAACTGACTATCAAAGAATACTATTAGCTCCTTCATGTTACAACAGTTACCTAGTCTAGTTGATAAATGGAAAATATTCATTAACAAGCCCTACTATTCATAGAAAGAGAGGCCACAAAGTGTAGACTCAGGATTGATTGGTTTTTCACAGTAATTTATTTAATTAAAAACCGTCCCCGTCAAGCGAGGAACAACATACTCAAGTGGGCACGGACATACTTAAATAAAATTTATGTTTGTTTAACTGTTTGTATTAATTGTCTATTGAGAATTGATGGATTTCATATTGTTCAATCCTATACTAAATGTTCAGTTATGACTATGCATTTAATCATCAATTTAGATTAGATTAGGTTAAGAATAGTTTATGTCGACATAAACATCATTAAGTTAGTTTTAAAATATTCTTCCTAATTTCTTCATTATCAGAACTGTGAACAATTAACAGCCTTCGTCATTAAAAAACAAACAAACTTTAACATAGTTGTCATAAAAATAACTTATTTACATAAATTATAAATTAAATTAATAAATAAAAACCTTTAATTAAAAAATATTCAAGAGATATTTATTCCCTTTCTCTTGGCAACACAAGGATTTTTATGTAAATATTAAACTTGTTGCTTCTTCTTTTCGATATAATTTACACCCTCTATCTTCCTTTAACCTATATCTGACGCTTTTTTGTACTGGAAAAAGACTAATAGTCCATAACTCCTTGCTTTGGAATGAACAGATCAAAGCTTCAGTATCCAAAACTAACAAGATGATAGTAAATATTCAATAGTACTATGTTTACAGTACACTACAATGTAGATGTACAGCTGAAGGGGTATCCTAAGAAAATTATTGATCTTTTGGCAGGCATCTCTCCTCATTTAAACCTCGATCAAGTTAGAAATTGGATTGTTAGAAATTTGATTATTAGGGAGAAATCAGTGATGAAAGCCATCCACAAAGCATTGATAAGACGGCAATTTGGTAATCGGGCTAGGCACACTTGGGGCACACTTGGGGCACAGTTGGGGCACAAAATTGTATTTCCTGGGGCACACTTGGGGCACAGTTGGGGCAAAAAGTTACTTGGGGCACACTTGGGGCAGAAGCAGTTGGGGCACAGCTGGGGCACACTTGGGGCACACTTGGGGCACAGTCGAGGCAAAAAAGTGACCTGAAGCACAGTTTTTGTAAACTAAACACACTTGGGGCACACTTGGGGCACAATTGGGGCACAAAGTTACTTGAGGCACACTTGGGACACACTTGGGGCAGATACAGCTGGGGACCAGCTGGAGCACACTTGGGGCACAGTTGAGGCAAAAAATGACCTGAAGCACAGTTTTTGTAAACTTAACACACTTGGGCAAACCGAAAAGACAGTATTAGATAGAATGTATAATTTTATTAATGTATTAGTTGTTTAAAGTATTGGTATTCAGGAATTAGATTGATTTTAATTAAATTACGTATTCATTGTTACTTATTATTACACCAGAAGATTGTTTACCTTAGTCATTTTTGTCCCAAATGTGCCCCAGCTGGTCCCCAACTGTATCTGCCCCAAGTGTGCCCCAAGTGTGCCCAGCCCGATTACCAAATTGCCGATAAGACCATATTTAGAGTATTGTAATCAATTTTGGAATCCAGTTGCAGCTCATGGAAGTTTGGGATTATCTTGGAGCTGGAAAGCATCCAGAGGCAGTTTACCCATCTAATTGAGGAGGTACACAGAAGTTGACTGGAACTCATCAATTAAACAACGCTAGCAGAGCGGCATAACGTGGTGATCTTATCAAAGCTTTCAAAATTATTGGAAGTCTGGCAGATTATGATACGGGTTTGGAAAAAAAGAAAAAAGGGGGGACCCCCAACCCATGTAGCTGAGACACCTCACAGCAAGTAGACCAAAGTGGCTCTTGCTTGTGATCAGTGCATCAACTACCCGCCGAAGCGGTGGGTTGGGAGTCCCCCCTGGGATCATTTCGTCCGTAAAATTGTATACAATATAAAATAGTACAGTAAAATATCTACAAAATTTACATAAACAAATCTAGGAGACGGGTTTGGAATGAGCAGATCCGGTCTAAACTTGATGTCAAACAGTAAATGTTGTAAGAGTGGTATTCATATTAAGAATATCCACAGTTCTTTTCTTCTGGAGAGAGTTAGACCATATGTACTGGAACAAACTTCCTCTGGATGTCAAGAACTCTGAGACAGTCTTCAGTTTATATTTTTAAATTACCTTACAAGACATATTCAAAAGGTAAGAATGTCGGTGGTTTTCCAAAAAAACACCATATTTTTGGACTACCAAAATTTACGTCACCATCATTATTTCCCTTAAATTATTTTAACGTATTTTCTTTAATTAACGACTTTGTCGATTTACTATCAATATATAATAGTAAGTTATAAACATGATTCATGACGGTTGGACACGTTTCGTTAGAAGTCAGCAAGCTCTGCTACAATTTCATTTGCCACGGCAGTGAAATTTCAAAAGTGGTGGAGGATAAAAATTACTTTAGAAGGCGCCGGAGAAACTGTTTATAAGATGAAACAGCTTTTTAGAAGTGCCTACACCTGGGAATACACTGGAAAGAGAAACGTACCTAAACCAGAAAATCAGAAAGAAATTGACTTGTAATTTTTCAAAGTTCATATTTCATTTTATTGATTTTTTCACATATTGGGTTTTATTTTAAAGAAATGAAAAAAATCCCCAAATACCTTGTATCACGTTGTGACCCCCACGGTCGTTTCACTATCGTACAGTTTCTACGATACAGGGGGAGCCGCGCACTCGTGCGCGGCGGGTCATACAAAGTATGACAACGAATACCATGATATAATTTGGGGTACAAAATGCGATCTTTTTTGACAAAAAATTCCATAGCATATTCACGTTCCCAAATCATTTAGGTAACCAGGATTATATGTAAAATATAAATATGTCTCGTGGTATACACAGTAATAGGATTTAAGAAAGACACCATTTCGAATTGTCCGTTGCTACTTATATTGGACTAAGCGCGTGTTACTTCGTAGCATTTAATTCGAGCACTTGCTTCGAGCTAATATTTCGAAAGAAAAGCGGCGCGCGCTATTTAGAAAAAATTTAGAAGAGTATAGTTTGTCATACGTTGTATGACCCGCCCCGCACGAGTGCGCGGCTCCCCTGTATCGTCAGGACGATAAAGGGTGAGACGACCGTGGGTGTCACAACGTGATACAAAGTATAGTAACATCCGCGTAAAAATTTCATTTTTAATAATTAATAATAATAAAAGATTTTTGAGAAAAGACTTTCTTATCAACAAATTATTTTTGGAATGTTTTAAATAAACAACTACAAACTAATGCAGGTGATATTCGGAAAATATTTGTTTCAAATATATATAATTTGTTTCAAATATTTGTTTCAAAATATACAAAACCGTTGGCTGCGGCCGCGGCAAAAAAGAAAATTCCCATTTTCGGGGATTTTATAACATATTGATTTTTATTTGTATCACGTGGTGACCCCCACGGTCGCTTCACTGTAGCGTCTTCGACGCTACAGGGGGAGCCGCGCACTTCGTGCGCGGCGGGTCATACAACGTATGACAAATTTTTATTACGCCGTCTTTAAGCTTTATGCATAATCCTTGAAAAGAGTACCGCGCACAGATAGGGATTGGCTTGTATCACGTTTGACGTTGCGACCCGACGGTCGTTTCACTATATCGTCCTGACGATACAGGGGAGCCGCGCACTTCGTGCGCGGCGGGTCATACAACGTATGACAAGGATTGGCGTGCCAAATAAACAAAAAACGTTTGAATACTTTTTAAATTTTAACCGCGGATAATTTGTAAATGGTTGATTTATGACAACGTAATTGTTTAAATAAAATCAAACAGCGCAATTTAATCATTTTAAATTTTAGAACTTATTTAATTTTAGTGTTTACAAATATTTATTTTCTACAGTCAAAAATACGTTTAGGGAGGTGCATTCAAAATCCTTAGTAGTTAGTGTATAACGAGTGTCAATCCCATGATCACTAAGGTTTGAGTAAAAGTTACAAGTTATATTTTGGGTCCCCAAAATCTACCTTATCTACGACCATAATAGTAACCATAATAGTAACCATAATGTCTACTTTTGCTGATTAGGCTTCATATCATGATCTGTACTGATTCTTCAGTCACTACTGACACTTTGTGGTTGTAACATACATTATAATGATTTATAATTTGCTAGAGCTAATCGTATTAACAACTAATTACGCTTTTGACTTTCGTTTTCCTTGAATTTAGTTACCTTTTGTTATTGGAGTGGAAATTCATAAGGTTTCCTTTGTCAGTTTGGTTGACTCTCTAGTCTTATATTATAAATTCTAAAGCGTGCTTAACTTGCGCAAATTACCTTTTTCTACTAGGTCATGATTGATTGGTTGATTGGTTTAGGAGCACTGCTAACGTCTAAAAATGTATAATAAAAATCAATTTAAAAGTAAACCAAAAAATAAGAAAATGCACCTTTACTTAATGATCTTTTGTCCAGATGACAATCTATCTATTAAGCCATGAAGACACAAGGGGCTTAGGACACTTAGTCGATAGCGCCTCCAACACATTTATAATGTTTTTGACATTTCACTATGAGAGTACATTCTTCCAATCAATATTTTGTTACCCTGTATATCATATACAAACTGAACAATTTGCTCACTGGAGCACAGCTTTCCAAAAGTTGTAAATGCTTAAAACAGAGCTTTATCATCACAATATATAAGAGTGACAACACCTAGTCTAGCGAGTAGCTAAGGATCCATTGGATGTATGCGATCTCCTTGGTCGACTCAGCCGAATGATAGGAAACTTAATTGAGGGTTAAATGAGGAAGGGTACCTGTTAAAAGTTCAAAAAACTTCTCAGGATACGATACCCCTTCACACAGGAGGACTATAGTGCAAAGAAACTGCTGCTAACTGCTGCTAACTGCTGATCACTGCTGCTCACTGCTGCTCACTGCTGCTAACTGCTGCTAACATAGCAGCATACTATAGTCCTCCTGTGTTCAGTGCATACTGTAAACATCTGGTACTATTACTATATTGCTATTACCTGCTAAATCTGTCTAATTTGAACAATGTTTGATTACCAAGTATGTTATTTGCATACTAACATGATGAACAAGGGTCTTCTGCACTGATCCTCCTGAGTTCTCCCTTAAATTTGTTGAACACACAATACCCTGATTATTGCTTAATTATAGAGCTTTTCATCATCAAGTGCGACAAAGCCTACATGTTATGTAACTAGGTTTAAATATGTTCACACCTCTTGAAAAATGGTCTAGCATTGAAACGGTTTTCTGTGATGACTTAAGCTTATATATATACTAGAAAACCCGTGGTCACAGGGAGGAAGCTAATAGTATTTTTTGTTAGTAAGTTTAAATAGAGTCAAAAAATATCCTACACAACCGAAGATACAGCCGATTAAGATGTTGCTCGTAAACACAAGGTAATATCGACAAAACCAATAAAAAAAGCCGTTTTAACAATCTTTGCATGTGCACGTGCGTGTAACAACCTTTGTTACCATGGTTACTTTGCAACCTTCTGCTTTTTACCTAATTTGCACGTGGGCGGTCGTACATTGTACAGTGTACATTGTACAAAGAGGATTCTCTGAATTATAAGTAAGATAGTCATATCACATATGCTTGTGATCTCTTATGCTTTTGTGCAGCGATATATGATGAAACTATTTATATATGGAGCTGTTGGTTTTTGCTGACTTGCAGCTGCATCATGTCGATGTTATCTTATCAGAATCATTATTTGTCTCAAGTTGCAAAATATGTTTATTGTTTTCTGGGCCAGTAGAAGCATGATAAACAATTTACCAACATATATTTAGAGCTTAATTTTTGCTGACCTGCAGGAAATTAACAATTTTCTGCATGCTAGCAGTCCCTAGTTTGATTATTAGATTTCGTCATTGTTTGAGCTATTTATTTTCATTTTGTTTTCAGTTGCAAATTATGTTTTATTGTTTCTTGAGCCAGTATAATAGTTGAATTCCCTCATATTCCCTTTCATTACCTTCCACTTTAACTACACAATATTCCATGTGCACTCGTCAAATGAAGTCATTAAATATGATATTTGATTACACACGTTCATAAAATCCCTGCAATCTCTTATCTAGCGCATATTTCCTTCACTATGTAATGTAAACTTTTTTAGCATATAAATTGGTTGTATGCTGTACAATGTGAATTGTTTAATAATTCGATGTTATAATACACCAATTGATAACTTGCTGAATCTGATATTCCAGGAGGAATGAATGCTAAATTTACATAATGAGAACAATCATGTTAACTGGATGAAATGCACCACTTATGTCTTCGAGGTAATATTGTTACATTTTCTGCTTTTTCTATTATATTGCCTTACCTGGAACTTGTTTTAGAAAAGTGTTATTATTTGTCAAGATGAGTTATCAATTCAAGCAATTTCGTAAAATCAATTATCTTTTTTAAATTTACAAAATCGAAACAAAATACATTTTCAGTGATCAGTGGAAAACTTAACCCATCTAACTTCGAAGGTAAGTGACAGTTAATAACGACCGAAACTTTAAGTACTGTTAAAACTTTAAGTACTGTTAAAAGTAGAATATTGACATATAATATGGGGCTCAGGGTAAGTAGCCAGGGATAACCATGACGTAACTATTTTTGAATTGCCATGGTCAAAATATGACCAAGGCAAAATAGACATTTTATCTCAATGGTCATGAAACAAGAATTACACCCGTTGTTTTGTTGTGGCAGAAGTTAGATTTCCATTCACTACAAGCTCTAATTGCAGCTCACTTCATTACATGAACATTATGCTTTAAGTAGGGAAACACTTGTGATTCAATTCAATTGCTGCAGAATTTAACTTTTGTCTGTAATTTAAGAAATTGTAAGCAAAAAGTGAACTATACTCATGTTTTATAATTGTACACATCAGTACACTACGCGTGTCACATACAAATTGGGCTTATTGTCTAACAAATTAAAATACACTCAAGTCGCGCATGTACTGACTACAGGCTACACATCACATCTCCGCAAGTAACCCTTGCGTGCTGCGCGTATCTAGTTGTCTCGTTACCATGGTGACGAACACAATTCCAGTGAAAAGTGGAGTATACTTGTAGCTATGTTAAAATCCTGCCCAGAGTGCTGTCAATTTCTATATATAGAAATCAATAATTTCAACTAAGATCAGTTTACGAACTTAATTCACATAACGTCTCTATACTATTATTCATCAGAAAACTGTGTCCCTTTCCTCAAATTACAATTTGTGGGCTGTGTCCACTGTCCACTCTATACAGCAGAAGACTATATTATATTGATATAATAGTCTACATCATATTGTTACTTAATCACTCTCTCCCTATTGCACCACTTGTAATGTCCTAACTATCAAGTAACACAATAGGTTGAAGCTGCCCTGTCGTAGAAGCCCCTTTGTCACTGCATATTGCATTGACAATGTACCTAAGTCTATACGGTTATATTAGTGACAACTCACTATATTAATGACATCTCACCTCCCTTGGCATTTGTCCAACACTTTCTCTGAAACCGTGAACTAAGTCTGGGGTCAAAAAATCACAACAATACGATCATAATATGTTGTGTAACATGATATTTGTACAGATCCTACCAAAGCTAGGTATGAGTAATGTACCTAGACACGATCAACACTATGATCTGTTGTCAGAGTAGCTCTCAATGGGGCCACCATTTAATCTGAAATATACTAAAATAGGGTGTATACTGCACTGCTAGTTGCATTTCTCCACCACCACCTGGCCCTCAAAGCAAAGTATTATATACACGTATTTTTGTATTGGCTTTATTATCATCGGCAGCAGCCCCCGCAGTGTGTCTGTCATTATTCCTGTAGTCAGGTAGCTAGCCCTGCTGTATATATATTACAACACACCGGTCTGTGCAGGTTGAGAGGTGGGTATCTGGGGGTAGTAGGGGGGGGGAGGCCGGGGGCTGGGGAGTAGTAGACCTGGAGTGAGGGGAGAGAGAGAGAGCGACTAAATTACAATCCTTTAAATCTGTCCCTCTCACCCCCCTCCCCGCACGTACACTTGTTACTGATAAAGTGGTTGTACCTCAATTATAGAGCTCTGAGAAAGAGAGAGAGAGAGAGAGAGAGAGAAAGAGGGAGAGAGAGAGAGACTGAGCTATATATAAATATATCAAGATAATTAGTGCTAGTCCCTGGATCTTATGTTACATAATGTTACATGGTGTATGTATGTGTGTGTGTGTGTGTGTGTGTGTGTGTGTGTGTGTGTGTGTGTGTGTGTGTGTGTGTGTGTGTGTGTGTGTGTGTGTGTGTGTGTGTGTGTGTGTGTGTGTGTGTGTGTGTGTGTGTGTGTGTGTGTGTGTGTGTGTGTGTGTGTGTGTGTGTGTGTGTGTGTGTGTGTGTGTGTGTGTGTGTGTGTGTGTGTGTGTGTGTGTGTGTGTGTGTGTGTGTGTGTGTGTGTGTGTGTGTGTGTGTGTGTGTGTGTGTGTGTGTGTGTGTGTGTGTGTGTGTGTGTGTGTGTGTGTGTGTGTGTGTGTGTGTGTGTGTGTGTGTGTGTGTGTGTGTGTGTGTGTGTGTGTGTGTGTGTGTGTGTGTGTGTGTGTGTGTGTGTGTGTGTGTGTGTGTGTGTGTGTGTGTGTGTGTGTGTGTGTGTGTGTGTGTGTGTGTGTGTGTGTGTGTGTGTGTGTGTGTGTGTGTGTGTGTGTGTGTGTGTGTGTGTGTGTGTGTGTGTGTGTGTGTGTGTGTGTGTGTGTGTGTGTGTGTGTGTGTGTGTGTGTGTGTGTGTGTGTGTGTGTGTGTGTGTGTGTGTGTGTGTGTGTGTGTGTGTGTGTGTGTGTGTGTGTGTGTGTGTGTGTGTGTGTGTGTGTGTGTGTGTGTGTGTGTGTGTGTGTGTGTGTGTGTGTGTGTGTGTGTAATAAGTAATTGTCGTGCTCAACCCGCCGCGCTGGGAGCTCAGCCGCTAGCCCCTGGAGAATCTTCCAGAATAATAAGTAGAGACAGGTTGTTAGATTAGAGTATGATAATTGAACCTGTGCGGCTAAGTTCTGGGAATCTATTGAATATTTGTATTGTGTTTATGAAGATTTGAAGTTGACTTGACGGATAATACGATGTAATTTTCTGTATTTAATATTTACCCAACTTAACTCCAAGGGAACTTCTAAATTTAGAATCTAGAAAATAAAGACGCGGCAGGTTCTTATAATTATAATTTCAGATTCTTGTTCAACGTATGTAGTGTGCAGGATTGGTGACCACGAATGGAAATGTCTTCCCTCCAAAGGACTTATCCCCGTTTACGATTCTAAACAAGTATTGTAAGTAGAATAGTTTCCATCTGCGATACTTCAAGAATCATTTTAAAAATCTGTGTTTTGTTTCGTATCGACAGATCGACTCAGATTGGGAACCACTTCAACTACCATAATATGTATAATGTAATAACAGTTAGCCTGATACCTAAAAAGGGTAAAGATCAAGGCACTGTTATTATAGCTTTATAGAAAAATTAATGAAGTTTCTATAAATAATAATATTGTAGGAATTTGGAACAAACTCGCTCGGCAGAATCTATTAATAATAATATGATTGATTTCCCCAAATCAAAGATGACTATTATAAACTTGCCTTATAAATAGATCGACTAAATATATCATTAAATCAGTTCGGTTGATGATCTGAAATCAGTTTGTGTTCTTCAAGTAATGAATATTCCAAGTAATCGTCGTCATATTCTGGGTTTGGAAAATCAATTTGCACAGCTTTTACAAACATTCATAATTGCGCACAATAAAACTTCAATCATTTCATAAATCCAGAGATCCAGCAAATCTTGACATGAAAATGTAACAAACTAACCTAGATATTTTTCTAGCATTATATTTTACTTCTCTGATTGTGAACGCGAAAAAAGCTGCAATATTGCAAATAAAGAAACTTTCATCTCTTGACATCATTTTTTCTTCTGTAGAAAGGCTGTTTTTCATAACAGCATCACCATTTAAATATATTGTATCTTTATACAGTCTCTCGCTGTTGCTCCCTCAACTGGATACTGCTGATATTTTCTGTTCACCACACCACTAGCAGCTCGTTCCAAGCTCGCTCCAAATTTTTAACTGATCTGTGAAAAGAAGTCTAAATACCACCGTGACCTACTCATCACCTGATCAAAACACTGCCTTCTCATTGGTGGAGACTCGGACTCTGTAACAATAAGAGGGTCTAAAGTAGTATATAAATCAGTGAGAGGGTGCCAGGTGGGGTCACATGGGTCCCATGGGTCCCAATTCACACTGTTTTACCTCGGAATTAGCAAAGAAGTGTCCTTTAACACGGGATCAGGTTTAAATGTAATCATGTTAACAGTTCATAATTGTGAGATTGTGGTTATCTTGCTCCGTGTGACGTCATCCTCACTCTCAACACAAAAGAGGGCGGACATTTTCATAAAAAAGAGGCGGGTATTTCCTCAAAACAGACCACTTTAACGTGAGTGCGAAAAAAGGTCAAAAATGTAAACCGTTGTCATAGAGCGGTTAATGGAGCCCGCTTGTTTCCACATCTCCATTATCAGAAAGCTATTTAAAGTATCTGACAATAAAAGCTGCTAAAGCTGTAACCAGTAGTTATAGATGGCCTGGGCGTGCTGGGAAGGACCGCATCATGCTATGTAAAGGCTGCATCAGCTTAGATACATCTAGCCACACTGACGCCAAGATTGCACTGGTGAATAATGCATTTACATCTGATATTATGTATACTATATGATCTGTAAAGCCTTTTGATTGCAAATGACATCTTCTCTCTTGAAGTTATGAGTTAGTAGATCACACATTCGCTATGATCAACAATATAATCCGACACAGTGTTTAGTTATTACAACATAGTGCTAACACTGATTACGGGCACCACTATAATAAAATAAAGATGGAAGTTTATTTAAAGTTATCCCCATAAAAAGGGTTCACAACAGGCTAAATTAGGATTAATTATTCAAGTTTCACATCCTACGACATTGCACTAAATCATTGACTTACTGTCGCAACTAGGACAACCACGAATTCAGTAATATATCAATCTTCATACATTTATAGGTAGCTTTTGAAGTATAACTATCATCCTATTTTGATGCTTGGATAATAATTTTGATTACTATTTAGTATTTAATACTCACTCTGGATAAGATTTGCCTAGTTAAACACGAAGCACATGGTTTAGTGGTAGTTGGCCATCTTTGTGTCCACCTCATGGAATTGTATGATAATGTAAAGGGACATCTGTCCTGCTTTAACTACTTTAATTCTTTTCGTGTTTCGAATAAACTAAAATCCATTATCTACGTCATGTCATTGAGACTTTGAGAGTTAACAACCGAATCCTTAAAATCATATTATGCTGACCAATCTCTCAGAAACATATCACTTGTTTATTATTTTGCAGTATCACAGTCAAATCTGAACCTGAATGTAGCCATGATATTTCTTGTACAGTTAAGGCCCACGACAGCGGCCCGGGCCATTCATCGTTTGGAACATTTGAAATATTTCTGTGATTTCGACAGATTAGAGGTTTGTGGTTGACAGGAAAAATACACAAGTCTCAACCACACTACTCAACAATACCAACTTAATCCTGATTAATAAAAGCTCCTCAATTTGTTTCAGTGAAGTGCCGAGGACTGTGACTCACATCATCGTTGAGCTCTGGGAGAAGAAGACGTTCCACTCAGTCAACTCTTCAGTAGTCCAGCTGGAGCTTATTGACATCCCCTTCAAAAACAAGGTAAGCTCCCCAACTCTAGTACAGAAAGTAGTTTTACTAGACCGCGCGTATTATATATGATTTACATTTTACACTAATCGTGTTTCTATGTCCGCTACAGTAACTGGCGTTTGTGATTGTAGTTATACAATGATTGTATTGGATCTCTCTCCTTATTTTCCATCTTCCTTCAATAGCAGCTGCACCGAATCACTGCAGATTGGATTACCCAACTTTACCTAAATTACCCTGGAGGGAAGGTACTATAAGGTACTATAATTACTGGCCATATATTCGCATATAGTACGCGTCACTGTTACCGCCCTTTTTACGGAGCCCGGCACAACTGTAAAGTAGCCACTTTACCTTTAATTTCCTGCAGTTACATGACAGCTTCTCCACTGCCTTTTAGAGGCATGTATGTCTATAAATAGCTACAGTATCTGCGGAACACACAGCATATTAAAGATATAAGCGTATATTTTATTCATGGGTTTTAATGCTTAAATCTATGAAGCCTAAAAGCCAGCGTTTATGGTCGTTTATGAAGTAATCAATATAATGTGACATTATTCACAGACCACAGTGATATGTGCGCTCAATCTTATTTTTTCTTTCTTTTCTTTAAGAGAGGCAGGGCCAAGATAGCCCACGAGAGGATAGCATTACTCTGCCTGTGCACTCTATCTGTGAATATGCTAAATTACCTATCATAATCAAGCAAGTTAGATTGGTAGACACTGTTCAATTTAGGCGCGCTGTCTACCAGGTACCTGGTATTATTTATTTAAGTCATGTCCATATTAGGTGGCATGGTGTGAAATACTATGTCACCTCTGAAATACCCTGTCAAACGTTGAAACGTCAGTACAAATTACTTTGTCAAAAATGTGGCTTGTGATCAATATCTCTCTACACCATTCTGTGCAACCTTAATTTGAACAAATCCAGATTTTGAAAAAATCCAAACCTGTTGACAATCTACAGACCCTTAGTACACCTTCAACTAACATCGTCACGTGACCAGCACGTCACGTGACAGATTCAGACGATCTGTTATTGTATTGAGTGTTGGATACCGGGCCAAGTTCCTTTAATTGTATTGTACATTCCAGACCACGTGCCCTGTACAGGGTAACAACCCTGATATCTCCAGTATATGAGTACCTGGTGCTATTTGTAATCTTATTGTATCTCGTATCTAGATATTATCTAGATATCGTATCTAGATATTATATACAGTCGACATCCCCGTGGTATTGTCGTGGTGTTAATATCGCCGACTTCTCATATTTTGTCCCTTTATCTTCTTCTTCTTCAATATTCGTCGTGTGAATTTTCAATTCATAACTACTAGATTCACGAAAATTAACCAACTACAAATTTCAAAATTCAAATTATGAGTTTTCCAATTCTAAAATTATCGCTGTAAAAAGCTAAGCATTTATTGAGTCCATTATCACGACTAATTTAAATTCTCAGATTTCTCTCTTGCAATCTATCCTGCAGTATACGTCCGCAAATGCTATTTTTGTCATTCTCAGAAAAGTAATGATACTGATTACTGTAGCACTTATCGCTGCAAATGTTATTATCACACTTTCGAGCCAAATTTGGCAGGAAAGCAGAATTGATATTACATGCCCCGATGGGGAGCACTGGCTCTCACCCGGGGGCATGAAATATCAATCAGTTGCTCAGAGAGAGTCCGATATTCCCATAGGAACAAGGAACCCCCTCTCAACAACTGTTCTACTACTGTGAGGTACTGATTTAAATAGAGATTTAAATCAACAACCTGAAGTAGTCTATGACCGTAAATGCAATGATCAGATAAACTTTCCCCGTATAGGAAAAATATATATTTATACCCTGTATTAAAAACATTTCCTTGCGTTTGACATGTGTTAAGCAAAATACAATTTTTTGTTGTAAAACTTTTTTAAGCTGTTGCTTTTTTACTGCACTTCATAGTTCAAAACCTAATTAGGCTTCGGATGATGAAACAAAGTAAAAACTCCCTGGCTTGTACGAGCTTTAAGTGACTTAAGGTTATTGAAAACGAGATCAAAGTTTACAAGCAGACTTGAAAGTTGCACAAAGTTTTGGTACTTGTCAGCGATACAATCAATCAGGATAATTAATTTCCTTAATCGCTTACTCGAAATTAAAAAGGAAGTGTTAGAACAAACTACAGTCACCCTCACAAAAAGTACAGGGTGGCCCATAAGTGACTACCCACACGCAACCTCTTAATAACTCACGTAATTCGTCTCCAAATTGCACCAAAATTTCAGAGATTATAGATATGGGTCAAACTTAGATTTCCTGAAAGTTTCGTAAGCCACGCCCAATTACAGTGGGCGTGACGTGACACTCCCTCTTTTTCACTATTGTCTTCATAAAATGAGAACGCTTTGAGCTAAGAACTCCAAATTTTTTGCACACATTTGGCTTGATAATTGAAAACCTTTCCCAAAGTTTCAAGTTCATTGGTTAAAATATGGCTAAGTTATGACCATTTTAAAATCCATCGGATACGTGATCCGAGCACTCAGTCAGTGATCTCGTCACTTGGTTAATGGCCTGTTTGGCTCACATGCACCGCTTGATTGGTTGCAGCCTGCTTATGGGCCGGCCTATACAGCTGACAGCACCTAAAACGCTATCACACGAATTTATGGTGGTGTCACCATTTCAGGGCTTGTTAGCCCTGCTAGTCACAGGTTCCTTACAATCAATAAAAATGGTTCACTATCCTCCCTTTACTGCAGAACAACGATTGTTCGTCTACCTGAAGAAAGAAAATGGGGAGTTCTACCCTCAGATTAAACGACAATTTCAGATGAAATTCAACCGACCACCCCCTTGCCGGAAAAGCTGCTTTGACATTCATCACAAGATCAAGTTTACGTTTTCTGCACACGATCGGCGAAGAGTCGGCAGAAGACGAACTGCGAGGACTGTAGAAAACATCACGATGGTTGTTGGTGACGTGATGGACACACCTAAGATTGGCACCCGGAAACGAGCTCCTGCCTTAGACCTCAGCACTCAGCAGAACAACCCTTCAGCGAATCATAAAGCTAGACCTTTCTAACCGGGCCTACCGAATCACAAAGGAACACAAACTTTTGGACCGTGATTTCCAATCGAGGATAGATTTCCTTGAACATCTTAATTGAAATTATTGAATTGTTTTTGTGTGGGAATTTTTATTAGTTGATTTCATTTATTGATTTATCCTAAAAATTTGTGTTTTCCTTTCTAGCAAAGACATCATCGGTATCCAATCAAAGCCTAATGAACCTCATTAATACACGCTAACGCCTTACTCTTGATCAGATTGGGTGACGAGATCACTAATTGAGTGCAAATATCACTGACTGAGTGCTCGGATCACATATCCGATGGATTTTAAAATGGTCATAACTCAGCCATATTTTAACCAATGAACTTGAAACTTTTGGAAAAGTTTTCAATTATCAAGCCAAATGTGTGCAAAAAATTTTGAGTTCTTAGCTTAAAGCGTTCTCATTTTATGAAGACAATAGTGAAAAAGAGGGAGTGTCACGCCACGCCCGCTGTAATTGGGCGTGGCTTACGAAACTTACAGGAAATCTAAGTTTGACCCATATCTATAATCTCTGAAATTTTGGTGCAATTTGGAGACGAATTACGTGAGTTATTAAGAGGTTGCGTGTGGGTAGTCACTTATGGGCCACCCTGTAGTAAACACAGAAACGATGTTTGATCTATTCGAAGGAAGAAAACACACAAAACAAAGCCAGATTTCAGCCATTTCAGACCTGAATTTTAACCCCCTCTGATCCCTTCTTTGAGCCATATTCCATATAGAAATTGTGCAGAAATTATACTTGGCTTTTCCAAACCGGTTTCGCCTAGATTAGCTTGCGAAATTCGTGGCTGATCTAAAAACAGACTGATAAAGATTAAAGAGACTTATATGTAGATTCTGTACAATAAAGAGCGGAAATTCTATCCCAGGACTAGTTTTAACTGAATTTTAGTTAGTGCAAATAAGTGCAATAAAAACATCCTATAAAATATATTATTTATATAAATATATCAAGGGACGAATGACGTAACTTAATCAGCTAATCTGGTTATAAATTAGTCTGGGCACTGTGGCAAACAGGTCCGATGATTAATGTGCTGCCATTCATTAGACCAATTCAATATTGGTAACAGTACGGGTGAACTACCTGGCCATGACCAGGGTGGTTATAGGCTGGTGGAGTACTGCGTTCTAAAATGTTGAAGAGATACATTTGAATATTACAAATGTTCTGATAATTTCCAGTTCAGATAATTTCTAGCTCGAAGCAGATAATGGCAAATAATGGCAAGTAAAGATGAATACTGACTAAGAACTAAGCAGAATACTTGATAAAATTCTAAGTCAACGATTACAAGTTGCATTGATTAAATCATTCTGAAATAACAGACAATCAAGAATCAAGACGGACGATAATATTGTTGATGTAAATTAGGGTGTGCAGTGTATAATGTGGACTGATAAATAGACACTAATTATGACCCCACAGCTATATTCAAATACAAGAACCAGGAAATTCTTTCACCTTATCGCAGATACAGATTATACGATAAGGACTGTGATGTATAATCAACACTTAAACGGATGTTCTATACATTATTCTGCATCTACAGTTTTAATGACTCTAAAAATATCTAATAGAAATAAAGTATTAGAATCACCTCACATCAATTGATTTGCAGGATGTAATTACGTATCAAACGCGCTCGCGGCGGAATATTCTAGACACATAAGTACAAGACCCATAGGCGGAAAACACATTATATTAATATCGCATGCACTAGGTAGCAGTACAAAGCAAATTCAGCGCGGCACACAGCATTCACTGTGTCATAAATGTGAAACGCGAGATTCTAATTTCACGTATTGTATCTTTAATATCTGAAATACTAACTTATCGAGAGCTATATATAGCTTGGACATTATAAACATAAATAAGTTC